CACTCCGGTACGAAATCTCGCAACGGTATCATGTAAACGCGAAACGACCCGGGTCGGTGTGAAATCGGTCTGCCGGTAGACCGGAACGGGTAGCGCATGCGTAATGTTTGCGATTTTGAACCACAAGTGTATTTTATCAACATGAAATGTACCTTTAAATAACGAGATATGAAATGACCCAGTCATTATGTAAACGCGATACGAAATCAAAAAGTCATCCCAGTATGAAACCCGCGCCGGTGCGAGTTTTCTCATGTAAACACCCCCTTTAATGTGTCAGCGAAAACGCGTAGGAACCATAATTTTACGAAAAGACCTAAGACGACACGGAGAAGTTGCTTCAAATTTTCATTTTTTTAATCGCCACATAAGACTGGAAAAATATTCCATCCAACATTATGCATACACCTTTATTAAATTAAGCACGTTAAGTCCTGTCTATGAGATCATTTGTGCCAATTTTATATCAATTGTAACTTGTAAGCGACAAGTGTGCAGTTTAATTAGGTTAGCTTTGGGCCGTATTTAAATTTTACTTCTTAAATTTTAGTATGTTTGATCATAGTTAATTGAGTGGAATGGTTATGAAACCCCCGTCAGACTCCTTTGTTATATGTTTTTGTGGACCTGAAAGTGCACAACGTTCAAAAGAATTCCTATCATTTTGATTGTATTGACCAATAAAAACGTTGCATTAATTTATTCCGTAACAATTTGCCAACAGAAAACAAAGGATTGTGCACTTTCACGGTGCTTTGAACATAAACTGCAGCACTGTTGTTTTTATCATTGATGTTTGCCGCTTTTCATAACCAGTCTCCTCTAATAACTATGGTTTGATATTGGATAATTTTCTTTGTATGAGAACTTATTTCCCCCAATTATTCTCCAGTTATGCACTTTTTCAAGAAAGGATGCAGAAGAAGACAGCTAGACTTTTTTTAACTCAGATTTACAGATTGAAAACATAAGAGCCTGCCCGAATTAATCTTTCTTTTTTTTAGAAACATTTTAAAGAAACCTTTTAATTTTAGGGACTGATAGAGGCTGATAGGTATAATAGATGGTTTTGTCATGCACATGTTTTACAATGAATTTTTATATATTTTTTTCAACTTACTCCTATGCTTTCAGTTTTGAGAATTTCGTTTAGGTTTTTACAAGATTCTAATAAAGTTTTTGATTACTATTAATGGTCGCATCTAAGCGCTTTCACTCTCTTCTCGACTTTTCTGTCGCAGATGAAACTGGTGCTAACGTTTTTACCTTAAGGCTCCTAATCTCACTTTATTTGCAGTCATCGATAATCTTGAAGTATTCTTTTAAAGCAAAGATATTTGAATTTAATTTTAGCATATTTTGATCCTAAAAGCGTAGCGATGAGTCGTATACTTCCAGTGTGGCATGTGCGGAGACGTTCCCGTCGCTTTCATTCGCGTAGTTGGCTAAGAAACCTCTTCGCAGGATAAAACTTAGGGCTATTTTAATATTTACTCTTTACAGCTCTCTAGAAGGGTGCTTACTAGAAGCAGGAGCCAAGTAATCGGCTCCTCCTGGAAGTCAGAGGAAATGGCCGGCCAACCAGCCTCAGCGGTCATCTTAAATATGAAATAGGCTTCTTTTCTCGAGAGTTTTCGCTGACAACACTTCTGTGCCTAATATATAGAAATTAACTGATGGAGCACAGGGCTATTGACTCAGAGGCTATGAGGGCGAGAGGAATAATTGTTTTAGTAAAATCCAACTAATCGAGACAAAACAACTTTAGCTAGCAAAACGATTAAATCATTATCATCATCAAAATTGTTGTTATTGATGTTATTACTTTTGAATAGACAATAGGAATGTGCGTCATATAATTTGGTGGGCCTTCTCAGCAGCGTGAGAACTGCTGATAGAATTTTCCATTTGTGTGGTTCAACGGGTATTATTAGGGACCTTAAGATACGAGGACGGGACAAGCTACGACGGCTACCGGAAGTAAATTTCCATAACGAGGCATGCGCACACGAAGCCCAAACTCGTGTTCTTGCCGTCCTGGTCTCGTCGAGGACACGATTCAAGCCAGCCGTCGTCTCGAAAACGTGAGTATTTCTCGGTTTGTTTTTACGTACAATAAGACGCAATCGATTTCCGTTTCAGATATGCTGACCATGGTGTTTCTTAAGATCATATTTTTCACGATTCTTGTCGGAAATATTTCAAAATGAGGGGAAAAAAGGCCATAAGTTATGTCCATTGTTTGTTGCTGGTGTTTTGCGTTCGCGACCATGAATGTTAGTCCAGAGTGCCCAGTGAAGAAAAGTAAATCATTTTAAGTGAAGTTAAAATAGATCCAGTCACAGTGGAGTAATAATCGAGTAAAAAAAGTTCGGTGAAGGTTACTGTGATTTGTTTCTTCTGACAGTCGGCCGGTGTTTACCTTCGGCTGATTTGAAAAACAATCATTTTTAACTTAAAGATTCTGGTTTAATTGAATTCTAATTTTTTCAGGAAGCCTATGGTATGTAGTTCCCTTCACTACAAAATGTAGTACCGGGAAATCATGGTTGTTAATCGCTTCTCTGGAACAAAAAAGAGCACAGCTGCGAGAGGAAAGAAAACCTGGAAACATGAACTGAATTGACGCTGTTTATTTCAAAGTTAACAAAAGGGCAGTTCGAGATCGCTACAACCCTCTCGCGAGAGAACTGAGAAGCAAATTGAAAAAGGAAGAAAAAGCAAGTGGAATTGAAACCGAGATGAGAAGCATTGAAGGGGCACTAGAGGACGTTAGTGTGTTGTTTCTGTATTCTTGTATTTTGATGTCATTATTGCAAATATAAAAAGTAAAATTTAAAAAAATCATATGGAAATTCCGGGTTGTTGGAGAAGGTTTCATCGTATAGTAATGACCAATCGATAAAAACCGATATCGGAAAACCGTTCGATAAATCGATATCAATCGATAATTTTTAATTAATCGATATCGATTTTATCGATCAATCGATAGAAATCGATACTCACAGTCTTCCGCGTATTTAACGATATCGATTTTATCTCTCTTCTGCTTTAGTTGCGGAGTTCATCATTTACTTCGTTTTACTTATTTATAGAATGATTTTAGCTCTGATTTGTAGTATGATTTTTGCGGCGGCGAGGGTTTTGCTGACAAAACATTTACTGGAGACAATGTCTAGCATTACAACTACGCAGCTTCGTACTTCGTAGTACATGTATTTGTAGGATGTCATTACGACATTTAGCTTGAACAGTTTCTGAGTAAATACAAAAAGCGGTTATGTTATGTTGCGTTTCCCCGTTGAATCATGCCAGGGAATCGTGTTAATATTATTTGATTATCAGTATTCATTCAATTATCGATTTGTTAAATAAATCTTTAAATTCGTCCTACTTGATTCATTGAATCGTAAGAGTGTTTTTATGGAAGATTTGATACATTTTAGAAATTCGATAAAATCGATAACATTAATTTAAAAATCGATAATTATCGATTACTCACAACGTGTCCTTTTATCGATTTTCGATACAATTTACTAATTTTTATCGATTGTTATCGAATGTTATCGATTATCGGTTTTATCGATTGCACATGCCGGGTATAGTAGAATAAATTCATCGTCGTCTATCACATTGACAACGTCTAAGTAGCTCTCCAGAAGAAGGGCCCTAGCGTCTTTCAAGGTCGACATATTTGTTTGTGAAAGAGATATCGCCGTTGCCGTTCCAAGTGAAATTTGCTTGCCCTTAAGTATTTTGTTTTTGACAGGCACGACGGCGCTCGACCTAGTCTTACTCATCCAGTCCCTTTAAAAAGTTTTATTTTATATCTTCAGCAAGATCCAGTTCCGCTACGTTGCTGTTTGTCCAAGCGATTCTTGCAAGACTTCGCAGTTCGCTAATTTACCCCAGCGTCAGGATAACCCAACCTGCCTTGTGAACATGTCGCGTTTAAAAAAAAAAGGACGAAATGTAGAACCCCTTGCTTGTAAATAGGCCCTGCAAAAAAGTATTTCAATCACGTGGCATTTCGTGATGATGCGGACTTTCATCGCCCGTGTCTTCTTGCACGTGCTGTACACTCACATTTTGACCAATCACGCGATACATGTCACGCGAGATAAATCATGCGATGAATGACGGAGGTGTTACAACAGTTTGCAAGAGGCGGCGAATTCCCCAAAATCATGATTAAAACCATGGATATATCTTTTCAAAGAAACACCCCAGTTTATCATTTTTGGCTTCTTCCTAGTGCTATTGTAGTTTGTTGTGTAAACAGATGGCATTTTCACGAAGTCCTATTTCCATTTTAACTTCAGTTATCACTTTGCGACTGAAGGGTAGTAAATCGTATGTCGCTACTTTCGTTATGGGTCTAGCAAAATATGACACATGAGATTATCAATAAACTCGTTAGTCACGGTGGAGACGTCAAACCGAGCGCTTTTTATAAACTGGCCATTCACAAATGAAAAGATTGTTTCAGGAAATTTGAATGCAAAATGGCTTGTTTGCGTTGAGTCGGCCAAATTGTCAAAATTTTAGGATGTTAATGTCAAATTTCAGACGAATTGTTTCCGACAATATATAACCGTGTAGGGTCAACTAGAGTCTACAAAAAATTATCCACGTGTCAGTAATTTCTTTTAACATTTAAATTTATTTTCTTCACATTTTTCCTCGGCGATGAAGAGTCGAGGTATCAAACATATAACATGTGTTTCGTAACGACTTTATCAACTCTCAATCTGAGACGAGTCGAAGTTTTACACCTGACACACTTAAACAAAAGAAGACATTCAAAAGCAACTTTTCTTGTCTTTTGACATGATCTTGTTCGGCGAAAGTCAAAGTATTAAAAAACTGAATAGGGTCGTGTTTTGACTTCAGAACCAATTCTGACAGTTGTGATTTTAAAATTTCCTCTTCTCGATACGTAGCACCTTGGTAAAGCTCCTCATCTGAAGCATATTTCACTCCGCAGTAGTTGTTTACATTCATGTCTCTTCCTTAGCGCAATAAATTGAATAATTTTTAAAATTGTTGTTATCCCAATAAATGTTTCCTTCAACGCTGTAGCAAATGGCAAATTCAACTGTAACCTTTTCTAGCCAAATTGCGGGTAGAATTATTCGAAAGAAGAAAGTGTCAGTTGATCCATTGCTTGAAGTCGAAAGATAGTCAGCCCTTTCATTTCTCATCGTTTTCCATTCATCTGTGGAGTAACGTATCGTGACCTCCTTTCTGTATGCCACGTTTAATACTCGAACAAACCCGCGAATGATAGTTTTATCGCAGACCACGCTTTCGAGGCAAACAAATTGTCTTTTTATTCTGTCGAGAAAATCTTGCCTATTCACTGGCTGTTCGAACAAACATGTTCGAAAATATCGTTGATTGTTCCACCTTTTTGGATACCTTGGCTGCTGGTACACAGATACTTGTTTAGTGTGTTTTATCCTTGGAGCTATTTCTATTACAGAAACTAAGGATAAACCCAAAAAATCTGCAAAGGTAACTCTTTTCGTATTCCCCATGATGAAAGCAGAAGGTTTCTTGCTGAGACCTCTAAAGAGGAATTCGTTTGAGAACGCGGTAGCTCATAACAAATTCTGCATCCGCAAAACAATCCACGACGACTATTTACAACCAAACTCGACCACCGTACGTGCTACTATGCACGGCTGTTCACGTGATCGCACGTGCACAGATTCGAACCACTGATTTACATAAATACAGAAGAAGCCGAACTGGGCGCCTGGTGAGAAAGATGGCATCTTTAATCTCAAGAATGAAAAAAGCATGCTGTACTTATTTTATTCAAATGAAAATTTTTGTTATTGTTTTTTTTTTGTTGTTTTTTTTTTCAATTTTCGACGATGGCAAATAGCTCGAGGGCAGGTCGTTAAACACGCAAAGGCTTTAGTCGTCTAAGGCAGCTGATATCTCCTCTCTTGTTCCCGCGCCAAGAAGTCTGATATCCTAATATCCGGAAGAGAGGTTGTTGTCATGATGGGGGAGGGGAAAGTAGGAACGTGTCTGAAGTAATAATAGGGAGCCTTTAGCTTTAGGACGTTTATATGGGTTGGGTTGGGACCATATTTTCACACTTTAAATTTTGAACCATAATTTGCTGATTTTCTTTTTCATTCAGGGAAAATCTGTAGATCTTTCTCCTTCTTATAATGTAACTTTGCAAAATTCATGATTCTTGTTCTTCTTTCATTCTAAAGAATCCGACAATGAACAGAAAATGATAAAAGACACAGAATCCAATCAACTCTAAAGAGGTGCGCGCACGGTCCATTAAAATATATTGCAGGTTATGATATAGACAACTGACACGAGACTGATACTGATCGAGAGTATAGGAATAGGGTATGGCTAAATTCACACGCTCTAGTAGAAGGTCTTGTCAACTGAATGGCCTCCTAGCTTTTGATCATCGCAAATGGTGTGAGCCCAATTTTTATCAATTACTAAGTAAATGTCTTGGTGGTGTCGTGCTGAACCCTAGCCCTTCCCCATTTCAAGCGCCCCCTCCTGTCTGATTGGCACGCCCACATGTACTTTGATCTTGTTTTCGCAAACGGCGCTTATTATTAGCAAACCCCTTAAACGTTCAATTACGTATAAATAATCCGATACCGTATCTTGATTGCTTTTAACGCCTTAAATGGTCTCGAATGATACAAACATCTTTCAGAGCTTGGTAGGTAATTTCCATTTTTAGATTTAGTTCGCGAGATTTACTGCAAAAGAATCTGCTGAACATAAATTTCGTTAAACGATTTCATGAGCAGCGATTTTCATTAATAAGAACATTTTTAGAGTGACACAATGTTATATTGAAGACAATTGTCAAATTAGTTACTGATACCCACAACACGCCACCTATCACGATATATTTAGTTTACTATGTTCCCAAATACTGTAACTATTCATGGCACGTATCGAGTACCTCCTTATATGATTTCCGGTGATGTAGGAGCTGCTTGAAAGGCCTTTCCTGATTCGTCCTTTTAAACAATAATAATTCATTGTTTACCATTGTTTTCCATTTTTCCGGGTTGGGTAGCAAACCAATTGGCTTTCAGCATCCGAGCACCTGCTACATGATCGACGGAAAATTTTAGAGCGGCTGACAGAGTATTGCAATGAAGGTAATTGTCAAATTTACTAAAGCCAACAACACGCCACCCATCACTATATATGTAGAATATCATTAATGACACGATTTTGCTTCATGTTCCCAAATGCTGTAACTATGCTTGGCACGTGTCTAGTACCTCGCTATGTGATTTCACTCGACTTTTGCAAAATCGCAGACAATTAAGACCCCCTCTCCGCTCCTCCTCCATCCCCGAATCAAGGATAGGAAAAGGGCGCGTTTCGGCACTAGCGCAGCTTCATCCTTGCTTTCGTGAGAAAAATTTGGATTCTCTGTCCAGGACTGTAGCTGGGCTTAAGCAATATTTACTAAGCATGTCAAAAATAGAAGATGTTGAATCGGAGACGTGCCAGCCCCCCGTTTAACCGAGATCTCCGAGAGCAACCACATTAAACTACACCGACTACCGCAACAACTGATCAAACAACACTGGCCGCGCAAAGACACAAAACTACTGCAGCAACTGTAATAAACTACTTCAACTACAGCAAAAACATACACAGAAACTGCAGAAACTACATAAACGCTAACAGCAAGCAGCAGCAGCTGCAGTAACAGACACCAACTGCAATACACTGCAATACAACGCCATATGCATAAGGTACACCAAACAGACACCAACTACACTTAAAAACATAATAACATACTACACAAACCACACTGAACTACAACTACATAATATACTGGACCCCTAAACCAAAAATACAGCTACTACAATAAACTTCACCAACTACACCAAACACACCAATTACTGTGAATACACAAAACTACTGCAAGTTAAACTTCAGCCGACCGCTCCAATTTACAGGAACTCGACTACACCATATAGACCATATACTACACAAACCACACTAAACTACACCGCATACAGCACCCCAGAACTAAAGAAAATTCACCAACTACAGCATATATACAAAACTACAGCAACTACATCATACTCCTAATTCCAACTAAAACGAAAACTTAATTTCCATCAGGTGAAAGTTACCGTCCATGGGTCTCCGAGGGCAGAACCTTTACCAACAAACAACAACTACATAAAACTATACCAATAACTCAGTACAAACTACAGCAACTACAGTAAACATCAGAAAACTAATACACCGTTCAAATAACACCAACTCGAGGTAACCTAACGTAACTACATTCACCAACTACACAATACAGGATGACTACATCTAACCATACAGCAACAGTATACTTCACACCAACCATAGGCCGGGGGGCATACATCTATAGTGGTAACTACAACAAACTAATCTACACTATGGTGGCCGACAACTGCCATTCGTCAAAACGACATAAATTTGTTTAAATTTAGATTGAACTTTAAGTATTTTGTATTAAAAATAAAGTGAAAGTAAAATGTAAAATTATTTTGTTTTCATTGAACTGGAAAAATTTGGTATATTGTAGGAACATTGTTAGTGTTTATTTGCACTAAAGCTTACACTGCTACGTAATGTTCTGGAATTAACTGTCAGTATCAAGCTGTACTTTTATTCATCTTGAAAGAGTCGAGGTACAAGAGATTTGATATGCCAGAACTGGGCCTCGTGATCATTGTTACTAACAATGGGGTTGGTTCATGATAACTCAATGGTCAATGGTCAAATTTTCAGTCGCCGGGTTACACGATTACAAGCATGGTAGCGAAAAGAGAAACAAACATGGCTGGTACATGTTGAGTTAAATAAGCATTTTGAGTACCTATACATCTGCTTTCGCTGATAGTACATGAAAATGTTTAAAATAGTACGGGTTGTGAATACTTGTGGTTATGATCAACTGTGTTGGAGCTTCATTGACTGTTATGGTTATAGCTAACAGGGCCCAGCTAGGTAATGTTCTCTGGTGATTAAATGTATTAAGAATATTAAGAATTAAGTATGCACCTCCAGTTGCAATTTTAGTCTTTAATTTTCAAACAACAAAATCCCCTGTACTTGAATTTATATGTAAGGTGTTTCTTTCTGTATGTTATTGTATTTCTTTTCTTTTCTTTTTTCTTCTGTAATTTAAATAACGTCTTTATTTAAAGTCCTGTCCTGACTAGATTAGCATTATATAACTATTTTCAGGACATAAAGTGTTGTAAATTTTACATTTCTTTAAATAAATACATTGTTGTTGTTGTTGTTGTTGTTGTTGTTAAGTTTTAATATCGTTTCCTTACAACTTCACGGCTTTCCAAGCAAAAGGCAGCAGGTATAGACACCACGCAGAAAAAGAAATTTTTTATCAATATTGCACCATGTATCACTCGTGAATGATTAGTCTCCTGTATACTAAAGATACTTTACTTTGGTTTCGTAAGTAGAGTTTTCAGTAGTTAAAAGCGGAGAAAGCTTAAAGGATTCTTGCAACAATTGCACGTTGATAACGCTACCAGTGGTAGCGTCGCCAAATGTCGGCTGTTTTCTCAGGCTATGATAATATCAGTCTTATCTAATCAAGTATGACAATGCTTATAAATACCAACGTCAACACTTAACCGCCTGCTTTCCGTTTGTTCCCGTGGTTTTCCTTTAGACTTGCATATATAGTTCATGTGCTTTTCCACAATAATTTCTGATTGTTGTTGAATTATCTTAGCTGTGTAAAGCTTCTTATAATATCAATTCGTATATAACAGTTCAGCAAGGTTATAACTGCATGTCTTTTTGAGTACTGGGTTAAAGGAAACAGTTTGGTGAAGTGGTTTGCTAAGGTGCCTACTGCGGATTCTTTAACGGTGGTGAAGTAATAATCATGATACTGATAAACTCAAACAGTAGGAATATTATAAGCAAAGAATCACCTAAAAACCTTACCACAGCAAAGGTCTTGCCGGTTTTCTTAGCAAATTGAAGTTCTTAAAAATATTTAAAAAGAAAGTACTGAAAGCGGCCAGTAAAAAAATTCCCAGAAATTTCAAATCTAATTCAGTTTGCAAATTCCTGCGAAATAATTAGTACTGTGTGAAAGTTGTGCCAAAGAGATTTCATTTGAATGGTAACATTATAAGTTAGGATGATAACTAATCTTGCCATAATGTGGCTATTATAAGTTGTTAAAGGGTTATACATGCAGTTGTAATCAGCTCCTTCTTTATCATGGTAATATTAAACCCTTCACACTTAATATTGTCAAGTAAGAGATCCCCCCAAAACCAAAATTTCCGGCTAGTATAAAACCTTAGGAAATAGATGGTACTTAATGCAAAAGGTCTTCCATAGAGGCTTCATTTGAGTGGTAACAGTGTAGGATTTTGTCCACTAGATTTAAAAGTTAGGGGGTTACAAAGTTGCCATAACTGGGCCTTGACCGTTTTCTCATGCAGCTAATTAAGTGGGAGATTCTCCCCAAAGAGACTACAATTTCCTTTTGTAAAATTCTGAGAAATAGTTAGCACAATACTATAAGGTCTCTTTTGAATGGCTTCATGATAAAATTCTGTCCACAGAGGAAGTGGCAAAATAATCTCTCCATAACTCAGTATATAGCAGGTAGAGGGTTTAATCAAACAGAGCCTAAGATACCAGAATAAGGGACCTGATGATCTCTGAGGAATAAATTCCATTGATTATGATTCTCCTAAGTAGATGAAGTAGCTTCATGGGAGGTATCCTAGTAAAAACAATGAAGAAAATTTTCTTGGCGATATTGGGACGTGAGGCTAAGCGAATGCAGGAAAACAATTATTAATTAATAGTTCTTACTGCTTCACATTTCATGACATTGGTGCCAGTGTATCATTACGGTAAACCAAAACGAACACTTACTATTTTGTAGATGACTAATGACATGCTGTCTTTTTGATCCTTGATTTCTATGTATTTGTGAACAGTAATGTGTAATATGATTGTCGAACAAAGGAAAATAAAATCTGAGGATAGGATGATCAGATAAAAAAAGCAAAATATGCAACACAGTCAAATAGTCGGATAGGTTACGTCATCAGTTATGTTTGTTAAGTTATCGTGCATTTTGGTAACTAGAATAAGATCAATATTTTTCTGTTAATTTTAGTATCATTCGCTTTATATTGTAATGCAGGCACCGTTGCATGGTTTCATGGAAAGATAAGTAAAATTAATACACGGTGACACCATTCCGGCGAGCAACAATACCAGCAATATTGGACTTTCTCATATTTGTTTTTCGATCATGTTCTCGTGATATTTTACAATAGGTAAAAAATGCTAAGCTTAGTGTACGCGCTCTGCCGAGTCTATAACCACGTCTTATCAGAGGTAATGCTTATTTTTTTTCGTTTGAAGACGGATGACGCAAACGTTGACACCAGCATCTATTGTCGATTGACAAAAGGAAGCCTCTTAGTCTATTGCAGGGATGCTACACTGAACTACTAGAAAGCTGTTAGTGTCACACTTAATTGATATGATTGGCAACACGTAAACAAATGACTACACGCACTCTTTATCATTGCCGCAGGTGAGAGCTGTGAGGGTATTCCTAAGTTGTGCTCTGTGGTCATTTAACAATGAAAATGAAGGCATGAGAGTTATCTTTCTTTACTATCGTTTGTTCGATTTGTTTGGACTGGATGTGTTTTTATTTTGACTGGTGACCACTTTGTAAACCAAATTAAACAGGCAAAGAGAAGTTTTGAGAAAATGATATATAAACGTGAGAACATTGATCACAGGAATAATGAGGAATCGGAAGAAGAACAATATAGCGTCCCCTACTAATTGTTCAAGTTCACGTTTTCAACTGCAATCGCTGAGCGTTTTCCCGGGCTTTTTTATGATTTAAGTGAGTAACGCTGGGCAACAAGTTCAGGGTTGATCTGACTTGTCAACTCTGTAACTACCATTTCCTGAGTTCAAGGAGATAAAAAAAACTTTTTCAGTTTAAAAACGCCGCACTTTGAGTACATATTTGTGTAAAATTGACGTCTAATTACACGTAAAAACCGCGTAACGGACCAATTGTCTTTTAATGTCAACATGCAACTTATTTGTACATCAAGATATACCTTACACACAATTCCGATGACTTCTTCGAATTCAATGCCGTGCGACCTTCTGACTCAAAAGACTGAGAACTGTAGGTTCAAAGAATTGTTTTAAACTAAAATAGTTTTAAGCCACTTCACTTAAATATTGGACCATTTTATTATACACTCCCGACCTCGGACTATATACCATGCCGATCGAGCTGAAAAGTCTTACACTTTAACTCTAGTTTGAACTGTATATTAGTTCACTCTTCTCCTTTAGGAAATTGTTTAGAACTTTGACTCTTTTTTACATGGTAACGAAAGTATTTTTTACACTTTTGACTGATATTGGTTATATATTTCTTCACTGTAAACTTGGTGTTTAGTTTTGCTCAGTATGCCAGAGAAAATTAATCAAGGAGTCTCCATTTCAAGTTGTTCAGTTAATTAAAAGGACTTGCAACCAAGCCTTTAAAGAGAACATGGTGCCTTCTACAAAGTACAATTTTCTCTTCTAACAAGACTGGCAGTTTTTTTCTTCCACGAATCCTCTCTTAAACTGTTCTGTCAAGACTTCCGCACATTGCACATGATAATTTTCTCCATTGTTATTATCCCAAAACTCCTGGCCCAATACCCGATAACGCACAGCGAACTTCATGAAACGATTTACTTCGAAGTCGATAGGAACTGTTATTCGAAAGCTGAACTTGTCGCTCTTGCCGTCTAAGCAAGATGACATGTAATCTGCCCATACGTCCCGAAAAGTGTCCCAGTCATCAAGCGTGTATCGAACTGTAACTTCTTTAGCGTACGCTAAATTTTTCACTCGAATAACTCCAGTAACGACAAAGTTCTCACACGCAATGTTCTCGAGGCAGACATTCTGACTTTGCACACGCTCTATGAAATCTTCTGTTCGAGAAGGTACAATAAAACATGGTTTCAAGCATATCATACGCCTCATTCGGAGAAGGTTTCCATTCATATCACAACAACTGTCTTTCCACACTCCAACGATGCCGCACAAATTGTCTTCGCTGCTACATGGAGTAATAGTTTTTACAAATTCGAGTTTTAACCCAACCAGATCCGCAAAACTGACTCTTTTTTCACGTGATGTAGGGCTAGATGACTTAGAGGCTTTCACTTGCACGTCTGCTTTCATGACTAAAAGAGCCTTGAATGAATGATGCACACTGCACTTAATTTTAATTTTTGCCGGTTATTTGGTCCGGTGATCGGGTGGCTGAAAGCTCGCACGGATGGTAGACAATTTCGTGTTGGTCGGCTCGGATGATATCGGGCCTGTTCCGCTATCTGAAAAATAGGAGCAAAAACATTTCCACTTTTTATCCGGCCAGTGACACATCGTGAAATACAAAATATGATGTATCATGTACTTTAAAGCAGACTGGCTGTATTCTTAATTTCAAAAATTTTTCTCGTCATTTTAAGTTAAAAATCGGATAGCTTGTACTTACAATTTGCCCAGCGTTTTTTCCGCCACAGAGGGGCCACAGCTCTCCCCAAATGACAAAATGAGATCCCTCCAAGCGAACGTTTTCTATAACCTTCGCGCGCTAGAGAAATATAAGAGTCTGTGACCAGTTGTAGTACATACTGTCATTATAATATTTTTGTCGTCCGACAGGATCTGACGTTGGCCTCGATGTCACGAAAGGCCGTGCATAAAGTCATCAAGCTGAAAATTAATTGTTAAAACTGCTCGCTCCCCGCTAAACAAATCTGAATGCCGGATTGCATATAAAAATAAAATGTATATGGTAGCTTTAGTGATAAAACTGAAGGGAAATCTCAAGACTTTGGTGCACAATTGATTTTTAATAGCTTGAGCTTAAATGTAAATTTCTGTTTCATGTGACGTAGTATGACGTCACTTCCCTGCAACGATACGGAAAAAATCGTGCGTCGATAAGCGTCGCAAATAAAAACTATTTATATCCCAAAATTCACAACCTTTTTACTGGCTTCAGACACTTTTCTTTCTTGTCGCGATGTGGTGATCGGTTCCAGCCAATTTTCTATATTTGTTATCTTGTCTGGGTGCTTAGTTTATATCAGATTCTCAGATGGCTTCGATTTTCAATTTCAAATTACTGATTCAGAAAATTTCAATTTCATTCATTAGTGACGGTTTTTGCAAAGCATGATATAGATATTTGGTTTTGATATTTCCGTTGCTGTAATCTAAACGGCCTGTTTATATAATTTGGAAGGAGGCCGTTTGCCGTTCCTCACGTAATTGTTGTTAGCTCACTCCGTTTATAGGGCCGGCCCAGTTATAGACCTTGTACATGTCACAGTTTTCGCCGCCATCTTGACGAGTAGGAAAACGCGTGAGAAATTTAAGTGTTTGTATGAGAATCTGATGTCGAATAATTTCCGTAGAACGGCTGTTCTGGAAAAAATATGAATTGTGAACTAAAGTTTCACTCCTAAGGATTCTACCGAAAAAAATTGAGGGAGTTAAATGTGCTAGAAGACCTAAAACCACTTTTTAAAATTTTCTATACATTTGTCTGTAGGAAAGTCCTGAGAAAAATTACAGACAAATATATGCAAAATGTAAAGCAAGCCTCTGGAGAAATTTAAGCACAGTTACGCCCCCAAAATTTTTCAGTACAATCCTTTGTTTTGCAGCTTTAGTTTACAAGCCATATATTTTTTTCAGAATAGCCGTTTTATAGAATTATTCGCGGACATTAGATTCTCATACAAACACTGTAATTTCTCACACGTTTGCCTACTCGTCAAGTTGGCGTCGAAAACCGTGACAAGGTCTACATCGTGCAAGTGCCAAACTCAATCAGGAGTTAAGCTCCGCTTTCCCTCGGTAGTTAATTTTTATATGGGATGGTCATTGCAATCTGGGTGTCTGAGGTCAAAATGTGTAACTATCTTATTTATTTATTTGCACATTTTATTTCGGGTTAGTTTGTCATGCAAAATTGCATGTTCACGTAAATATTTCAGATCAAGCCTTGCCTATCTAGGATATTAAATATATTGACTAACACGTTGTGGAAATAAGGTTCAAGAATAACTTTAGTACTGAGGGTTAGACTCCGGGCCTCTTTTTGTATTCATCACTGTGCATTGTTTCGTTTACAAAAACGTTATTTGGTGCTTTTTAACCGCAATAGGTGGTTAGTGACGTAAAAAAAAAAAAACGAGATAAAAACAACTCCTTTAGCTTAAAGTAGAAAGCAATCAGATTATCACTCAGTTATAAATGGATACGGCGTTAGTATTTTTTGTTTTAGAATAAACGTCGTATGCAAAAGTATTTATAAAATGTAGAATGCCCAGCTCTGCTGTGATGATTGCTTATCATTAATTTTTTAGCAGGAACCCAGTTGATTGGATTCTACTACATGAATTACTGATCACGCGTGAGTGAGAGCATTTCTTCGAAATATACAGACAACTGGCCATCAGTGAAAACCCACTTAAAATCATGATTCTGCATTTGAACGGCAAATATTTTTCCCCCAGAAACATTCTAATCAGCCAACGGACCCAATTATTTCGAAATGTAGAAATGATGATAATATTAAACAAAGATAAGACTAGAAACTGCATTTTTCTGTGAGCTGTGTTACCGCAAGTGGATCACTCAGGTTGTCATACAATAACAGTGAGAACGGGGCTGGCACAGATGTCCAATTTTCTGATCTTGGTTTCGGATCGAATTGACCCACCTTGTCTGTAACGACATTTATTTTCCTATGAATTGAAGCATCGAAATTTAAATCATGGGAGTATAAATGGAACACATGGCAAACGTTTGTTAGCTTCTTTCAGTTAACTACAGCGATAAAACGTTTTTACTGACAAAAAATCCTGCAGGATTGTTGCTTTCTTTTTAAAATCAGTAAAGAAGTTTTCTAAGCACGTGTTGGAATTTGTCGGTTAATTGTGTTGTCTGCTGACCTTCTGTTCCGGTCGTTGTAATTTTATTGCTTCCTTGGTGTATTGCTTTACAATTGCTCCACCACAAGAATGTGCGGTCAGCAATGATTTAAAAGCGATGATGAGTCAACCTCTATTATAGTCATTTGCAGATGACCGCTCCTGTTTAGGTCTGAGCGGACCTAAAATAATAATAATAATAATAATAATAATAATAATAATAATAATAATAATAATAATAATAATAATAATAATAATTTTTTAATAATAATAATAAAACAAAACTTTATTCATAGATTTTAAAAAAAAAAATAGACTATTTACAGATTCAAGAATATGAAATATTAAAATATATACCCTATGTACATTTTTCTTGTCTACGAAAGAGAATTGTTGTAAAATGACTATCTAAAGACTACTAATAACAATTATAAAATAATAATAATAATAATAATAATAATAATAATAATAATAATTATTATTATTATTATTATTATTATTCATGATTATCATTAATTTATATATTTCTTTTTTTTGTCTGCAAACATAACCAGTGCAGTTTTGTGCAATGCCTCAGACAGGCAACACGAATTGAACAATTCTTGTAAAGTGTTTAATTGAAACTTTCTCATCGGTCTGATGGATTTAACTACTGTAGTATTCTCTTCACCCTGAGCTTCTTAAAATAATTCATTGTAATATTAAAAGTAGTTTAGTCTTATTGTCCATGACTGACCACAGTAGAAACCACAAACAGATTAAACAGATTAATAGAACTCCTTCTGTTGGGGACCTGAATAGCAGTTCTATATCTGTTCCTATCTAGCAACGAAGGTTACCATCGCTTCGCTGGCCAGAATGGAGACCCGGCACGATCGCAACGCTAAGGATCACTGCTGGAAAAGAAACAAATTCTGAATCAACAAAGGAAATCGTGTTTAGGCGGTTAGATCGGATAGTTGCAAAGTAAATCAGGAGCCCATAAGGACTTTTTCACTTTTCCAAGGTAGGCTATAAATTAGTTATCCTAAATTTCAGCAGTCTCCTCTGGTCGCAAATCTGGTCTTTCTGTCAGGAATTTGTGACTTCAGGAGACGGTTAAAATTCAGGTTAATCTCTTGTTTAAAAGTACGTTTCCATTGGTTCTTAGAATATTATTAACTGTTAAACTTTGTTTTCATATATAATTAGTGCTTTTAATGTAGTCATAACGTTTGCAATTTGCCTATACACGGGCCAAGATAGCTGCCAGCGGTCTGGGGAAGGTTAACAGCAGATTGAGGGTTCTCAATGAAGATCACCCAGTACGAAATGATGAAACACAGAGAGATTTTTCATTTTTAATGAGTACCGTGGAACCTCGATTAAACCAAGCTCTCTAAAACGAAGTTCTTTATATAACAAACTACTTTTTAATATAATATTTTCTACCCGTCTACTTTTTTTACCCCAGTTATAGTAAATTACCCGAAAAAGATCCTTGATGTATAACGAAGCCGTGTTATCCCTTGGCCCTTCGTTATATCAAGGTTCCACCGTAAATTTATTTTTTGGTCAAATTTGCACCACCGGATGATCCGTATAACTTACAGTGTGCCGAGAAACTAGGCCTTTTCTCAATGACAGGAGGCGATTATCAGTATTAAAAGGGAAAAAAATGGCACAAGTAATTCAGTTTGTTTTTAAAAATAAAAGATACTAAGGAAAACTGTTGAGAATCTCCGGAAAGATATTTAGGCTAAAATTTTTACGTGATAATTATATAAAAACTGAAACAGTCACGTATCACGCAACGCTAACACGAGCTTCGAATTTGTATTAAGCAATCATCCATAAAAATTTTAATTAACTTCTTGACCACCGGTAACTGAAACATGCTGGTTTAGGCTGAAAGCAAAATCACGATGACTCTCAGGCCGGTTTAACTTGGAAGATGGTCGAAGAGAACATTTATGCCCGGTCAGTTTATTAATACTCTGCTGAATCATGATGGCAGATGCCATTCACTGTTGCATAAGGTTTCTCTGCGTCTGCAATTGCAAACTCATAGCGCAATTTAATTATTGCAACACGCGCGTCTACTGTCAATACATCAACGTTTAAAATTTCATTTTAATTTCTTTCAAGTTAGAAGGCTACTACCATAAAAGATGAATAAACATCGACCAGTTTTGTACTCTCCTATAATCAATTTTTTTCCTATCTTAATATTTTAGATTTTCTTCCTAGGAAAAACTTCGATATTTATCTGGTGGTTTAATACATAAATATTGTATACACGAACTACTGATTCAATAAAACGTTACAAAATGTACAGGTAACGCAAGTTTGCAAAGCAAAGTACATTCTTGAATTCTAGACATAAATGCTAGTACTTCCACTTTTTCTCTCAGAGGTAAAAATTATTCAATATTTTAATTATTATTTAATGTTTTTGAACTAGAATCGTTTTTGTGTTCAAACCAGTTTTTGACTTCCAGAAGACACAGATATTTTAGAAAAATCCATCTATTAAACTTGTATTAATAAACTTCTATCTTGCATGGTTTTCCAAACAATATTCAGTTGTTGTTATGCAAATTGTGTTTAAAAGTCGACTGAAGCGTAAATAAACGAAATTATAACGAGATAACAAGCGAATGCAAAATTGCAGCTCGCGTTTACTTATCCACAATGGCGTGAACGAAGCATTCTGCACAGTAGTTTCTATTAAAATTGTTATCCCAGTATTCTTTTCCCGCAGTACAGAACCGTATGGCAAATTCTAGCTTGCCTCCAACGTCCATACTGTGCGGAAGAGAAATTCTAAACTGAAATCGGTCCGTGTCGCCATCGGAAGACTGCGGCACGTAATCTGCCCAAACGTCTCGGAAGGTCTTCCATCCATCAACGGTATAGCGAGCCGTGATTTCTTTAGCAAATGCAATGTTTTTAACTTTAACAGTCCCAGTCATCGCGAAGCCGCAGAAAACAGCGTTCTCCAAACAGACATTTCGCTCTATCACGCGATCTTTGAAGCTGTCCTCCGATGCAGGCTGAGTAAAACAACACCGGAATCTCTTTAAGAGCCTAGGTGTTGCAAAATTATTCAAAATGTTCCCCTGTCGACTCACAGAAAGGTCTTCCTCACTATTTGCAGGTGTGATAACTTTGACTGAAACCAGGTCCTGGCCGTCGAAATCGGCGAAATGAACACGACGTTTGGATTCATTCTCGGGCGAGGAAACCGGCGACAGATGCTGTGGCTCTTGTTTCATTTTCGTGAGCGAGACATCCTTCCCAGGACAGGAGAAGAACGGGTTGTTATTCAAATCAAGTCCTCCCTTGTACATGAAGCGTACTTGTAGTAATAAAGACTTTCTCGCTCTGTTTCATGTTCAAATGCATGTTTACAAAATGATCGAATCGCATCCGTGACCGAGTGCATGTTTTTACATAATCGGCTGACCAGTGGTGACGTCACTGGTCGTCGCACATGGCAGTTCCCCGCTGTGCACGTGACGAAAAAAGCAGAGTACAGTTTTCTGGAAGTCATACCACGAATGGTGGATTAATATTTCAAGCAATCCCTGTTTTTCCTGCCAATCTTTTACACTGTGATAATGGCAACAGAGGACAAGAGAGATTATCCTCTTTTGGTGAAGATCAAGATGAAGTTAAAACCAGGGTGACACAGACATAGTACAGAGTCATGTTTTTTTGACCAAAATTCATTTTAAGCGTCGATAATTTATATGTCGAGAGTGATTTTCGGTCAATTTTGTCGACAATCGTTCTCTCGAGTGCATGAAACATCTAACGTTCCTGATTTGTTGTACGACAGTGGTACTAGTTGCCCCTCATTCGTGAACGAAAACTTTTTTTAGTTAGGAACGTATCGAAACCGGGAGTCCCAGTATGGTTTTCTGTTACAGAAGATCACCGCTACTTCGAAGTTAAAATCAGGTCATGTTTTTGTTGGCAGCAGACCGCGCGCCACTAAAAGCACTTCGTAGGATGAAGCCGAAGGTCTTCCAATTTTCACGAAAATTTGATTTTATCACCTGATTTGATGAATGGAAGCCAATCAATACTCCTGTAAATAGACTGAAAAGCTGACGTTTCTTATTTTTATACATCACCCGGCCTGCTTGCGCCCAATAGACCTATTCGGCTAACTCAATGTTGTACCCAATTCAAACCCTTTGGGAATAAAACGTTTTGTTTCAGGAATTTCCATATCATTTAAATGTGAATGCCACATTATAATGCAAATACAATACACAAAGAATCTTATCCCCGGGAGATTTGAATTGGGTACAACATTGAGTATAAAGCCGAATAGGTCTACCGGGTATTCTCATTCTCGCTCTCCCCCAGCTTGCGATAGCCCTCCGCTGCACTTCCCCTACAAAACCGTCGCCTAAGCACAGGCTATTCAAGCGCTAGCTGAGTTTACGGCGTTAAACTGAGACAATCAATTCTACTCAGTTCACAAAATCAAATTTTATGCCCCCTTTCTTCACGTCGCCCTCGCAGCCGTTTTTTGGATGTCACGCAACGGGAGCGTTGCGTGACATCCAAAAAAAACGGCTGCGAGGGAAACAGGTATAAAATATTTTAGTTTTATCTTAGCAGTCGTGTGATCGGAGGAAACCTGTTGAAGAAGTGCATCGAGTTGTCTGTTCAGGGGTTTAATTTGAATGCATGGTATCTTTTGTAATTAAGAGTACCTCGGTTGTTCAAAACTCTATCCAGTGGATAGTGCAATTAGTTTCCCCAATACTTACAGGCGCGGATCCACACCGGTTTCCACCGTTTTACGGAAATCGGTCATATTTTCATAATTAATATGTTTCAGGAGAGCTCAATTTCTCTTGTATGTTTTTAATAATAAAAACACTTTCCAAGTTACCATCTGGCCAACATTCTGTCTGAATGACTTGGAAACCCAGGAAAGGGGACTTTAAGTAGTAAAAATCCAATTTTTTTCCTGGGGGAGCCTTCTCCCGGACCCCGCTAGAAGCTTGTGCCTTTGGCGCTCGTTTAGGAAATCGGTCAGTATTTATCCTAGATCCGCGCCTGACTTATCCGCTGGATATTAATTTTGTGGATAGCGCTACCTTACGTTTGAACAACCGGGGTCAGGTGTGTAAACTCTTTTTATCTCATGGATTTTCGTCTACACACCTCCATCACTTGTTCTAATCCGTATTCTTGCATAAATGCAGTAACTTGATGTGTAAAAATAATAAAAAAAAACTTTAAACTTGAATACACGCACGTTCCTTTCTGCTGCCCACTAAGGTCGGAAGGTCGGAAGTAGGAAGTCGAAAGTCTTTCCTCGGCTTTCGTATCCGGTCGGTTACTATATTTAAAAATGTTTGGCCTAGTTTTTCAATTTGTAATTACATCAAAGTGACAGAAGCGGAGAGATAACTCCAAACTCTTGCAGCTTGTGACTAAACGCAAAAAAAGTAACTCACTATTATTTACATGTATTTAGGTTATGTAACAACTCGTTATAATTACAAATTAGTTAGGAGTGCGTCCGACATGCATGGATGTGATGGATGGGTGATGGGGCGAACTTCAAAGCAAGCCACAAAGTAGATATTAGTTGCTGGTCTAGAAAAAAGCGTCGATTCGGAGGACCTTTCGGACGCTTTGAAGAAGGCAAACGCGAGGTTCCTACTAAGGAAAGGCGTAACCCGATTAATTAGGATTCGTCACTTGGTTTAATTAAAGAAAAAAAAAAGGGCAATTACCTCTCCGGAAGCAAGTCAACAGTTTTGCTGCTGATAAGAAGCCGCCGTAGTAAAACAAGCTACCAGCAAGAAAACAAAGAGGACATTTGAATGCTTTCCAGTCTTCTGATTTGCTGGTAGCATTGCTTCGCTCATCTGAGTGGCCGATCTACTCCCAACCCAAAAGCTGATAGTATGAGTCTGTCAGCCAATCAGAATGTGAGTTTTGCAATAGTATAATGCAAGTAGTACAGAGACCTGCAAGCTTAGAATTGGGCAACCAGGAGATGCCTGAGAAATATGTGCTAAGCTAGTCAGAAAAGTGGTCTTACCGTATTTATTCGATTAACCGCCCTGGGCGCTTGTTAAATTTTTGGACCTTGAGAGTGGGCGCTTATTCGAGGCTGGGCGCTTTGCAACAAAACAATAAAATGCTAATAACAAAACGCGAAGAAGTAACAAGGCAAACTCCGTCCTCGGGGAAGTGTCTTATTAAAATTATTCACTCAAGTAGGTGGGGTAGGGGGGAGCGTTTATTTGAGTTTGATTGGGAGGAGGAGGGGGTGGGCGCTTATTCGAGGCTGGGCGCTTATTAACTTTTTCTGCCTTTAGAATGGGCGCTTATTCAAGGTGGGTGCTAATTCGAGGTTAGGCGCTTATTCGAATAAATACGGTAATCAAGGAATGAATAAAAGTCATCCATCCCTCCATCTATGCAGCAATAAGTCATCATGCAATTTTCGAGTTGCCCCAAGAAGGGTGGAGCCATTGATAACGATATTTTTATTCTCACTCAAATAAAACTCATTTTTACGAAAGAATTTAGGCACTCAGCCTCATTTTGAAAGTAAGAGTTTTTGGAACTCGGAAATGGGCTACTTGGTTTCAAGATACTCACTCTTGAAAAAGTTTTGTTCTCAAAGGTTACAAAATATCCCGGGGGATACTTCCTAGTATGTGCTGCTGGATGGGGTCGCATTTTCACGACTGGATTGACTATTATGGGGTTGCACTTTTATAAAAGTTACTAGAGTACAGTCGCACATTTCCAGGATTTTGGGGGTCGGAAAATTCAGGTATGTACGCATTTAAAAATAGAGAGATTTACACCACATTAAATCTAACAAATGTGTCAGTTCATTTCAGGATGACCTACTGTAGTTAAAAGGCTTTATAAGGTAGATGCATAAACAGAAAGTGGGGTGATGGGGTAGGGATTCTGAGGGGCCAGCGGCACATACCCAGCAAAAATTAACCCAAGTAACCCCCCCCCCCCCCCCCACACACACACACACACACAAACACACACAGACACACAGACACACACTACCCCCGGGGGAAAATATTAACACTTTATCAGTACAAAGGACTCAGGGTCAGCTTGCAAAGCCGATGCTGGAAGTATCAGCTACATATTTTAATCTTCCTCAAAACCTCACGGTTACAGTACCTACAGCAATTTATATTCTGTTAAGTTGACAGCAAACAACAACGGGTTCTGAAATCACATCCTGATTCTAACAGAATTACTGGATGACATGGTAGGATAAGAATCTTTTAAAAAATAGTGACTAAATATTTCCTTTTTCTTTTTACAAAACCACTATTTACAAGACAAATGAGATTAACAATACTATATTACAAGAGCTTTTAACTTACTCTCACGCTCTGTTTACAAAATATTATGGACATAAAACCACATAAAAAAGCCTATTTTTGAAGGTTTTGGTGAAAATTTACCTGCCTTAAAATGTTGGTGTCAGATTACTTGCTCCTTGCAAACAAAAAGTAAAAAATTCTAATAATGAAAAATTTTTTACGATAAATTGTTGCATGAAGAATGCAAATCATCATTTACCAGCATTTCGTTCCTTTCAATCAACAGCTTAGACAACATACTGACAACTGTGTAATTTTATAGAGGGATTACAAAAGTAAAAGACAACTTACTTATTTTTGCCTGGAACTTACTGTGTTACAGAAAAGTAGTTGATCATAAGTAGGTGGAATATGATCATCGTAGTGAGTGTAGTCCTGAATGATAATAATAATAATAATAACAATAATAATAATAATAATAATAATAATAATAATAATAATAATAATAATAATAACAAAACTTATATAGCACCGATATTTCATCAGCACTATTTTCATCAACTGTTCTTGACAGTCTAGAATGACTGTTCTAGAATCCAAGTTCCACTGACAACGACTGGAATCCACGGCTTGGGACTGTCTTAATTCCTTTACATGGGGTGAAACCTGACTGGTCAATCACTTTGCAATGGTATCAGTGTTAGATCTAGGAGAGGGGGCCCTAAGCCCCCAACTTATTTTTAGGTCATGAACTGAGGCCCACAAGGACAAACCTCGTCCCCAGGATGCTCACCCTAGGAATGAGGTTGAACAACGCCAAGAAAAAACATAAGAAAGACCAGAGGCCCATTTCTCGCAAGTCCCAATAATTAACAGGCCCAGAAAGCTGTTGGACTGGTTTGTCAGCCAGAACATGCACTTAGGGTTAGGGGTCTCTAGATTTTGATTTGAATATTTAATTTCGTACCTGAAAATTTACCGGGACTTTCGAGAAACAGGCCCCGGGCCCGTTTCAATCAAACAGACTGGATGAGCAGCCACACCCCCACCCCCTGCTCACTAAAGATCTGATATTAACGACAGTCCTATTCAGTTTTTGCAACACTAAGACACACCCCTTGTTCAGGACAACACTCACCTGCCAAACATTATAGTCAACTTACTTTACCATGACATAACTCATGGGTTCAAATAATTTACTTAGCCTGCTTAGCTGCATTTTTTTTTTGGGGGGGGGGGGGGGGGGAGTAAGAGATAGAGGGCACAAAAGTTTAGCCAAGGTCAAACCAGAAAACCAAGGGAAGAGGGGGTGGGAGGGGAGAAGGCAGTAAGAAACCCCAGTTTTTTCTCTCCCTCTCCCTCATTATTTTCTGTTTTGACCTTGCACGTGGCCGTATAAACACAAATCAAAAAAGAAAATCACACCAAAAAAAGCCAACTATGCAGGCCAACCATTTACTTTGTCTATCTTCAATATTTTTTAACACAGTATATCATTTATAATTTATACATGTGGCAGAGCATTCCATGCTAATCAGTAATCTTGAAACTCATTCAGATGAGGACTACAAAAGAGTTTCTTTTTCTGAACAAGACATTGATATTTCATGCTACTCCCTTATTGTCAAACTCGTTGAAATATGAACACCTGAAATATCTCGCGAATGTTGATTTTGCAGTGACCAATCACAACAATGAACAGGAGATTCAAGCAAACAAAAAAAGGCACAAGTAATATTTTTACATTTGCCTAATTAGCTTTTTTGCAATGCAGCAACATTCTAAAATACTTCTGGTGTTCATGGTTTTCTAAGATTCATGGCAAATCAATATAACACATTTACCAAAATTGATACAAGCTCTGCATGCCAACTAGCCGCACATTAGTTCCAAAAACAAAAGCTGTTTTGTTTAAGTGGTTTGTCACATTTGCATAACAACAACAGTGTTAAATTGCAAACAATAACTTTCACTAAACCTGCCACCTTTTCTGTCCTCAGAAAGTGTTTGATGCATATGAGGTTAAAGTCATACATCTTACGTACACCAAACAAAAAAAACACCATATAAAATCAATTTTCACAAAATATCTTAATATTGATTTATGACTTTTACTATGTAATACAAATTTCTGATCAAAAATAAATTCATACATGGTGAATTGACAGTTGCAATATCTCATCAAAACAATCTACTGTCTTGAAGTATATTTTAAGCCTATGAAAGAGAGAGTATGATTTAAAGTGGCCAAAAATGGTTAAGAATACAAACTTTTAAGTCCATGAAGAGAACTGTAAAAATCTTAATCTCCAGATATGGGGTGGTTTCCTGCAGTTTTCAGCCAGCAAAGACTGTATTCAACTTGTATCTTGAATCTCATATTTGTGAACATCACATACAAGTTTTTAAGTAAGCCAATGTGCTGACAAAGAAATCATTGAGCATGGACCAATGATCATATCAGATGAAAAACATGCCTTAAAACATAACTTAAGTCTAAATTAGACCTATCTTCAGGTTTACTGAGCAAAGGCAAGTTATTGTCCTTTCTTAATAAGAAGTGTTGGAGAGGTGAAGAGAATTGGGCATCACGATTTGGTTATTAAACATTACTGAGTTGACAAGTAGGTTGCAAGAAATCCAAACAATGCTTAGAAAGTGAATTCATGGTCACAAACATTTTCTGCACCATGGAATACACTTGTAAAGACCAAATAACACTTTAAAAGGAAGACTTTCAGTTTCAGTGTCTTAAACATCATTATTGAAAAATGGAGTACTGTTACATAATAGCAGAAAAGGTAATACAAAGGAGCAAAGTCCAGTGGCATTAACTAAACAGACACACATATATGGTTATGTAGTCAACAGCATATATGCCAGCAGTAGCATGAATAAACCATGTGTTAACTTAAGAATTGGTAAAATAGAATGGGTAGAGTTTAAATAAATATTTTATATGGTTAAATTTGGGGGTGGCTGTTCAAATCTTTTACTGTGACACTTGTAACTGTAGTTTTAAAAGGGGTCAAATTCAAGCAGTCCTGACAAAACAGATTTTGAGAGTCAGATCAATCAGTAATACATGTATGAATACCTAATAAATTAACCCCTTTGGTCTCCCAGATGTAAGTAAAAATAACAATAATCAGACATTGACTTTCAATTTTTTAAACAAAATTGTACAACAGAACAGCAGCTCATGTTGTGGAGGTATTGACAGAGAGGATCCGCACATCAAAGGATTTCATCCTCAGACTCAAAAGTGAAAAAAATCTTGCTAATTGATTTTGGAAGAAAAGGGTTGAGGGGCAGTGTTTAAGTGAGTTTCACCCTGCAGAATCAGTTCACCATTTATCATCAATAGTTTTTGTTTCTTTCACACAATGAAGATTGCTTCATTATTTATACCATTATACGAAGAGTGCTCCATGCATACACATGCACAAAAAACTGAAGAAAGAAAGTTGAAGATAGAAAGTTGTGACTCAGGTTTCAGGTATAGGCAATCATCATACTAATAATGATCACATAGTGCATGATCCTTTAGCCTGCAAAACAGGCACTTTATTTTTGTGTTTTTTTAAGGTGAGCAAAAAGTGGAGCACTTCCTGTTGCAAGTCTCACGTTCCACCTCCACTACATGGACATCGACGACTGCCAAAAACAGTGCCTGTCCTGCAGGCTTGATACTTCTACTACATTCTATGGAGAATAACTTACGGGAATTAAGAGGTTCTGTGTGCTGTGACCATTATAGTCAAGACAGGTTGGCCAGTTTAGAAGGATTGCATCCCATTGAGTATAGTTTACCATACCAGGAGAAAGGATGTGAGATTACATCCACTTCATACACGACTTTATAGAGGAAACTGCTGCCCCACTCACTGAACAAAGATTTTGCCTTCAGTGACTTGAAGGCACAACTCTCTTTCTGTACCCTTGCATAATTTTTGTGAGTTTAAATTTCTCACTAGTAAAGGATTGGCACACTTTGTCTGTTGATCAGGGCAGCATGATTGCTGAAATATTGGGTCTAATTCTAATTAACAGCACTTCCACTGTTCTCTAAATTTTATCTCACCTAAACAAGACATTGCACAGGGAGTATCATCAACGATCCCTGGTGCAGCACAACAACAACAAATCCAACAATCGTAAATACCACCATGCCTTCTATAGCTTAATCTGTATGCTAATGAACCAAAGTGTTAATAATAATTAGGCCAACATGAATGCACCCAATGAGTTCAAGGTCCGTCAGTTAAAAGCGATGGTCCAACTACGAGGACGCAAAAGACAAAAGCCAATTCTCTTAGTACAGGGTAACATAACTTGTTTGTTTGTTTGTTTTGGCCATTAAGTACCAAAGCAGGGTGGTACTCCCCTATAACTGTTAGCATAACATGTCCGTGCTATTTGACAGTAGTATCTGAGGGGAAAACATTTTGTAATCAGAAGGGCCCTTCTCACTCTCCTAGAAAATTAAGTCTGGAAAGCATTTTAAGGAGATCATTTCACTGCTGTGGAACTGAACGATATATTTTTTCACTTTAAAAAGAGGGCGTATTGTTATTGGTAAACTTTCTGAGCCTACGAAAAGATGGCAAGCACCATTACTAATTCTATTCACATTTTAATTAATAATATTATTCCTTCTTTGGGTTTGGATGAAAATAAATAGCATGAAAAGGACTTGATAAAACTTGCTCTTCGTCTGGCCGATAAGTGACCTCGTTGAGAATGCGTTGAGTTCATTAAACTTAAAACTGCAGTTCTACTTTTTGCTACATGATCTGAGCATTCAATCACCTACCATCAGCTGAGTAATTAATTTACACACGTGCAGGAGAGCGTGTTGGTTCCTTTTGTTTTGATCTGTGTGACAGGAACACGTTAGTTCCACTACTGGTAGGAGTTTGTTCTCATTACGCTGCTTTCAGAACTTAATATCGTTCTTCCGAAACAGATTGGCCATTCTGTTGATCCCACTGTTCGATGGCGGCGACTCTCGACACTCAATCCGATAGTTCTCTCCGTTGTTGTTGTCCCAAAATTCCATACCTTCCCCTTGAAAACGAACAGCAAACTCTACCACTCCGCCGGAAGCTAGAAAGTATTCGGGAAGCGTGAGAGCGAACGAAAATCTATCCGTTGAACCATCATTAGAGTCAGGTACATAAACTCCTTGGAGATCTGTGCTGGAAACCCAGCCATCCAAAGAGTATCTCACAGTGACCTCTTTGTGAAAGCAAATATTCTTTACCTTTATCGTTCCCCAGATGGAATTTTGCGAAGCTACGGCGTTCTCGAGAGAAACTGTTTGCTTTTCCAGCCTGTCTCGAAAACCATCCGAGGCAACCGGCTGAGAAAATCGCACATGTAATGTTTTTTTGGCCCGCTGCAGCTCGCGTTTGGTCATTTGAAGAGCTACGTGAATATTATATTCATCGTCGCTGTAAACAGAGACGAGAGGCTTTCCACAGCCATCCGCAAACTGCACGTTTTTTTTCCTCGGAGCAGGTAGAGATTTGTGCTTTCGCAGAATTGAATGGAAACCGTTTCCGCCGCCATTACCGTCAAGTTCATCATCGTCAGCGAACGGAGGGAACACAGAATTCACCCTTCGCATGTTGGGAAAATCGTCCATGTTTGCCACGTGTTCCTCTTTGTTCTGGCATGAATTTCTCGCCTCCACTGACTACATTTACTTGACAAAATTTAGCACACATGCCACTTTACCAGATATATATTGAGGTAAAGTGTGCGGGACTTCACGCTCTCAAAGCCTCAAAGCCCTGAACTCTGAAGTCACTTTGAAGTGATCTGATTGGTGGATAGTTTTCAGTCCAGGCGCCTTTCAGATTGTGCCATTATTGAAATAATAAAAAGCAAAAAAACTTCCTGATCTTCTTGGTTGTTAATCAGGATATGTTGTAAATTATAAGGGTTAAAGATGTAATAAATATATTCCCCTTCGTTTTTATTAAATGCGTGTCAGTCACAACATCACTGCTGTAAATTATAAGGGTTAAAGATGTAATAAATATATCCTCCTTCGTTTTTATTAAATGCGTGTCAGTCACAACATCACTGCGTCAGTGCGAACCATTCTTTTGTGTCTTTTGTTGCGCATGCAAAAATAAGATTTTAGTGGGAAATAAAAATGATTGGCAGATCTCTCTTGGGGCTTTATATTGTTTTGAACGACCGTCCTGACAAAAAAGCAACGAAGTGGTATCCAGCTGCCCAAGAGAGCGTACGTGACACCATGCAAATCACGCAATCCTGTTAAATATGTTCAAAACTTTCTGCTGCAAGTACGGTTTGAAATAAAAAATGAACCAAAGACTTGACTCTAAAGCGGTCACGAAAAAACAAAAGAAAGAAAGAAAAAGGAAAAACTGCAGATTCGCAAGAAACTATCACAGAGTTGGGAAGGGGATAAAACGCTATGTTGTCTATTTCTGCCTTAAAATTGGAGGGGAAATAGGAACAAATACCAAAACCGCTTTATGGCATAATTATACAGATACGTTTATATCGAATCGTCTTTCTCAATGAAAGAAAGCAGTCTATAAACTATTACGCTGCAGCCTCTGTAGTTAGTCACATGGTGTGCCAGTCCGGAAATGTTTAGAAAACGAAACTAACACAAGGAAGGGACACTATTGGCAACCCCAGGTTGCCGTGACTTTCAGTTTCGAGTCTTATAGCTGTTTGTTTTAGCCCACAAAACTATTCATTTTTCTTCAACTAAAACTTTCGCAGTTTTGTCTTGTTGATGGGCCAGGGTCAGGACTTCAAAAACGAGGGTCTGGCAATGCTGTCATGTTGGTTTCTTGAATTAGAACTTATGACGGCCAAAGTTAGGGATGACATGACTAGAAACTTGGCACGCACGTAAACAACTATATTGACATCTGACCTTTAAATGAAATATATGGTCGTTTCTTTGCGTTTATGCTGCACGAGGTTTTCATGCGCAGCTCAAGAGCTTCCTTTCAATAAAAAAACTGCATCGAATGTCATCGAGTGTCGGGGAAGGAGGGGGGGGCATGGATACCACTCCTTTGTTTACTTACCCTGCGAACAGTGGTTTCTCTGGGCCAGACGCTACGCTATGCACCAATATGTGTCTTAGCACAGTAATACTGTTAGGTGTAGTAAGTGTAGTACCTGTAGTGGGTGTGGAGAAACCACTGCTCGCAGGGTAAGAATTTCTTCAGGTTTGTTAAAAAAAACACACACACAGACACATCATGCGCGTTTTTGTTTTGTTTTGTTTATGAAGGCAGGTAATAGGACATAGATGAAGTTACATATAGACGAAGAATAAATACTGAATTAATAACTGATAATTGCCATTGAATATTCTCAACCAATACAACGCTTTTTACTACCTAATTAGCCTAGATCAAAGCGATAAATATAAAGCTCACTGAAGTTCAGGAGCAAGTGTGGGAAATCAAGGAAAACCATCGCGCCGTCTCTGGGAAAGATCAATGTTTGGCAGTTTTCACAGTCCTACAAATGTTGTTTTCGTTGTTCTTAAATCGCACGAGAGAGAAAGAGCGAGATGACATCCATGTTCTAAGAAGATTACTCACACACAAAGATTGTCATTTCCAGCAACAATACGCCCAAATACTGGAGAATGTTCGGTGCGTACGCCACTGCACGGACACCCGGTGCGACAGGCGCGCGGCGTCAAGATGGAGCTCAAGTTTTGTTTTGAGTGACTGATGTTCCTTGAGAACGAGAGTTCTCGTTCCGTCTTGTGGTAAGCTAAATTCGCGCACGTTCTCCGAGGAAAGTGGTACAGATTTCCCCCAGGATGAGAGAAATGCACGTGTTAGTTGATTCTATGCGGGTCGAATACGAGTTTTGGATCCCACTGACCATCTTTCGCCATCCATGCTTTATTCCCCGCTTCGTAACCACTCCTCGGTTATTTGTCATGCGCGTGCTCTTAACTTGCGCGGATTCCCGCGAGGATGAGATGACTGCTAGGGTTTGGTAATATTCTGCAAGTCAGATAGAATTGACGGACGATACCGAGCTTCCAATTCCTGCATGAATGTCAATTGTTCAGCAACTTTGAAATTGGGGATTGGGTTTTCCTGAAACAAAAGGCAAAAAATATGAAAAACGCTTTAAAAAAACAATGGTTATTTCCTCATTCGACACTTTAGAGACAAGAAGGGAACTGGAGCCGAAATGCATCCCGCGACCTTATTCACGATACCCACCATCTTTGCACGCGCTCAAGGTCTGATGGGATTAAGGCAATGTCACGGGGTTTATCAGGGGGCAGACAAGAGAAAAATATTGCCAAGGGAAGAAATCGCAGTGGAATTTATTGTTCTAGACAACAAGAAACGAAGACCTTTTCATCTTAAAGACGATATAATGTCCCCAAATGGAAAGTTTGCTCGCAGGCTAAATCTTATCGCTCCGAAGAAGGCCAAACATCGGAAGAGACGGACAACTCGAATTTAATTGAAATAAAGAAAAATAGACCGCCACCGGTCCTCCTTCTTTCATTACAGCCAGTTACAGCAAGCGAAAAAGGTTATTATTCAAATTAATAGTAAAAAGGAGAGGAGAAGAGATTGGGGCGGAGAGGGAAAACCTAAAAGAAAAACTAACGGCGTCATGTAACGGCTAAAGAAGTTTCGTTTGAATGGCTACATCATAAGATAATGTTCACTAGCACTAAATTTAGATTTATACCACATCTTCTCGTGATTATCTCCGTTTGTAAAGAAATGAACGGAAGCCTGCTCTTTAGCGTTTAATGTGCAGCTCATTGCCATCTACCTTTAAGAAGATTAGAAGCTGCTGTTGCTGCGTTTTTCGTAGAATGTCTTGTTGTAAATGACGTAAAACTGCAATACAAAAGTACACCTGAAAAATAATAAAAATGAAAAATAATAAAGATTAATAAAAAGATCAAGAGTTTTTAAAATTTATTTCATAAAAATAGCCCACAACTTGCTCTTACATTATGACGCGCTTCTTTGAACATTTTATAGTACCTGATAATCAATGCCCATTGTGAGACAAGTACAAATGTACAAACAGATCTCGTCCCAATCAAGGTAGTTCCAGAAACATTGACGTAACCAGTGCTGACAGATCTGGAGTGAATAAGGCAAAAAAATCCATGAAAACAAAGCATAAACATCCCTGCAAATAATACTTTATTTAAGAAAGAGTATATACCCGACCAGCACCTCGGTTAGTCGGACATCCCAGAAAACCGCCGGGAACAAATTAAGGTGACTTTCAATGAAAATTGCAACTTCAAAATAATAGTTTTTCAGTATTTTATCAGTCCGGTTATCGTGTCCGACTGCTGATAGGATTTCGTTAACCTAGGTATCATGCAAAGACTTTTCATTTTGACGAGTCCAGCCTTTCATGGTGACCGCGATTTGTCTCCCAAGGCTGCAGCCTTTGGCAGAAGATGTCTCAGCCAGCGGCCGACCTATAAATTTCCCGCCACGCGCAAAAAATATCTCATTGGAACCCTGGAAAGGATTTTGTCAAACAAGAGCTCTGATAAAATGAAAAGGTGAGTTTCAAAAGCCTTTTCCCGAAGAGAACTCAACAACAATAAGGCCGGGTTTCCGACGTGACATAGCCTGCAAGCAAGCTCTCCACTCGAGGAGTCGCGAGAAGTCACGCAAGAGCCGCACGTGAAAGGAGACGCAAATCTGCTTCGCTCGCCATAATTGGAGAGCTTAGGGGAATAGCCCACGTTCGATATGTTAAAATTTTAACATGACTCCGAGGCTTTAGGATCAAAATTGCAAATTTTTCATGACTCCGTTGTCTCGCAATTGCCAGAACAGACTTGAGCACAAAGAAAACCGAACCAAATATGGAAAAATGCCAGAAAGCCTCGGAGTCATGTTGGTTTTTCCAAGGATCATTCTCTCTTGGCTTTTCATAATAGGCTCATTTAGCAACAGAACAGGAACGTCATTTGAGGTCCGGAAAGCACGCAGAAAGGACTAAACTCGACTTCCGGTGCCCAAGTGGCCGCTCTACCATTGGTCAAACCTTAGTCAAGGTCAAACCAGTTGTTTAATATGCGCGCGCCGTCGTAAACTGACGTTCCCGTTCTGTTGCTAAAACAGCCTAATATAACGAACGTGGGCTATTGCTATTGGGCTATTGCTGGCAGGGATCAGACCTCTCTCTCCAGGCCCCTGCTTGCCAACGCTGCTCCCCGTCAAGCCACTTTCCTTTGCACACAGATGCTAGGTTCACACGCTACCGGTCGAATTTTTGACCAGCCGAAAATTCGTACGGTTAGGTACTTCGCTCACAAGGAACCGCGCTAACCACACAAAAATTTGAACGTTAAAATTGAGGTCAAAGTTTTGACCGGTACGGTCGAAAATTTGAACGGCAAGGTGTGAAAACCATGACCGTCTAAATTTTTTTGTCAGCGAAGGCGTGGCTGCATGGATGCGTGGTTACACAGCTGTAAAAAGAGAGGAAAATTACCAGCCTGTCCCTTGAGCCTGTACACAGCGTTGCTTTATTTTTCTTTATCACGCGCGCTCGAAGGACTTTGAAGAGAAAATAGAGGGTCTGTGAACACGCTAGAAAATTACGAACAGATATTGCGAACATGGATTTACGAGTCGTGGTATTACTCACTTTCCTTGGAAATATTACGGTTCGACAGTCAAGTGTGAACAGCGCAAAAATATTGAACGGTTCCGTGTGAACAAGTGTCCGGCCAAATTTTTTAGCCGGTACCGTGAGAAAGTAGCTTCAATTAATTTTGTCACCGGAAAATGAAAAAAAAAGAAATTCATTCTGCAGACCTGTCCTAATGTGACAGGAATGTCACTTTTTGAAATGCAAATTTTCTACAGCTTCAACCTCTCTTAGCTTGTTTATATAAGGACGCGAAAAATACTCAAGGAGTAAATTAATGCCTCTAGGGAAAATGTTCGATGTTACTTAAAATTCCTTTAACATATCTGACCTAAAACTGCAGTAGTGTAGAAAGCGACCACGAGTTTATTTTTGAACAAGAGTGGTCACCAATGTCTCTCTTAAAAGGTTCGTGAAAAAAAAATCCACTCGGGGTATTCTTCATATAAACTGTAGCGATGAAATACAAACAGTTTTAGACGCCCGAACACTCAAGACTGGCACTGAGTTGAAAAGAAAAATGGCATATTAACTGAAGTAACATTCAAATGTTTAAGTCAAAATCTGAAGAATAAGAGCGCGGGTCCTAACTAACAAACCAGTCCACTGTTTGTTCTGTTATCTGATTCTTTCATCATATTTCTTGAAATCTCTATCTTGAATGTAAACATCAACAGCTTTACGAGCCAGTTAACCCTTTCACTGCCAGAGTGCTTGATGGAGTTTTGTAATGTGACTCTAACTTTTGAGCCTGCAGACAAAATCCTATGATGTGACCATTCAAATGAAAGCTCTCTTCCTGTGCTTTCACATGGTGCTATTTGTTTTTCAAAATTTCACAAAAACAAAATTTGGAAATTTTGGTCGAAATTTGCTTTTGGCTAAACTGTGAAAGGGTTGTTGTTTGAGGATTTTTAACGTTCTGGCCCAGGCCCCGGTTGTCCAAAAGGTTGTTAAAGCAATCCACTGGATAAATCTCTATCCAGTGCATAAAGCAATTGGTTTTCCTAGTGCTTATCCGCTGGATAGTGATTTATCTGGTGGATAGCGCTATCCCACATTTGAACCTTTGGGGCCTGAGAATTTACACGTACATTTTTAACACTAAAGTCATCAAATGCTGACTGCTTCCTCTGTTTGCTAATGAATATTTCATACAACTCAGTTTCTCCTTGCGTCATATACAGTTCATAATCTTCCCAAAATAGCCGTTTCAAAACCTGAAAACTCAGCTTGTCAGAAAGAGACGTAAAAAGTTAATTTCAATGAAAACAGCGAAGTCTATCGTAGATTATCGTATAGTCAGCGAACTCGGTTGATGACGCGTAAGACGATCATGGCTTGCTCGCGGTCTGTCCTCAGTTTAATCTACGCTCTTTCTGTTCTGGTTACTCTTGGTCCTGCTTACTGTAAAGTCTCTAATGCTTCTCAGGGCACTCAAGTAAAAGACAGCGCACCTAACGTGTACAATACTTACAATACGTTTTGCACGGGGCTTAGCAAGAAGATCGAAGTATTGTTACATGAAGTTAAGAACGAGTTAAGCGAGATGAGGGACGAAATCAGGTCTTTAAAAGAAAACAACACGACCTCTCCAGGTAATATCTTGTCTTCGCGCTGAAAATCACCATTTGAGTTTACAATGGAATCACGAGTTCTGAACCACCTTGGCAAAGGCAAATTGGTTCGAATTATACGCAGGTTTGAAAAATCTGGGGTAAAATTACAGTGTTTGAGGTGAATGGATGTGATAGGTTTGGCTCGAATTATCGGGGATTTCGAAAAACCGAGAGGTCGAGAAATCGGGATTCTACTGTATAACTACACACCAAGGAAATACATACAAAGATTAGTCCACCTTTGACACCAAATCCAAAACGGACAACCTAAGTTTTACCAAAGAAACAGTATTTGCATTTTATTTTTAGGGTACAGGAACTGCGCGGAACTTTACAAAGCTGGACAACGAAAGAGTGGTGTCTACACAATCAACCCTGACAATGCCGGAGCTTTCGATGTTTATTGCGACCAAACAACAGCCGGTGGAGGGTGGACAGTGCTCCAAAAGAGACTAGACGGCTCGGTTGATTTCTACCGCGGCTGGGATGATTACAAACGAGGCTTTGGGAATCTAAATGGTGAATTTTGGCTCGGCCTGGACAAGATTCACCGCCTGACGATATTACGAAGCAGACTTCGGGTGGATCTTGAGGACACGAACGGAAAAACGGCTTACGCTGAGTATGATTTTTTTGGTGTTTCCAGTGAGAGAAGCAAGTACAAGCTGAGTTTAGGAACATACTCCGGTGAGTACAAATGTTAAAGCTCAAAAGTGAAAAAATCGACATAGGTACAAACAAGATAATTAATCATGTGGAAACTATATGGTTAACCAAACAAGCATTCCAAACGATGCATGCATGATCATCGCGCAGAGGTGTAACCCAGAGATATGGCAAGGGTAGCACGTAGTAAACAGAGGCAGCAACAAAAATTAAATGAAACAAACGAGCAAAAACGTAAAAAACACCCTGTACTTTTTTCTATAAACTGCACCGTAAATTGGAAAACTTTAGTGTCATTCTAACAATGCCGCATTTGTTTCACGGCCTTTGTCAACTCCGGCCGTAAATGTCTATTTTCACATTATTCACCAAGCTTCACGTTTTTGGCCCAGAATTCAGTTTATCACGACTCAGGAAGCAACGGACACGTGTCATTTATGAACTTAGCAGATGGCCTTGCTTACCATGAGTTCTACCAAACTCTAAAGTGATAAGAGCACCCGGTTGGCATTCTGGGAGGTCATCGAATTCGGTTTTTCTTTGTCCAAGCATTTTAAATGACAAAAATTTCATTTTCCAACTCAAGGCTTATTCTACGTTGCATATTTTGCAGGAACTGCTGGCGACTCGCTCGGCCGACATCGTGGTTATGGATTTACAACTAAAGATCGAGACAACGACAGCTGGAATAAAAACTGTGCATCGCGTTTTAAAGGAGCATGGTGGTACAGTGACTGTGTCATCTCAAATCTAAATGGTGTTTATCTACACGGCAAACATTCTAAATCCTGGGAAGGGATGGTCTGGACCTCATGGAAGGGACCAAATTACTCCGTTAAACGAGCAGAGATGAAAATCAGACCGGTCAAAGCCTAAAGATGGTTTCTTATTTCTTTCATAACGCGTTCGCTTTTGACTAAATGAAGGGTGAAAATCACTTTAAAGAACCAGCAAAAAAAATGTCGTTTAAACGGACACCTATACGTGCGTCTAAATTCATTAGTTGTTAGTGGTTCGTAAATGTCCAACTGCTAGACTGTATTTAAAATGACGGGAGATGTTACTGTATGGCGATCGTTGATAAATGTGAGCTTTGTTTGGAAAAGCAATAAAGAATGCTGCTACTAATTTCATCCTCTTGGCTCAATTCATTCACTTTTCAACAGATACACGGGATATATTATGTAGAGGCGCTACAAAAGGGTCACTATATGCATCTCGTTATATTAGCATGTAAATAAGTTGACTGAGGAGCGAGATTAAGAAAAAAGGGGGCGCAAGGAAGCTATGAGAATGAGCTGTTTATAGAAGAATGAGCCAAGAATGTCCCCGGCTTCAAAGCGGCTGTGTCATGGCTGTTAGTGTATTTTCTTTTCAGACTGTTTTCAATGCCAGTTACGCGTCTTTATTTGCCATGGAACTTCAGAAATTACTTGTGACTGAATGACAAAATCACAGCTTTGTGTCGAACGAATACGTCTCAGTCTCATGCATAATACCAAATGTTACAAACGACGAAAACAGAAAACGAAAACAATTGCAATCCGTTTCAATCTTCATCCTCCTTTTGCATTTGCCGTTTTAATTCTACCTTCTTCTAACGTTTTGAGCGGTTGTTTTTATGGTTTACCCAATTTGGTGGCAGTTCCCGCAGTTTGAATTTTTATAAACTTCGTGCTTCATCTCCTTTTATAAGCAACAGCACTGACCTGTGATGGAGTGTAGCCAGACATCCTAAAGGCAGAATACACCAGAGGCACCTCAGCCTGAAACACAAACAAATGAGGGGCAAATTTTCAAAAACGTTCCGCGGAAATCTTAAAATTTTAAGCCCAAGCGACTCTATACTTACCATTAGTATTAACTCCACGTTGTGACACGAGCATGAATAGAGTGGAGGGATACCGCTGACAGTAAGAGACACCGGCAAATGCACCTGCAAATAATGGAGAAATGTACACCTCACTTAGGAACCCCTTGGGTAATACCCCCTCACCCTAGCCCCTCCCTACGGTAATACTCTCTGCGACCAAGGGGGAAGGGGAAGGTAAGGGCACGGATTATATTAAAAGATTGTGATTGAAATCAATCTGAATATCTCGCCTTGTAAGGGAATTCAAGGGGCAGTGGAATCCAGAATCCAAGCCTTTCTTGGATTACTTTACATGGGACGACAACATCGGTGCGAAATACAAGGGTTAAACTGTTGTAGGTTCTCGCCTTCGCTCTGGGAGATTTTTTTCAAGGTACACCGGTTTTTCTCTGTGCTTAAAAAGCAGGCAACATTTTTCAGTTGTCAAGGTGTTTCGATACAGTTTCTCGCAGACCATACCGATGTTTCTAAATCGCCTTAAAAGTGATGTTATCCTTGTCCGATCGCCACAACATTTTCACCAGTGAATAACTATGAATTTAAGTTTGTCAAAATGAAGTTTTTAGTAAAATTGATATCACTGTGACAACAATAAACAAAAAATTTTAAAATCGAATTTCGCGCGATCTAGACCTGCTACTGAAAATCCGATACCAGGACCTTAAAGTTTGGTATTTAACAAATAACCTCCGTGAGAAGTAAAAACTTGTGTATGTTTAAATTCAAACAAAACCATACATACCTCCATGGCTAGTACATTTCAATGTGAGCATTGACAATGTTTTACATTCAAAATATGCAGTTAAAGTCATACTAAAATGGAATTAATTTAGGTTTCTGGGAAACTGACCACCCACCCCTCCCCTAAGTCAACATAATCACTTACTTCCCACTTAGGGCAAACTGTTGGCTTAGGGGAGGGGTAGGTGGGCAGTTTCCCTGAAACCAAAAATGATCCAAAAAATGTACTAGCCTTGGAGGTATGTATGGTGAGCATTAATTTGGAAAAATTAGCATAACGTCAAAACAGTGGATGCCGTAACGCGGATTTTTGGTCGGTTCGTAGGCTACATTCGTCTTGAAATTTCAAGGTGTCGAAGTGAATCAATCCCAGTCAATGCTTCACACATTAATTTATAGATCATGGAGATTGTGTGATGAGGTTTAAAAAGAGTTCTGTAGAGCCGTTTTAGAGATAATACAGAAAAGCGCTAAAAGTCAAAATTCAGAATAAAGTTGCACTTAGACAGTGGGTAAGAAAACAGGTTGGTTTTCAGGATCGCAAGAAAGGAAATACACCAAAATTTCCATGCATCGAAATATGATATTAAGCAGCCTTCTGACGCTACTTAAGATTAATTTGAGTTATTTAGAACTTTTTTATTACACAATTTGTTACGGCTATTGAAAATTTAAGGTTTGAAATATATTTAAGTTTTACTTGAATTCAAATATACAGAATTTTTTCCTTCTCTCAGAGGTTATTTGCCAAACACCATTTTTTTCAGTAGCAGGTCTAGATCGCGCGAAATTCGGATTTAATCGATTTTAGAGTTTTTTATTTATTGTTGTAATAGTGATCTCGATTTTACTAAAAACTGCATTTTGACAAACTTTAATTCAGAGTTAATCACTGGTGAAAATTTTGTGGCGATCGGACAAGGATAACATCTCTCTTAAGGCGATTGAAAAACATCGGTATGGTCTCCGAGAAACTGTATCGAAACACCTTAAACTGGAATGGAGAAAAAGAACCACTACTACTAACCACTAAAATGTTATTTAGTAGAGATATTTAGAATCACGTTTGCGGCAAACGACATACATCATGCAGTTTGTACCAGGCGACCAAGTGTTCCTTATTCATCGTTTAATGTTCTTCATATCTACGCAGTTATTTTGAAGAGTTTTTCTTTAAAAATTTCCACGTTTGAGAACCGAATCTGGCGTTTGCCGTTTTCCATAAACGTGACTCAAATCTCTTTTAAAACGGCAGAGAATCTGCAATGGGCGCGAAAACCGCAATAGAGTGTTATATTCAAAAAAGTTACATTACCGAAGCGTGAAGCCTGCGGACCCAGAGATAACCAGAACTGACGAGACTAGAGAACTTAAAAAGGAATTCCCATGAGAGATCAGGATCACCGTACATCATAAGAAAAACTGTGGAAACAAACCAGTCATGGCCGACATAGTCACCACTTAGCGTGCCTGGTGCAGCAGGACAGAAAATAGAAAGAAAGGAGTCAAGGAATAGCCATATTAAAGATGGATAAAATGTGTTTTAAGTTAAATTGACAATAAATTGGTATTTAACTGGGACCGGTTCCTGAAAGGCCGATTAACGCTAATTCAGGATTATAATTTGTTCCACTTTTTGTATTTACCTTCCTATGCAGTGTTTAAAGTAATATGTGGTTTTAACATAACTGTATCTCAGAGTAAGCTTGAGTTAACACGTTTTTAAACTTTTCTTAGACAAGAAGACCGTGCTTAAAATTTGGCTTAATCTTGGGTTAAACTAATAACCATCTTTTGAGGAACCGGGCCCAGTCGTCCTTGGGGAAAGGCCAAAAGACCGTTAAACTTAGGTTAACCGTTAAAAGGTTGAAGTAAGTCAAGAGAGGAAGAAACCATCACAAACCGAAATTAAGCCTGGTTCTCATTTGCCGCGCAAGCTACCTACGACATAGCTGCCGGTACTGCCTGGAATACTGTTCCCGTATGAGAACAGAAGAAGGTGCCGACAACAGAGGTCAAGCCAGATTTGTCGCTGGTATGCCTGCGAAGTATATTCGAGTTCAGCTTCGCAAGCACACCAGCGACAAAGACCTGTGATATTCTTATATGTCTGAGCAGTGTCGCAGGCAATCTGACGGCTAAGTCGTAGGTACACCGGTGGCATAAGAGAACCAGGCTTAAGCATACAATAGTTTTTTTCTTCCCATACTTTGCAATTTCATTAAATGCTATCATCGATGTCATCAAAACAATGATTCATTTTTTCAATAAACGATAGCTCGGCCAGTGGTCATGATTTATGTTACAATTAGGATACGTAAAGTGGCGTCCGTAGCCCGTTGTTGACCTTGAAGAAGAAACTTGCAGTTTTTCAGTAAGTACGTCAGGTCTTCCACGCCGTCCGTGGTGGACTGGAGAAGCTTTAGTTGAACTCCGTACCGCACCGCTAGTTTAGTGCCCAGGCTCTCTATTTCAGATAGCTCCATGTTCTTCAGGCTGGTTTCGCTTGCTGCAAAATGCAAAATAAATCGATTAACTTAACACAACGACTCTTCGCGCCGACTGGTCTTGATCTTTGCTTCTGATATGTTAAGAAAGTGGTAGTAAAGACAAGTAGAGAGCTTTAGATTCTGAGATGAGGAAGACTACGAATACGAGATTTTCTCAATACTGAGTATTCGTCACCCGTGAACCAGCGTCATTTTGGCGGGAAAACGTGATAACCGTCGTCATTCTACTACCAGTTTTAGCGAGAATGTCGTAGTGGCGGGAACAAGTTATCAAATGTAAGAAGTTTTTTTTTACCATCGGTAGAGGCTTAACCTCCTTCAGTATAAATAACCGTACGAACTGATTTGGTAAAAAAAAGTAAAATGAAGCTTTCCGAGAAGTCTTTTACTTTCTTGAGAAAAAGCGCGTAAAAACTTTAAAAAGTTAAATTTCATACTCGTACTCGTGCGCGTCCTCAAATCTAAAGCTCTCTATTATTTGCTTAGTATACCTGAAAAGTCAATCAAAGGGAATATGGCCTCTTCTGGAATGTTTGTCATTGCTGTGCAAACCTTCTCGAGCAACAACTTCAACACTGTCAAAGAAAAAAATATTAGAACGCAAGTTGTTTTGTCTGACCGTTGTATCATTAAACGAAAACCAAAACAAACCTTTTCCTCGTGGCTTAGTTTTCCCTGATGTCAGAGACTCGCAAAACGTCTTCCGACAGTCTTGAAGCCACTTCAAACTATAAGAACAAAATGAAGAGAATTTTGCTCAGAAAAAACGTTTTCTAAACGCTGTGCGTAGCATCCTATTGAGGAATCATTCAAATGAAACCTATTTGTCGAAATTACGTCTGCATGGTAATATTTTTTTTAATCGAGAATTAAAAAATGCATGTTCGGGAATGTTCAAGAAATTAAGACTTTAGGCACTTTTGCAAGTAGAAACAGCCATCAATGCTATGCGAGAAAAAACAACTGTTCACGTTACCTGTCAGCTGACATTGGTTGAGAACTCTCCAAGAACTCCAAAAGACAGTCACCTGTAATGAAATATTTGGCAAACTATTAGTGGCCAATGCATTCACTAGGGTGTTATAGCAACAGTCGGGTCAATCCGAGTTAATCATTCAAAAGGCTTCCGAATGCAACGAACCACTCGATAACTATCCGAACATTTCCGAGCATTAACGAGCAACTATTACAGAGAGATTTGCCATGATTTCTTGAACAGTAAAAGGAAAGCAATCTTTAAAGTAGCCCATGGTAATATGCTTTGAAAATTTGGCCTCAAAGAACATAAAAATTTTCTTTCGCGTGTACCTTCTTCAAATGCTGTTATCTTGGGAATCTGCTCGACTGGAAGATAATCCTTTGGTGGAGGATACGAGGAAAACAGAGGCCACGGATACGGATTATCAACATCCTGCAACAAAATTAATTGAAATAATTAACGGAGAGGGTATAAGATTTAACACGTCACACGCAATGAAAAGACGAATAGAGTGAGCCGTTGAAAAAAGGGGAAGAGAGTTTTAGATACGGTAGGAGTATATACGAATGTCTGTTGGGAGAAAAGAAAAGGGAAAGATGGTTGAAAAGAAAAACAAAAACACGAAAGAATGAACAAGAACTGAAAAAAAAACAAAATAGCAACAATAACAAAGAACAAGAAAGCCAGAGACAGAAGAAACGACTAAGGGAAAATAGGGGGACTGCTAGGTAGGTAATGAAAGATAACCCGCCTGTCGACATAATCTCTCATTTTAATTTGATCACGTTAAGAGATAGGTGGCGTGAGGAACATGTTACCTCTATCTGGGGTACCCCATGTAAACAGGCCCAAAAAGAGAGGTTTTGACAAGGATTTTTGGTTTCTTTCCTGCCAGGAACAGATGTACCCCCAACAAGATCGATGATATAAGGATTTGGTTTCTTTATATCATGTCGATGATATAAAAACAATGTCTATTACCAGGAACAAGAAAAATAAACGATGTAATTGACAGCGTCAAAAAGTCATAGGTGTAACGAACTAACATTGAATGGAATAATCGATAGGAAATAGAGCAAAATTCACACCTTTACTCTAAGGAAACAAATACAAAACAGCCACGCTTTCAGGGTTTACAAGGGTACTCTCGTCACGAATAAAAACTAGTGGGGAAAAGAGTTCTAAACAAACTGCAGAATGATTTCTTAATAATCGGTCCCTCACCCATTGTCTAATCTGTTGTCCAGTTGAGATTGTAGGAGAAGCTCTTGAAAGCGATAGCGGCATTCCAGAAAAAGAAACGTGTCCAGACAAGAACAGAGAACGTTTAACACTCTGCGTAATAAAGAAGGACACAAAAATAACAATAAAAAGGATGTCGATTCAAACTACGTACAGGAAACAATCACTCGTTAAATTTGCTCTTTGGAAATGAGGTCTTATAAAGCAATTTTTTTTTCCAGAGCCACGAAAGTTTCACCCGGTAGCCACCTCTGCGCTTCCCGGTCAAGTATTTTAGGCTCTGTTCACACTTGGAGCCTGCACACTACTGCCTGGCTCATGGAACAAAAGCTGTTTCCGGTGTGATATGATTTTCATATGTTCTTCATTGGTAAATTGCAACATAGCATGCACGAAAACCGGAGCCTATGCTTTTAAATTCAACAAAGCATCTATGTGACAATACATTTGGCGAAAGAAGCCATTCCCTGTAAATTAGCGTGGTTTCTGTGATCGACTATAATTTCTTTTTAGCTTATTTACCTGAGCCCAAAGTGATGTGACTGTTCAAAGTTGAAAAGAGAATGAATCTTTTCCTCCGAATCAATCATGATAAAGCGATCAACAAAATCCTACAGGCGAAAAAAAGAGGTGTTAGTTACCAAAAAGGTTTTTGTCAGACAATGCATTGGCATTGCCACATCACCACCGCCAACATTATGATCATTGTTACCGTCATCATCGTTATTTGTCAGGGGCACCCAACGGGAAATTTTGAGAAAAAGACCTAAAAGCAACAACAAAGCGTGAATAAAGTTTTCTGAGACTATTTTAAGCATTTTGGGAGATTGCTGGAAAAAAATTATCTGTTCCTCACTCCCAGCAAGACTGATGGAAGAGTTCCCAGCCAGCAAAACACAACCTTTTCTTTGGGAAGTTTCATAGGGCACAATTCAGATCTTGAGTGGTTTTAACCCTTACAAGTAACCCGTAGCAGCTATTCTAGACTTCAAATCCCCTCTGACATCCTGAATTATCTTTTTCCCAGCAACACTTTCCCTCCAAGGACTATTATTTCTTCCACATCTCCCAGCCAGCAAAAATTTGCATGAAGAACAGATATTTTGAGGAACAAATCCATTGGGTGCCCCTGATTTGTGGGAACATAAGACTGTTTTTTTTTTTCCACTCTTCTATGCCAGCAATAATCTTGATTCTTGTAATAGGTAAAGGATATCCTAGCCTACGGGTAACTTTAAGTTTACTTCTCAAAGGACAACTTCCGGTTACTGCTTTTGAATAGTTCAGTTTGTTTCCAGTTTTCTCCAGAGAAAGGTCAAAAATGTGCTGAACTCTTAGGTAATAGTTACCAAGCAGCTTCACTCACCATAATACAGATAGGTGGACAGTATGCCTCTCTGCTTGTAATGGTCTCCTCCATTTCCGAACCAGATGTCGAAGGGCGGTAAACATCGCCCAGGACTTCATACACCGCCGGGAATGCTGACAATACGCTCAAGAGATTGTTCAGAGACTGGAAGACGATAACATACAGTTTACCGGACTAACAAACAATTCAAACTATGCAAATGGGGATAATAAGTTCAATAAGATGTTTATGAAAAAACCTTTTTGTCATATATCAGGGCATGTTAGAGTCACGAAGATAAGGTAATATAATTGGATTTTGGTTCTATATTTTAAGAAAATACAGTTCGATTTTTATTTCCCTTGTTTTGAGTTTTCATCATAAATGAGTCTAGCTCAAGTAAAGTTTGTTTGTCTTTGTTTGAAGTTTCTGATATTTTTGAAATTGAAAAGGCTTGTTAATAGACAATCGGTATGTCCCATCAATTTCGCCTACTGGGAGTAATCAGTAAGAGGAAAGCATTCAGCAAACCTTGTTGTAACTTCTGCTATCGATGCTGTCCACGTGTTTAATTCTGGGAGGAGCGGGTCTCCTGTCCTGACCACCTTCAAATACTGTCCAAATGTCACTAACCAACCGCTTTAGAAAACCTACAGAGACAAACGATACAACATGTGGTCATGAATGTTTCCTCTGCATTTCTATCGTAGCCCGCAAGCAAGCTCTCCACTTGGAGGAGTCGCGAGAAGTCATGCCATGCGAGTGCGACACGCAAAAGGGGACGCGATAGCAGGGTTAGGCTCAATTCAAAGAGTGAACAGGGGCACCCAACGAGAATATAGTTCAAAACCACTTAAACATAGAATTGTTTAACGTATTTTAGTATTTAAACGGTAGATATAGGCATATTTTTATCCCCTAAAAATTTTTCATCTGTTCGGATTTCCTAGCTGAAAGTCTAGTGATCCGAAAATTATAGGGATCAAAACTTACCTTTTCGAAAATTTTAGCCAGAAAAAAGGCTCCCGAAAATTCTAGGTGACCTTTTTAGGGTAAAAATCCGTTAAAAATAGGCAATTATACCATTTTTTAGATGTCCGAAAATCCTAGGAGATGCAGGAAAGCAAGAAATTTTACAACAAATGTTCCGAAAATTCTAGATCTCAAATCGTCTTCCGAACAGATATTTTTCCGAAAATTGTCGTTGGGTGCCCCTGAGTGAACTGTTCATGTACCAAACGTAATATCTATTTGGGTCGGCCCAAATGATATAAGTTTGACGGTTGACTCAAACGTCGAAGTTTATTAGCCGGATTCAATTCATTTTCACGATATACGGTGATGTACAATGCTTACCAATTAAAATAAATATTGTAATTTATGCGTTACATTTGGCAAATGAAACGTTCGACGTTTGAAACGAAGTCCCTCTATAGTCGATTATTCCCACGTGGGCCACTCGAACTTAATTCATGGGTCGACCCACATTAGATATGTCGGACTCTTGATTTAAACGTCGGTCTTTTCATGTATTAATTGAAAGGAAAAGGTTTGGTAAATGAAATTCGAAGGATGAACTGGGCCTTAGCCTCACCTCTCTAAGCCTGCGAGAGCATCCGGTTTTTTCGGAGCGACGACCGGAGATAAGTCTGCGGTTCGCAGGCTACACCTCTCTTTAAGGAGAAAGAATTGCGGAACAAAGTTCACGGGGTGCCAAAAAATCGAACTGCAATCCAGCCTCAACTTGGGAAAGCGCCTCGCAAGTGACCACCTCTTCAGGATATCAACCTCAGTTTTCCCTTCCCCTGAAACCACTGTTAAGTTATCTTTTGTCTCAAAATGTAGTCACTTGAGATTTAGATCGTGACGTTTCGACAATATACTGAGTTCTCTTCCCACCTCTATTTTCCAGTGCCACCATTCCTGGAGCAGTAGCAGCAATCTGTGTCACCATTACTCCATAACCAAACTTTTCACACTTGCTAACCTACAAAACAATTAACATGATCAGACCTCTACGAAGCTTCCAACGTCGGGACAAAACTCGCTCATACTATGTCGGTACTGTGGGCTATCGTACGCGGTAAGTGAAATAATCGTCAGAGACACAATGTGTGTTTTCTTGAACAAATTATTCTAACTGGTACGATAAGTGATGAATATAGAACAGTTTTAAGAGGAAAACGGCTATTTTTCGGTACTTGTAATTTCTTGTTGTATCTCTCATTCATGTACGCAACGCATTCATTCATCTTTCCCGTCTGTTGCAGAAGCAATAATCCTTTGGGAGTGCCGGCAAAATTCAGCAAGTTGTCAATCAGCGAACTTTCCCAAACAAACCTAAGTGAAAAATAACATTAATGCTGTTTAGTTGAGCTCGCACTTACAAGAATACCGTATTAACTTGAAAGAACGTTCATTAATCTTAGGGCGCTCTTTATCAAAAGCGACGTCGACGGATTTTCGCTAGCCACATGTAGTCCATGCAGTCATGAAAGCAATCGTGAAATGGTCTACTATGATAAGTATGTTAAGAAACGAGCTAACTGACTTTACTTACAGCTCTTCTTGTTCTTCTGGTGACGTTTCGTCGGGCGCCAGTACTTCATCAGCAGAAGACGCTGATTCATACACCTACGTTAACCAATGATAACTGATGAGTGAGTGACTTTTATTTCTTCTTAGAGCACAGCCTTGGTTTCACTTGCCTTAAATAGCTTTCGATCAAAAATATGCGTTTGTTGCCACGTAGCTTCAACTCCAAGAAAACCTTGCTTGGTGACTATTTATATACAGCCTCTTATCATATTTAGTGCCTGAAATGTGAGATTTCTCTATGGAAACTTAACTGGGGATGATGGTGAGAGACTCATCATCTCTTGGTTTCTTCTTGGCTCCCTTGCCAGTTTAACCATTCAGGTATTTATTTAAATACTATGTATTTTACTGTGGCAAAATAAGTAACTGAACTGAAGACACCAAACACTTACCTTAATCCAGGCGTTGGCCACAAACTGGTGTAGCTCATAAGGATTAAGTACCATGAGTCCATCACAAGTGTTGTACAGTTGTCGACAAACAAACACAAAACCTGATATAACTGCTTTTGAAGGAGTTCCTCCTGGAAGTCTGTCGGATAATGCTTTTTTGGCAAACTGAGCTATGGTATGAGCAGAAGAAAACCTGAATTGTGGAGAAAAGAGGGAACGCTTAGAAAATAATCCACACAAAAACAATTCTGGGGGGGTATAATACCACCTTCAAGAATAACAGAAGACTATCAATTGGTCTAATACAAACAGCAGGGAATTTTACAAAATGAGTTTCGAGTTTGTCACCCTGAATCTGTTAGGTAAATGATTCGACCCAAATTTATACACAAACTTATTATCGACAAAGAAGCGGTTGTTATTCAAAATGAAAACTACACTTGCCCTCGATTTAAAAAATGAGAGTATTTGCTTTTCCAAGAAAGATGTAGCCAAAAGGGAAGTAAGTCATTTTAGCCTGTTTGCGCCAGTGGTCAATAAATCCCACGCGGGTTTATGTCTTTACGCGCGCTAAACGATCCCTAAAGAGAAGTTAGAGGGTCTATAAACAGGATAAGGCCATCTTGACAGCAGTGCGCCCATGTTATAGGCTTACAACGAGGCCTGACGTACATATGAAGATGAAAACACAAGTTACCAACATAGCTCCTTTTAAGAAACTGTTCAGCCATACCTGCTTCTTTGCCATCTATCCTGGGTCTCTCCATAAAGCAGCTGTTTCCGTCCATTCTCTGATACAGCCAGGGTGGCTAAAACATCAGCTACTAACAACAGGGTATTCTCAGCTCCTGCACTGTCACAGCTCTCTACTCCCTGTAAATTATTAAGTAATCAACATAAAATTTCTCCTCCAAATATCATTGCTTAATCATTCAGAAAGATGATGAGAATTACGGATATGATCACACAAAGGAAAAACACTAGCTCCTTTGCAGCTAGTCACTCACGCGTAAGAGACGCACTGAGACAAGACAAACAGAGTTCACATCATTTAAAGCGCTAATTCCCTTTGTTTGCCTTCTCTTAGTACCGTAAAGATCCCAAAGTAACGATCCTCGTTACTTTCGGATTTAGCAGCCTTTTCCTGTCGCTATTTTCGGACGGTCGCTACTTTCAGGAGGTCGCTACGTCCGGGTAGCTAAACGTGTATCGTACATGGGCCGTACGAAGTTACGATAATAATATCGCGACAATTGTGAAAACATCTAAATATGTGTAGGAATCTGTTAACATCTTCTTAATTCCTGCAAGCCAAACCTACCTTTCAAACATAACACGTTGATTTTTGGTTGGTTTTTAACAGGTGAAACATCATTATACTGCGCGTGAACTAAAATACGTAAACTACGCAATTGTGTATCAGTTACACTTGCTTCTAAAGCTCATAGTCATACTCCCTATTGATGCTAAAATTCTTGCCTGCTGCGTTACACTATACAAGACTACTTACATCAAGCCATGACTGCACTGGAGATAGAAGACTGGTTGTGATGGAATCCTGAAAAACAAGCACGATTTCCATGAAAAATGTTGCCATCATTTTGAAGAGTACTGTTTCATGGACGTCAAATGCAGAGAACTTAGGTTTGCCGTGTTTCGTAGGTTCATTATTAGGAGTTTAAGATAACACGACGGCGAAGGGCACGAAAATGTCGCATAAAAAGCGAATTTGCATGCCTTCTTTCAATCTCTATCAATCCCAATTCAATTACTTTGTCAAATGCAACCGAACTCTCCTGGAGCCGATTTGCTAACAACTATATCCTCGTTCAGAGAAAGAAAGGAAATTTCGTCGTGACTTGTTAACATCCTCCATAAAACGTGAAATGAGGCTTTTTCACGTCGTAGTGGTACAGTGACGGTAAAGAAATATACAAAAAATGAGCGATGCAGAGTCGTTGTTTTGCCTATTCAACCTATTGCTTTTTTGACGTTCTCGTTGCCGTCGCTGTCGTGGCATCTTAAACTCCCTGTTTATAAAGAAGTGCAGTAAGCACCGGGAGCGTGAGAAGTGATGGTAACGAGGAAACCCCTACGGTCTCGCTTCTCGCCTCCCTTCCTCCACGTGCTATGCCAGCGATTTTCGCATCTAAATAGACTGAGGACGAGTTAGCAATTGGCCAAAACGAAAGAGACCCTAAAACTACCATTTCGGTGGTGTTTCATGTAAACCTTACTTTTGCAGTATATTATTGGATTGTTATTTTGTTTTTTGCCACGAACTACACGTCTGGTGCATGCAAACTTACGAAGAGCTGATGCATTGAAAGTACAAATCGTGCAGAGAACAAAAGTGTTTGCAAAGCAGTGTTTACTTAAAGCACCATCCAAACAGAAATTTAAATAAGGTATTTTCCGATTTGGCCAATAGCATCACGAAAACGTGGTGCAATTTGTCACAGAACTAACCCAGTCTCATAGGCAACTTCAAAATGACCAATAAGATATAGGACATGTAAGAATAAAATACCCACTAACCTTACAGAGGCATTCTTTACAGGAGGTTGTGCAGGAAGCAATCTCTTTAAGAACATCACAAACTAAATAGCCCGGGTGGAATTCTGCTGTTAAAATAATATAAAGAAAAAAGGACTTTAGGTACAGTACAACAAAGCAATTTTAAAATCAACGTCAGAAGGCTCGGAAAGATTTCGAGAGATGAGATTCGAAATCAGGACCCTCTGAGTTCTAGATCGGATGGTCTAATTACTGAGCTACTGGAGGCACTATGGTGAGCAGGGTTGAAATTTAGTTAGTTATAACACTGGCCACCAGTCCATAGTTTGCAACCCTTTGTTGTGTTTTAAATTTACTGTACACATCAGTTTACCAGTAGAGAGCTTTAGATTCTGCGACAGGGCCGACTACAGTACGAGTACGAGATTTTCTCAATAGACTACTAAGAAGTGCGCCCGCATAAATAAGCGTCATTTTGGCGGGAAAACGTGGTAGCCGTCGTCATTCAACTACGTGTTTTAGGGCGAATTTGTCGTAGTGGCGAGAACAAGTTATCAAATGTAAGAAATTTTATCATTTTGCTATCGAGAGAGGGCTTAACCTCCTTCAGTATAAAAAAGAGTACAAACTTTTTTGGTGAAAAAAAGTAAAATGAAGCTTTCCGGGGTGTCTTGTTTTAGAACACGCACAAAAACTTTAAGTTAAATCTCGTACTCGTACTCGTTCTCTAGTACACAGGTGGAGAGAGAGAGAGAGAGAGTGACCGAAAAAAGGTTTACCAGAAGACCTTCAACTGTTTTTGGAGTTGAATTCTTAAGGACTGTATCAAAGTTCAGGAAAAGAACAGAAAGTTGTTGTCTTGTGTTCCCGGCCTCGACAAAACGTGAATTCAGGCACTTTCACCTGCAAAGTTGTTATTTTTGTTAATCAAACCTATTGCTTTTGGCCGGTTGTCGTTGCCGTCTGCGTCGTCGTTGCTTAAGCTCCCTATTGAGAATTGATGGGGGAGGGATGATAGATGACGTCATAATGCACATGTCACATGACGTCATTTGTGAAAAATACGCGCGAAAAAGATGTTGTGGAATTGTAACATTTGACCTAATTGGCTCATTTCACACCAATAACATTATTGCTTATATTACAATGTCATACCGGAGTTTGTGAGGAAACGTTCGATATTAACAGTAAAATAGCTCAAACAACGCACTGTACTTGAAGTTATATTGTCAGAAAGTCGATTCTACAAGAAATGGCTAACTTTGGCGTTTATCGTGGAGATTTCAGACTCTAATCTGGAGACAGTGAGAAACGGTTCAAAATCTGGAGTCTCCCGGATTACCCGGGAGAGTTGACAGCCCTGCTCTTAGTTGTCTTGGTAGCTCGTCACGCAATCCTCCCCACTTTGTAGAGCAGGAACCCGTGACAAACCCCTAAGAACGTCTTCGTAGGATGGCTATTGTCTTGGCTGGTTGAGTTAAATACACAAGAGAAGGAAATGGCCACTATTGCCCCATCTCACAAACTTTGTGTTGTGCATGTTATGCTCACTAGTGCACTCAAATCTCAACAAAAATCAGAGACTAGCTTCCTTAACTTGAGCAAATTGGAAAATCCAGCAAATTCTTACCGTCTAAAACAGGTTTGGTACCAGATCTAGGCAAAGCTGTGCACATAATCCGGATTAACGCGACCAGTAAACTAGAAATGGTGACGGTTTCTGAAATACAAACAACAATCAACTCTCAGTCGTTTGTGGTTTGACGCTGACTTTTGAAAGATCTTTCATGTCTTAAATGTCTGTAAATTGTTCTCTTAAGATAGCACATAACCCAATAAAATTTTGCAGGTTTATCAAAAAAGAGTTTATCTTTTAAGTTTGATTTACAAGACAATGGAAAGTTACCTTCAGTGTCTGGAAGCACAACGGGAAATAAGTCTCTTCCACCACTGTATAGAAGCACTCTGCCAAGCAGGCAAAGCGAATGAACAAAATAAATATATTCCAAGTCTTGGGAAGTGTAAAACAACCCATCATTGCCCACAGCTGAAAGCAGATCGGCTTAGCATGAACAAAAAAAGGCATACAATGAATAATATTCCACATAATCTTCATTCCCCATTCACTTAATGAAAGAAAGAGGCGGGATGGTACAGGGTTTAAGCTAACTAGATTTTGGAAACCACATTGTTCCAAGCTATTTGTGGTGGATAAACAGGGGAGCTAAAGTGAGTAGGTTTACATCAGATCAATTTCCAAGAAATCATATGCACTAGAAAATATAGAAATTCAATATTTTTATTGTATTACATGTATAGAGGAATAGGCACCTAAGAAGGGGAGAAACTGGTCTGTTTACCTCTGTCATGAAGTGTCACAAATGCACTAGGTACAGTGAAAGAACTTCTGACAGTGTATGAAGGACACTGTTATTACATGCACATTCATAATCATTACTGGAGATGGGACTGCTAATAATTCTACACGGCCATCTGAGCCATCCGTAGGTTTGTGAGGCAAAGGCATTACCATCTCCCTTTTTAAATTTACAACCTTGAGTATTGAGGAATCAAACTAATGACCTCTCACTTTGCAGACCATTGCTCTACCAGTTGACCTACTTTGTAACCTTGCAGTAGTCAAAGGAAGTCAATATAAAGGTTTTGTAGAAGGGGCAGAGAATATTATTTTAACAACTTGAGGTTGATGACTTACCTCTTTGATCTTCTTCAAGCTCTAACAGTTCCAAGGACTGAAGGGTTTTACACGTTGTAGAGAAGTCAATACAATGACGGATAGCATCAACTAACTGCAACATGGACAAAATCAGGTCATGATAATAACAGAGTGGGTTCTAAAACAAATGGCAAAATACTTCATAAAAATTACAAAGTACATCATGTTTATCAGCCAGGGTAATGACCCAGTTGTTAACACTGTGACCCACAAATAAGGACAGAATCAACCTTAAGTGGTCCACAAACACACTGCAAGGACAGAATCTATTTAAACATACAGTAACAAGTAAGAATTCTCACTAGCGAGTTATCCATTTAAAAAATATTTGGAGAAGCAAGCCAGAATAGCACAGTGGTGGGAGCAATTGCCTTCCACTAATTTGGCTCAGGTTTGAGTCCTGAGTGAGTTGACATTTTTGTTGGTCCTTTTCTTTGCTTCGAAAGGTTTTCTTCAGGTAATTTTGTGTTCCCCTTCCTTCATAAACCAAAATGCCCAATTTCCAATTTGATCTGGGAAGTGCCTCCATTGGGAAGGGACACTACGTAGGAAGGCCACAGACTTACAATGTATCAGTACTGTTCTTTAAACTGTCAGGGGTCACCCTCTCTAGATAACACAAGCTGGTTTGGTTTGGTTTGGTAACACAACTTAAACTGAGGAGTTTGACCCTGTACATTGGACAGGCTGTGGAGAGTTTCTCAGAGCAACAGGGCTGCCACTAAGATTTCAAATTGTCAGGTATGCAATTAGAACACACAGACTTGAACAGTTGGAAAGTTTTTCTGGTTTCATTTTTCTTTTTGTTTCCCATGAAAGTAGCCAGGGGGTCATTTCATGATTCAAGCTGGTGAATATACCCAGTCCCTGGCGGGCACTTAGTGACAACCCTGCAGGAACAAGTTGACGGAGAAAATTTTATGTGACATTTCTTCATTACTCATGACAAACCATGCACTGAAGACTAAAACTATTAAACACACACACACACAGCAAACTTACCAAAGAGCTATGCTTTTTCAGTTCTTTGATTGCAACTGTCCTACTGTAATTACCATGCTATGAATAATTAAAAACAATAATACATGTATTGTTTCAAAAAGAATGATCATTTTTTTAAAAGTGACTATTGAATATATCTTGCAGTACTTATCATGGAAGGAATATGTTGAAACATTTCTTTTTTCCCATGCTGTATGCCAAGACAACACACTACACTGGTCACAGGTGAATGTGAGCACTAGATCAGAATGAGTTGACTGTTCTTGATTATGACAAGTCACTACCAATAAATAATATCATGATACAAATGAAATTACAAACCATTGTGCTAAGTGGAAACCAAGCAAAAAAAAAAGAATTGTTAACTTAAATTTCTTAAAAATTATCAATTTAAATATGATAACAATTAAAATGATGTCTTACCATCCACTTTTTAAACCAGGTTGCCTTTGGGTCAACGAGGGCTAGAAAATGAAGTGGTGTCATATACTGCAGGTCTGAGGAGCCAAATCCAGCCACAGAGCTTGAAGAGAAAAGATTAAATGTACTGTCCAGGACAGACTCAAGAAACCTGAAGAAGAATAAGGATCAACATGGAACTATAAGTTACTGATAGTACTGCAGAGAGCAATGCATATATCAAGCTGTTTATTGGAAAAAAGGCAGTTTTTATTTGTTTGTTTATTTACAGTCAAACCAGGTCAAGCGTTCCCGTCGCTAACAAACTAATGAATTCATTAATGGAAAAATGATTTCGTTTGTTGATTCAATAATCCATTCATAAAATGAATAATCCAATAGTCATACTTAGCCTCGATTCCATAATCGAATGTCGATTCGATTACTGTTTTTTGAAAAATTACACTCTCCACAAGTTAACCTCAGAATTTCGTTTTTTCCTCTTTTTTTTTCTGAGAGTCGAGTGCTGGCGAGTTCTGAAGTTCAAACCCAAACAAACTGTTACATGTACGCCAGTTTGCTGCCAATAATCACTGCAACAGACCTAGGCCTGACCTCTTAGAAAACACGACGGTCAAACTGAGGTCAGTGTATGTGCGGTGATTGGTGGATTTCGATCCTCGGCCTTTGTCAGTTTCTTTGCGTTTGCGGTCTGTCTATTCTAGCTGTTATTTTGATTAAAGGCAATGAAAAACGCAATCGTAAACGGCAGGAAAAGGGAAGCAAATACGATTGAACACAACAGACAAGAATAAAGAACAGGTAGATTTTGTTCATAAACCAAATCAACATTTGATTATTGAATCGAGGCACAATTTGACCTTTGGATTATTCATTTTATGAATGGATTATTGAATCAACAAACGAAATCATTTTTCCGTGAATGAATTCATTAGTTCGTTAGCGACGGGAACGCTTGACCTGGTTTGACTGCAATTACTTATTTATATCTATATTTTAAAGAGGTGTTTATTAAACTTTTACAACACTGAGCTACAACTTAAACAGCAGTATAGTTATGGAAAAAATTTAAAAGGAAAGGTAACACCGTGATATTAGTTTTCAAGAATATAATTAGGTTCAAATGGTCATCATCAATCAGAGATAGTTGCCCTCATAAGCCTAATCAATGTCTAAACCTGTGAAGGTCTAACTTTTGAATCTCTAGACAAAATCTTAAAGTGTTACCATTCAAATCAAACCTCACTGACAGAGCTTTTGCATGGTACTATTTTATTTCTTGGAATTTTACAAAAAAGAAATTTGAATTTGTTGGCGAGTTTTTCTTTGGCCACTATGAGGAGTAGCCGTTAAGGCCCAAGAGTGACCAACACCAGTTTTCTCCTAGCATTATGAAGACATCACCAGGAAAAACAGTTATGAGAATTAATAAGATGATCACAAAAGCGAGGATGATTTGATCTCAAATTCTCAAATCAAATTCTCTCAACTACTTCTTTAAGGAGATGTATGGCAATAAGTCCGGACAATTTGCATGATTTGTGGAACTGGGGCTTAAAGGGTTAAACAGCTGCCAGGCAAAAATTGCCGCCTATTTGTTTAGTATTGGCCGGCTACTCTGCTTGGCATTTCTTTACGGATGGCATTTCTCAAATAAAATATCACTGGGCTGGCCACCTCTTTGACAACTCAGCCATCTACTTCAAAACTTTCTGACAACCCTGAGAATCTATATACAACTGAAAGAAAACTTGATAATAAACTCACCATTCTGGATATCTGATCCAAAAAGAGGCCACTTCATGTTGGAATTCATTCAGTAACCTAAACTGCAGATTGTGTTAAAACAAGAAAGTTAAATCTGTTATTTGCAGATAAGCATCAAAGAGCTAAGAAAATATAAAACATAAATAATTTATGTACTGATTATAATAAAAAATTACATTGTACTTAGGCTAAAAAACTTTGCAATAATTGTTAAACACAATATTATAAGAAGAAATAAAAACTAAAATTAAATTAAATCAAATTAGAAGTAAAATTGTCTGTTAGCTTGTAGTCTCAGTTCGTCTCATTTCAGTGACTGTACATGTACATGTATAATGAGCTCTCAAACTTTCAAGCAGCACCATCAGGGTCACAGAAGAGAGAAGAACAGAGCAGGCTTGCAATTAATACAATTTGTATTGGTATTAATAAAATTAATTTATAATAAAAAAATGAAAAAAATATAAACTAACCCTTTTGAGCAGTCTTTGATTGCTGCTAGTAGAAACATCTAGACCATTCTCTACATTTACTCGGTGAAAACTAACATCAGTGAAGTAGGAACAGAGGTGTTCCGCTGAAAACAGATCCAAGTTCATGGTAGAAAAACATTACAGGCACCTGTTGTACTAGTATCCTATGCAAATGTTCCTAGGGTTTTGTCAAGCATTGCTTCCCCACAAACATTGGGGAGGATTGTATGATGTGATAAGCCAACCCCCCAAGTTAAAGTTTTTGCTTGGTCGCCATTTGGCAACCAACTCTTTTGGTTTAGGGAGACTTTTTTTAAGTTCAAGTTGCCACCTCCAAAATTTTAGGAGCCATGGCGACCAAAATGGCCGCAACTTGGAGGGTCGTAAGCCAAAAGAATGTCAGTGTGGGGAGGCTACTCTTGTTGTAGGGGTTGTGGTCCAGTTTTATCCTGGATGCAATTTTTACTTTGTTTTGGTTTTATCTTTGCCACCTTACAAAAAAAACCAACTAAAAGAAAAAAATTGCCCCAAGGAATGAAAGTAAACCATTAAGGGATGCACCATTAGAAATGTGAAGGGGGGGGTAGGACTTTCTGGAAAGGCATGTTATTTTTTTCACAACCAGCAGGAGTGCAGGATTTTTTTTTCAACCTTCAAACCCTTGCACGATTTTTTTTTTCCAAAATGACTATGCCCTCTTTTGGTCTTGTTTTACTAGACTGTTTCAACCGCGCAAATGTTTTTTGTTGTAGTGTTCCAACAGAACACGTTTGTTTTAAGTATATTTTTTTTCATACTAATTGAGATTTTCTATTGAAATTTGGCGTGTGAAAACCCTGTTCAGGGTTCGCAGCCAATCAGAATGGCGAAACGACTTTCACACACGTGAAAAAAGCGTTTCGTCCAGTCACAGATGTTTAGTACATAATGTAATAGGACACCTAAACACGTGCAGTGTTAGACATGGACTTTTTTTCGCATTGTATGTCAGATAAATCTCTCTCGCTTTTGGATCTCACCGCAAAGCCTTGCTCGTTCAATTTCTGATGCGAACCAACTCGTGCGTAAATACCGCACGCCCGCTGCTGCCCATGAAGTAATCTATACGTTCAAACGTCCGAACTGAGTTCAGTGGCAGTTGAAACAGCTACACAAGCAGATCAAACGGTGTTTTACCCAAAGTAAAGTATTGCGAAGAAAGAGGAAGAAGAATGCTCTAAAGGAAAATAAAGAAAAACAAAAGAAGAAATTTCAAGCAGGCGAGGACTGGAACACAGAGAAAGAACCTGAGGGAAGACAAGAAACAGAGAAACAGAAAGAAGGAAAGCAAGCATCTCAGTCCTTATCATGCAAGGACTGGAACACAGAGAAAGAACCTGAGGGAAGACAAGAGACAGAAAAACAGAAAGAAAAGGAAGAAGAAGAAGAAGAAGAAGAAGAAGAAGAAGAAAAAGAAGAAGTAAAACTGCAGCCAGCATGTCAGTCTTCATCAGGCGAGGACTGGGATACAGAGGAAGAACTTGAAGAACATTTCCTCTAAATCCTACCATATGTCTGTGGCCCATATGTTTAGGTTCAAGTTTTTATTAGAATGCACCATTTCTATTTATGGTTTTGCAAAGCATTCAAAATATTTTGTGTTAGTTTGGGTAAATAATATTCTTAATACTTTTAAATGCAGCGGGATCTGCAGTGTGATTGGTGTTTTTGGGACATCTACTTTTGTTTATAGCTGTAAACTTTATGGATTCAAGTAGCAACGCATATTGTACAACACCAACTCCATAAACTTGCGTGCAAGTGGAACTATTGACGTTGTTAACACAATCTCACTTTAATCCCATTAAAACAAAAGTATTTCAATAAAAAAGTTTATTTAATTTATAAAGTTAAACAATTATCACCACAGTCTCTTAATTTAATACTATGGCAGCTATAGAGATCAAGGGCATCAGAGTTGGTTCAAATTGAAATCTCTATTTAGCCAGTAGAAATTGTTTTTTCTGCCTGAAATGTAGTTTGACATGAATTTAGGAAGTTGGGGGAAGGGGATTTCCTGTTACAGATCACAGATTTATTTTTCAGACTGTGTAATATATTGTCGCAGTCACATTGGTTATCCAAGCAGGATATTTTTTTCTGGTTTCGTTGCAATGCAGGATTTTTTTTTCTTAAAATTTTGTTTTGCAGGATTTTTTTTTTTGTTTTTGGACTCCCCACCCCTTCACATTTCTAATGGTGCATCCCTAACATTGGTGACCAAAGGGTGGTGCAGTGGCGAGAGCACTCTCCACCCACCAATGTGGTCCAGGTTCAAATCCTGAGCATCAGTGACATAATTATCTTGGTTGAGTTTGTTGTTGGTTCTCTCTGTTGCTCTGCAAGGTTTTCCTCCAAGTACTTTGGTTTTTCCTTCTCCTCAAAAACCAACACTTCCAAATTCTATTGATCTGGACTGCACCAATGCATTTAAACCAGCTATAAGAACTCTGAAGTATTTTGAGGAACAACAAACAACAATTTACATTTTTTTTACAACATATTGTATAGTTGTCATCCACAGCAAAAATGCAATTGTTACATGTAAACCCAAGACAATGTTCAGGGTCAGCTCACCTAGACATGTGTAGATCTCTCTAGTTACATGAGCAGAGGATGCCATGAACATTCTTGCATGGAATTTAAGGCTTTTTTCCTATCAAAAAACATTCATAACATAATATGAAGCTGCTCTTGTAGGTAAGTCTGATCAAGTTCTCACAAACTTTCTTTCTTATGGTCTTGTTAGTATCATCAAAAATTCATTTCAGTTCTTCATCGCACAAATGTAAAACCCATATGAAAGAAAAAGAAAGGCCAAAATTAAACGAGAAATTCATGCAGCTATATTAGCTACAAGTATATGCTGTAGGTAAGTGGGTAATACTCTAACATCATACACTTCCACTCTTATAAATAAGAACTGGGATTATACAACTTCATAACCGGTTTTAAGATCAATGGCTTATAAACAGGGAGCTTATACATTTGTATTCATGGTGGGTGGGGGTGGGGGGCTTATAACTACACTAGTGCTGATCAAAATCCTTTTTGAACTTACTCACTTTTAAACCTTCAAAATGTCATAAAAAATCAAATTCATTTCAATACAAGCTGGAGGCTGGAGGGGAACTTATAAATAACTGGAAGCATTTTGCTGTTCTTTAAAGGTAGATGGGCCTATCACTGGGGTCAGGGGCTTATTAGCAGAAGTTTGCAGTATTTGGAAGAATAACGTTTTTAGACATACTGCAAGATGCTCATCTCCATCTGCCAGTGCAGCCAAGAGTCCTTTTCTTATTCCTTCTGAATTTTTACTTGTGAGTTCATCAGAAAGCGGAAACTGGTAGAGTGTATTCAATGCATTAATCCGCACCTGTCAATCAGTGAATAAGACACAGTGTACATTGATTGAGAATAACCCGTATTTTTAATTTCAATTAATTTTAAAAATAATTACAAGAATACAAATACACCTGTAGTAAATAATGAAGCTCTCTGTGCAAGAACGTCCTTATAGACTGTAAAACAGTAGGTTTTGTCATCTCAAAATCACATTCAAGATTGTTTACTATGTAGGTACAAAGTGCCAGCACATTATCAGAGACTCACTAACACCTAGCTCGCAAACCTCACTTGCCTGTCATCTCTCCCTAGTCTTACACTTCATTTTCAGCCTTGCTCCAGACCTTTAAGCTTTTGCATATTTGACTACACAAAAATTAGGTACTGTTTTGTACACATTCCTCAGGGTTTTCGGTCATTTTTTAAAGTGTTTCAAAATTCCTGAATTTTGGCTTGTCACTTTTGTTTTAGTAGACAAACACTTTTTGGAACTCTTTAAATTTTGAAAAGTATCTTATTCAATAATTAAATAAGTTACTTTTCGAAATTGAAAAAGTTATTACTTATCATAAGGCTTGACTTACTTGCAGTGGTTTATCAGGATCAAGATTCTCTGCAATCTCACTAAACTTCTCAGGTGTCATGTTAAACATAAACCCAGTCTAAAAAACCAAAGAGGAAAAATATACCATGGTAAAAAGTACATGTAGGAAAATGAAACATACATCATGTACTTGCATGTGTAATCTTTATTCAGTAGGAAATGAAAAGAGTGGAGTAATTCTTCCACGACTTAAGTCTAGTCCCTTTGTTAATTAATAATATTATTGATATAGGCTGGTTTCCATTTACTTGATTATTTCACATTTTCTTATTAATTAAAATTAGAGACTTTCATTAAGTGTACAAAAAAATAATAAGCAAATTACAGAGGCAAACAAACAAACTCAAGGTCCCAATGTGGTTGGCCCCAGAGAACGGAAAAAATTCAAGAGTTCAAGAAAAATTAAGCATAAGAAATAAAATAAAGTAAATAATACAAATAACAATATTATCATAATTTCAGCTGATGTACAATGGGGGGAAAACCATTTTCCAGGTTCAAAAAACAGCCCATTAAAAAATTAATGAGTAAGTAGCCACAATTTTGCTGCTTCCATTGGAATATTGGTCTGAATAGTCAGTCATCTCTTCACCCTATCCCCACCTACAGCAGCCTGTTAAGGAGAGGGGCGGGGAGGGGGGAGGATGTAAAGAGATGGCTGACATTTCAGACTAATGGTTTATTGCCACCTTATCGACACTACCGTTTAATAATATATTTATTTAGAGAAACCACATGCGTTTTGGCTTTTGTCATCTGGTACCCTGGTTATCCTTCCCACTGTCGTAAACCATTTTGACTGGGCAGGCTGGGCTGAAAAAGGGGACCACATGATCTCTTAGACCTTGTAAAAGGCACCTGCACCTTCAAAGAGAATGATTTATGAGTAACCAGCTTATCAATTCTTTGCTGCTGTTCTACCTGTCCAAATGAAGATGACATGGATGAATCTTCATCACTTGAATCCAGTGACAATCTGAAAGGTGCCATTCGGCCCCTGTTTTCTGTGAGCTCATAATCAGATGAACGAAGGCGAGGATTCTGAGAAAAAGTTTGGATCTGAAAATCAAAATATAAGTTACATTAAGTTATCACAGGTGATGACATGCTTCTTTTTAGCATTACTAGTTATTACAAAACTTAATTTTACCAAAAATGGCTGAGAAATGGACAAGATGATTTGTCAGAAAATATCACATTCAAAGAAATTATTAAGAATTTGTCAAGAACTGGGTTACATGCAGTACTATTAGTAGCCATGGTTCAAACAACTCAAGAAGCATGCTTGTTCTTAATTGAACATACAATGTATGATAGCTCAAAGTGTACATATACAAAATGCAAGGAAGAAAAACTATCAGTTATTAAATTTTGCAGGCTATTTTGGATTGCTAATTTTCACAAGAACTTTCTATTTCCAGGTCTTAATTCTGCAGAAATTAGGTGGTTGAAAACTGTACACCTGTATGACCTTAGCTATGAAGATTAGGAAGATCACCTTAGACTATTGGTAACATTTTTAATTAAAAAGTATTTGTAAGAAATTATACCAGTGCATTCACAGCATCCTTTGTATCTGCTAATATTGACTGCTGGAGATTAATAAACCTGCAGGGATAAGAGGGTGGTCAAAAGTGACCAGTGCAGCAAGCATGAAAAGACAAAATGAGAATACTATCTTAACAAAGTAGGCTGGCTGTTAACTGTGATCGCCATGCATGCATCTTTGTAGTAGAAACAGGATAAGATCAGTTCTAGTTTCTTTAGCCTTGGAAGAGAAGTCCATTAAAAAGTTCAGACAACATCTCAAGGTATATGTTGAAGTTAATTTTTTATCTCGGGTAATTTTTATTTTTCCTTTGTTTCAACTTCATTAGCATACATTACCATACCCAAAAACAAAAGAAAAACAAAAATTACCTGAGATAAAAAATTAACTACAACATATACACTGTAGAAGCAGGTAGAAGTTTTAAGTGCAAAAAAGATCATACTTAATATGCAAGGCTGTGCACTAAGAATAATTGAAGGGAGCCCATTTCTCTAAACCTGAGAAATCCAGGGTACCCGGGATATGGTTTTCATGGAAAACTAAGATTTTCAAATTGCCCAGGCTCAAAATGAACAATGTAATGCTAGAACACAGCCTAGATATTTCATGCTGTCATATACATACCAAGAAAGAAAAACTCTGCATTATATAAGATAATACTACTACTAATAATAATATTTTCTTACAGTAATACACACATATCCCTCTAAACTTGTATCCAATGTCCTAGTATTCAATTAACCCTCCCTGGTTCTATCACAGTCATGGAAAGACTTAGTGGCAGATCCAGAAAATTCAGAAAGGGGGAGCGGGACACTTAACAGCTCTATTCTAGATACTTTTTATTTCTCTGAGACAGAAGTCAATAAAAATAATAGAAAATTTCAAAGGAAAAGGGGTGGCTGCCGCCCCCTCGGCCCACCCCTAAATCTGCCATGAGACTAGATAAAATAATAGAAATGCTTTATTATAAAGCTGTCCTCCAACACTGTATAAAGATTGCAATGTATTCCTTCAGTGTATTAACTGTTACTCACTCTGGTGAAGCTACAATCTCCTCAGTTATCACTGGAAGGGTGTTATTCCTGTCACCCTCCCTTCCATCAAGTCGCTCTAACTTCTTGTCGATCAACGGTGTAAGTGTATTGTCAATACGGCTTCGAAGCTGCCTCACAAAGTCATATCTAGCAGGAAGTTCAGAATATTTTGTGCAAGTTAGTTTAATAATTTAGACCATCTGAGTTGTTAGATCCCAATCTCCTTTACCTGTAATAAGTTAGTAAAGCCGGTGAGGTATCACACTAACTGTTAAAAAAAAAAGAAATACATATACATATATAATGACTAGGCTAGTTTGGATTGTAGTACATAGAAGTAGTCACTTTCTCCTTGAACACAGCTGCGATAGCGACAACCCTACCTCTGCTGGGAGTACATTCCACTCCCTAGAGGTCCTCGGGAAAAAGGAGAATTTAGGGGTATTCTTTGAGTTAAAGGGAATCTGGAATTCATACGTATGACTGTTCCGAGTTCTTGTTTCCTTGGAGAATTGCAACAGAGACCTTTACATTCTAAGATGAGTACGACTACGAGTATGAGATTTTCTCAGTACTAAGTAGTGCACGTGCATGAGCCAACATCATCATTTTGGCGGAAAAACTTGGTAGCCGTCATCAGTCTACTATGAGGCTTAGCAAGAATGTCAAATTGGCATAAACAAGATATCAAAATGTTAGAAGTTTTATCATTTCACGATCGGGAGGGGGTGTAACCTCCTTCACTTCAGATAACAGTGCTAGATTTTCTAGTGAAAAATGGTAAAATGAAGCTTTCTCAAGAGTCTATAATTGAAAATATGCGAAAAGACTTTAAATCAAATCTCATACTCGTAGTCGTCCCCGCCTTTTATGTATATTCAAATCAACGAGTACCTTCCTGAGGTCCAGGGTGAGGAGATGTTTATAAAAAACCCTAGCTGGTAATACTAATCCCATGGTAACCTATGCACATTTATAATGCATTTAGTTACTTAACTGTTGATTTTTCCAAGGTGACCCGGGCTAGAAACAAAATGGCTCGGATACATGTAGTCGTACATACATTTAAGCTTACGATTCATCCTTATCAATATAAAAAAAAAACACGGAAGACTTGGCGCAAGTTTCACACAAATCTGCACTAATTTCTCTCCGGTAACAGCTTATAACTCATCTTCTGGTTAGCTGGTTAGCTCTCACTTGGATGAGTGCCGGTCTACCGAGGAGTCAACTATAAATTAGTAGCTTCTGCCTACGGACGCTACGAATGGTTGGCCAGGATTTAAGAATTTGATGTTCTACTGCGATACTCTACTTCAAACGAAATTCTTCGAGCAAAACAAAAATGTTTTAATGGAAAGCTACAAGCTTACTAACATGTCAGTGAGTTAAAACAAACCTGTGAAAATTTTCATCAGTTGCCTCCAGGTGCGTCAAAATGTCTTCGGCCGCTGCGACAGACCCTGCTTCCTTTATAGCGGGTTCCAAGCTTAAAATCAGTTGGTTTAAGCTCGCAAAGAAATTATCATGAACATCTGAATCCTTTCTGTCCATGTTTAAAGCTCAATCACCAGCGATTACCCAAAAAAGCTCCCTTGTTTTCCTTGCCGCCATCTTTGTTGATAAGGCGCTCGACATTATTTTCGTTCCCAGACTGCTGCGCAGATTCGTCGATCTATCCCACAATTCATTGTCGCCTACATTTAAGGGGCCAAAAGGGAAGCAATAAAAAAACGAAGCGTTTTTTCTTTTTTTCGCCCAAAACGTAGATTTAGCCCAATGTGAATAAAAATAGCGCTGCCGTTTAAAGGTACCATGCGAACGTCAACGAAGAATCGTGATTCGAATTGCGCGCTTAAAACTGAGAGCACGCGCTGCGTTCAAAGTTTTCACTTGCAGCGCCATGGCAACGGAAACTTGTTTGCTTTTAAAAAAGTTTGCGAAAATTTTCTCGCTTAAAACATGTTAATTTTACCCCAAGAAAGAGAGGTATTTGCATTCTGCTCGCGTAGAAACGGTTATTTCGCTCGCATAAAACGCCCTTTTTTCTCTCTTCTTCTGTCATATAACTAAAACTGGTTGTTGGCAAAAAACTCTTCGGGAAACTTAATTGTGACAACAAAAAGCGAAACGACGCTTTTTCATTCTTTTCTTTCTTTTTACAAAGTGCGCACAGCTATTAAAGCTTACCTTCTTGTCTTGTAGCATCCAAAACAAACACTGAAAAAACTAAAAACTACTAGCTCTTGTCTTTAAAGTGACCGAAAAAGAAATTTTTTTTCAGTACCATGTACGTCTCTTCCGCTCAGTTAAAATGAGCGAAGCAAATGAGTTGCGTCATAGTAAGACTTTCTTGACGTAGTGCACGCGAAAATACATGGAGTTGTTCACAGGTCTCGCATTTCTCGGAACGAGTTCGAATGTTTTATCAAGTTTTCATTACGAAAAGGTAGCCGGTTGACATTTAGCCTACATAAAACACGAACCACGAGGTTTTGGTCGTCTTCAAAATCTTTGCTGTAAATCTGTTCTATCTGGCAACGTACCCTAACCACGGAAACAGGTGCCGCAGTGAGTTAAGTCTAGAGAAAGGGCTTTGGTCATAGAAATCAACAGGAGTGTTAAACCAGGAAGCTCTAATTCGGCGTAAACAACTCACTAGTCGCAATTGTTTTGATAAAGGAGGCTTAGGTGTTTTTATTATGAAGCCTTCAAAGGAATTCTACAATGCATATAACACTACTTACATATCTAAAAATTAGCTAAAAGTCTAAAACAATTGACCCTAATTTCCTAAAACATAAGAAATACGAGCCCACAAGTTCCCTTTGGCCAATTTACAGACAAACGCCCTCAGACTCGCTTTTTCCAGGGCTGAGACACGATGTAAGAGTTGTCTTAACAGGACATGCTTCGAGAAAACTTCGTAACAATGTTCTTGTTTTTACCATAGAGAACAAAAAAAATTCTGTCAGTACAAATTACAAACGAAAAAAGTAAAGCCATACATAGGTAGCTATTCAGTGCTCAATTGCAAGCGCAAACCCACTTAGGAATCGATCATCAGTGATTTTGTTACCTCTGCGGCCTGCGTCCTTGACACTTAAAAATTCCCACAGACGCAAAATAATTCATGGCATGAGTCATACCGATTTATCGATCTGAACATGTGTGTTTGTAGGAATAGATCCCGTTCGTGTAATTTCTGTGGCAGTTATTATAGCTGTTGTTTAACAATGCATCTTTCTTTTAGCCTTTGTTGTGCTTGAAAATAGAAGACTATATTTTAATTTCGGTATTCTGTAATACAGAATTATGGAGTCTGTCATACAGATTAACTGTCTGGTTACATAAAGGCCTAAGCATTTTCAGTTTCGGACTCGTTTTTTTAACTGGGACTCATTGGTCTCATGATTATTCACAATATGAGTCCCAGGGCTCACCATAACTATTTGTAACAAAATCACTGGATCATTCTATTCATGATAAAAGGGGGAGATTTGAGAATAATCTAATTTGTAAGCAATACCGCTACGAAAAACTCTTGCAACTCTGTAAGCGCGCGAGTAGACACTAACCAACACTGTAGAGATAAAATGGGTCTTCCGGAATTAAGACTGACATAAGAAAGAAAAGCGACCGATTTTTTATCAAAAGGTGAAACTGAAGGAAAACAACCTCACTCGACCAAATCTGAAGTTAGGTCTTTCTTCACATTCTTCGAAAGCACTATTTTGTGTGAAAATTTAAGAACTTTTCTGCGGACTAATTTCGTGAAAGCGCTGCTCCACAATAGTACAAAAAAAGTAGCAAAGTTTCTTGTGATCATTTAGTCTCATAGTAAAACTTCTTGCAATTAAAAGTCGTACTAGAGATTTAATCAGTGTGAAATCCTCGCGCGCTTGCCCGAACAAAGCAACTACGCAACTGTAAGCTTCGTAGATTTGTCGGCGAATACAGCCTTCTTAAAATTACTAAGGAACAGAAAAACTCTCGTGTGAGTGTCACGAACCTCCCAGCGCGTTGAACCCACGCAAATGCGTGTGACCAGCGCTCGCAACGTTAGGCCACTCCCGTGTTGCCCCTAACCTCTTTCTAAAAAGATGACACAGACGCCATTTGGCTCGTCACGTAATCCTCCCCAACGAGGAACGCGTAACGAAACCCTGATAACTTCTTTGAGCTTGGGTTAGTTATATTAAAATGATACCTTACTTGTAAACAAATTAAACTCATTTCACAAGAAAGATTTTGAGCCTGGCCTCATTTCATTTTTTTTATGGGAGGGGAGGGGGGATACTCCACAATGGCCTATTGGAGCAAGTCACGGCGTTGCTATTTGTTTGAAATATTGCAAAATGAAAATTGACAATTTAGTAGAAAACTTGGTCTGTTATCAGTGACGAGATTTAACTTAATTTCTGACACCAAAAGTTACAACAAATATTCGCAGACCTTTTGAAGCAATCTCAAAGGATTTTTTCACCACGTTTTCGCAGTAAAATGGTAACGTCCCATCTGAAATAAATAATAGATCAATTGTGTTTACAATAATAATTTAAAATGTACAAAATGGAACATTCTCATAAGTTCCAGCACTGATGATTTCGTTCCCATTATTTCTATACTATTCTGGTTAAACCCATCCACTTCTCACCGCTAAGACTTCAAATCATTTAGTACATTGGAGTAATAAATTGACGTAAAATGAGGCTATTTCGCAAATGAAAGCATATTGTGAACTAAAATTGAATAACTACTAAGCTAAAGCGAGTGTCAGGTAAGCCGAGATCAAAAAACGAAGTCTTTTTCCGCCATGTCCAGCGCCCAAGCAAACTTCTCTCGTTGTGTCTTGTTGTAAACTTTCTCTACCGGTACTTCGTGTTTCTTGCACCTTAAAAAGAACAAGGTAACAAAAACTGGTTTTAACTACCCTGCGAGCGGAGGTTTCTGTCTTGCATGGCTTTTAGCGTTTACGAAGTCGCGTGGCTTGTCTGTCGCTTAGTTGGGTAAACAAACCAACTACACGACAGACGAGCCACGCGAACGACTTCGTAAACGCTAAAAGCCATGCAAGAGCGAAAGCTCTGCTCGCAGGGTAGGTTTTAACATAAAGGCGAAAGAAAAACTTAATGAATCAGTTTGTGGATAAAGGGGTTATGATAACAAAAACCATCTTTATTTGTACTCACTCTTGCTTAACAATAAAGTTAAGAAAATGAAAATATTGAAAGTAAAATAAGAGTACTAGCTGCCTGGAATAACCATAGTGGCTAGCGGACCCAGGCAGCCAACTAACCAACTCTCATTACCCTTGGGAAGGATAATATTCATTTCAAGCACGTTTCAGTGTGGAGGAAGCTGAGGGTGGCGGGGGCGGGGGGGGGGTATCAAACGGGGTAATCATTTAGCGGGTAGCGAACCGCAGTGCTGGTATTACAAAAAAGAGAAAATATTCTGGAGCTGCAGTACCTCGCATCTTGTTTTGTATGACAGTCTACTGCCAGGATGGAGATTCGAGTCACAGCACTGTATCGTACTTTGATAAGCGTACTTGAATTGGTATGTCTTTATGATCAATAGGGAATTTTAGCAAAAACCTTTTTGAGCGACACACGTGAACCGGAAGTGGACATTTTGCAATATTCGGCAGAGGTTCGCCTTCATTTTTGGACGAGTCATCCCTATAACAGCAAGACAACTAAGCATTACGAATATGGCGGCGTCAAGATATTACAAAAAGGAAAACGCCTCACTTCCGGTGGACGTTTGTCAGTCAAAAACGACTCACTTCCGGTGGACGTGTGTTACTCAAAAACGACTCACTTCCGGTAGACGTGTGTCACTCAAAAAGGACTTTGCTTTTAATAGCTCTATATTAAAGCAGGCGGACTCAATAAGGGGAATTACAATGGCTTCCTCAAGAAACTTCGACTATATGAGATGCCTGTGAAGTTATTTCAGTTCTCGGATTACAGGAGAAAATCTGAATTGAGATTCCTTTTTGACGTGTCTAACTTACCAAGCAACAGAGATTCGCGGATCCAAATAATTTAACTTGGAGGTACCGAGTGCGATCTCTTTATTTTCCTCCTTGTCTGTAGCGGTTACTTCTAATTTAAAAAGCTGATCCTCCAGTCTCTGAGCTTGGCCTTTTTTCTTCTCTAGTTGCCTAAAAAGGTAAAAAAAGCAAAATAGTATCAATGGATGCTTTAGCGGCGGCCTGTAATTGGTCTAAGCAGAGAGGCTGCTGTATTCGCAGGCTACTGATGCTTTCGAGCTTTAAAAATCAAAGACATCCCGTCTGTTGACAGTTTTCTATTTGGCCATGTGAACGTTGAGCTGGAATATTAAGTCAAACAATAATTGCCTTAGAGCGCTCTCCATTTGTCAGAACTAACCGACCAGATCATTACCGTCGTCTTTTAGTGAAAACTCTTCAGCCAGATCAGTCAAGTCCTTAGTAGCATGCATGAAAGAGTTTGTTTTGTTTAGCAAAAAGTCTTGGAAAAAGCCTATTTCATGACTGGTACGGCTGGAAAGCGCCCTACGATTATTATTGGCAGACCACAGGAGTAGATAGGATTACAGCTTTAAAATGTGTCACGGTGTAAACCTCAACTCATAGCCGGATTATAACGTTAGTTAAGCTACCATGTTTATTGAGGAGGGGGGCTGGGTGCTTGCGGCGAAATCTGCGAATACAGGAAAAATACGGGTCACAAATTCCCCGAGTACCAGGGGCTTACTTCTCGCGTGCGACGGGATACTCGGGTGTCGGCCCAGCCAGGCCAAAAACCGGTTGCCGAAAACGGAAACCGCATATAAAAAAAGGGCTACATGTATAAGGGTAGGTAACTGAATGCTCTATAAATAAACGAATTGCGATATGTCATATTTTCCACCTACTTTCTCGTTTTGTCATCTTTGCTTTCCTTAACTTGAATCTTCAATTCTTTAACCTCTTTCTTGATATCTTTTATTGCTTTCTTTTTATCCGCAATCTTGATAAAGAAAATAACATTTCTCTCTTGAGTTGTTTGAATATGCCCCATTCAGACCCCCAAAATAATGAGTAAAATAAAATATAATAAAATGATAAAAAAGTTCAGGAGTTTTGACATCGCTGTGGTAAAATCATTAAAAACGAGTCCTAAGTTGACGAACAGACTGTTCACATTCCTCTATTTTCCCGTAAGATCGTCGAGATCGAGCGCTTTGCGTTAAGGGCGGCCATCTTGAATGAGTGTCAAATCTGCCCGACGCCCGTCCCCAGTGTATCGAAGTGTATATAGAGGATATTACACGGTGGAGAGAAGATATGAATTTTATGTTCGAGTGGCAAGAACAATATCTCACGAGTGAGCGAAGCGAACGAGTGAGATATTGTTCTTGCCACGAGATGTGTAATGTTCTTTTTATTATATGGAGAAACCAATTCAACAAAAGCAAAAGGCGGGAATCGTGACGTCATTGAACGATACGACACTCACAAAGGTGACATACGGAAAATACGCCACTCGGGTCCCGGATGAAGTGGCGTATGGAATCTACGAGTGGTTTAGTTCCCAGTAAAACACTCTCCTCCATATAATAAATATATATATGAGAAACCAAGCCGGCCGCCCGTACCGGTGAGCGCCCGGTCCTGACGATCTAACAAAAAAATGGGGGACAGTAAACAGTCTAGTTGACAAAAGATGTTGCGGTGTCAGAAACTACAACTTAAGCTTATGCTTATGCTTATGATTGCTGTCTTGATTAAAGAACACAAAACAAAATTACAGTGTTTGTGTAAGGCCGGAGCAAGGACAGAATTCTGCGTGAGGGGCGCTTTTACAACTTGCTTAAAACCGAAGGCAAATCGAAAATGTAACTGGTTTACATCCAAGATACCCACATTGCAAGACGTAATTGTTCGGGTTTGATAAGAACGAATAGGCGACTTTCAAAATGGCGTCATTTTACTACTACGATTAGAATCCTTGATTTTCCTTTTATAATTGCATTTAGTACTTCCAGTGAGGTTTATACAACATAAGCCCTAATTTGCACAAGAAAGCAAAACCCTGAAGGATTCTGGTTGTAGTAGTACTAAAATGACGTCGTCGTGTAAGTGACCCATTCATGAAACTCATCACTCATGTGTACTTTACTGAAACAATCGTCTGGTGTTGTAAAAGTTCGGTGGGTTATTTTATTAGTCAGTTTAGTTATAATGTTGATAAGCGGCTGATCCCCGAGTCATTGATTCGCTAAGTACCTTGTTTTGAAGATTTGACATTGATTTGTCGAAAGTCTTGGGAACAGAGCGCTGAAAAAGAGAAAGATGAAGGTTAGTACATCGCAAGCGGACGCCTTCTATATTGGATTCGAAAGTGAGACTTCACTGGTCATTCATTAGAGGCTTTAGTTCCGACGACGCGACGGCGGCCGAGAACGTCAAAAAGAGCAATAGGTTTATTTAGTATGTAGTTCTAACTTTTGAGTCTGTGGACGAAATCCTATGGTGTTACCATTCAAATGAAACCTCTTCAGCAGTACTTTCACAGGGAACTATTTATCTAGTATGTAGTTCTAACTTTTGAGTCTGTGGATGAAATCCTATGTTGTTACCATTCAAATGAAACCTCTTCAGCAGTACTTTCACATGGTACTATTTATTTTGTATGTAGTTCTAACTTTTGAGTCTGTGGACGAAATCCTATGGTGTTACCATTCAAATGAAACCTCTTCAGCAGTACTTTCACAGGGAACTATTTATTTAGTATGTAGTTCTAACTTTTGAGTCTGTGGATGAAATCCTATGGTGTTACCGTTCAAATGAAACCTCTTCAGCAGTACTTTCACATGGTAACATTTATTTTGTATGTAGTTCTAACTCTTGAGTCTGTGGATGAAATCCTGAGGTGTTACCATTCAAATGAACTCTCTTTAGCAGCACTTTCAGTCACATAGTACTCTTTATTTTGTATGTAGTTCAAACTTTTGAGTTTGTGGACAAAATCCTGTTACCATTCAAATGAAACCCCTTCAGCAGTACTTTCACATGGTACTATTTATTTAGTATGTACTTCAAACTTTTGAGTTTGTGGACAAAATCTTGCAGTGTTACTATTCAAATGAAACCCCTTCAGCCATACTTTCACATGGTACTATTTATTTAGTATGTAGTTCAAACTTTTGAGTTTGTGGACAAAATCCTGTAGTGTTACGATTCAAATGAAACTTCTTCAGCAGTACTTTCACATGGTACTATTTGTTTTACAGCAGCTTACAAAATGAAACTTGGAATGCCACTTGGGGAGTGAAAGGGTTATGTTACATACCTGATGGTTACAGAGAATGGCCACGGCTCGATTCGCTCGGTTGTACGATAACACTTTAGCGTTTACATTGTCCTCAGGCTCCGTGAGTTTGCCAAGCTGATCCTGCAGTGTCATGGAGGCGTTGTACGTTCGAAAAACTTTGGCAGTTAAACCGTCCATTAAATCCGATAGGTACTTGTTCAATGAAGTTGTCTGAATGAAGTGTAAAAATACAAGCGTCAATGAAGTCTCCTGATGGAAGGTTCGACTTTACAAAGCATACCTTTGGTGTAAACAAAGGGCTTAAACTTCATCAAGATACTATAAGATTATGGATGTACTTACTGACAATCTGTCGAATAAATCATCTCCATCCTGTTTTCCTTTCTTAAATAACTTAAGATTCTTAAACACCTGTAAAAAATATCATCATTTTTGTTATCTTTGCTCTTTAATAATTATTGTGCTGTATTGTAATTAGCCCCTACGGTTTCAATTTGTGCTTCCTCGCCAGAAAAAAATCCCTCTAATTCTTCCACTTATGTAATTTACGTCACTTTTAACCTTTAACTATCTTTTTAGCTTTACATTGAATGACTGTATTTTTTCTGGCAAACAAATAAACAGAAACTGAAACTGTTAATTAATTAAGCCTAGAAAAAAAAAGAAATTTAACCAGAAAAAAAAAAAATTTCCAACGGGCAAATACGACGGCTTAAAGCAATTTCGTTCCCAGAGTCCGCGTTAACGTTGTCCAGCGGTCCCAGTTGCCGTTCCGCTGGACAAGGATAACGCGGACTCTGGGAACGAAATTGGACTTGCAAATGCTGCAAACGAAGCCCCTTCAAGTGCCAAAACTAAGAGAAAAGTTAATTTCACTTACCTTTTTTTCTACCGGGACAAAGTTCCAGTATCGAACAGAGTCTTTACCGAGGAAATCAAACTCCACTACATGTTCCTTGTCTTCCCACTCATCATGCAATTCTATACACAACAAAGTAAGATACGTGATAAATATGGGGTAAAAAGTGTCTATAATTCACAAACAAATATTCCAAACTGAAAGCAAATCTTTAAGTTAGTGGAGGGAAACCAGGCCACTTAGCTTTTTTTCGATCGTTTGATTTCCACCAATAAATTATTGAAAGAAGGAAAAGCAAATATTAATTACTGTCATTGTTGCATACAAAATAACATTGATTCCCGTCAATAGGCCATTTTACAGTTGTGAGCATAGTATCCTAGCCTTTGAGTGAACGTGAGGCTAAGGTTGACCTTGTTTTCATATAAACATCCTTCGTTTTCTAACGTAAATTGCACTTAAAAAATACTAGTTAGCATAGCAACAACATGATTCACATAACAAAGCAAGCAGTGGAGGCTGCCTTTGAGCTGGTCTAGTACACAAGACCACCAGCTAGATTTTAGGGTAAGAAGCCTATTGCTGAAAAAGGTCGCAATTTCAGTACAAAGAGGTCACAATTTCTACTCACTGATATGCTCGAATCTCAATGAACAACAGCCCACAGTGTCGGCTGTGTCGTCATCTTTTTCGTGTCCAGCTCGAAGAGCAAGCTGAAAATTGGAATTACAATAAGTTTTCATTAGAGAGGTTTCCATTTACTGAAAACAACTAAGCAAACAAAATCCAGTTACTCAAAGACAAACTTAGCATGGTTTTTTAATAAAGGTAACCTTTTCTCAGAACAATTTGCTAAGGTAAGGGTGAGTTCTTGTAGCCAGCCCTCCCACACGAAACCCTAAGAAAATCTGCATATGAAGCTAGATATTAAGCAGGTTTAATCCTTACCTTGTCAATAAAGTATAGGGCAACACCCCTGAAAACATCAAAATAAGTTAAACATCGTAAGAAGTTCTAACACACAAAGATCTGATGCAATGCAAAGATGATAAACATCACATTTGCTACGATCACATCTTCTCCCAAGAAATTTCAATCAAATCCGTGACCCCTTTACAACTTTAACTACATTCTTTTGGAGTAGTTTATGGCCAGCATCTCAAAACGTCTTACTGTCAGTAATTATTTTAGCTACCTTGCCTGCCCTGAAAATGCTTGCCCAGTCCCTGTACGGTGTCTTCCCAGACCTTCTCTGTCAATGCATTTCTGTGACGTATGCAAGACGAACGGCTGGGAGACATGACCACGTGATCCGAAATGCATAGATGGCATGGAATAATGAGGGTTAGGGACCAGGCAACATGTTTGCATAATAGCAGAAGTACATGTACTATTTACCTCTGACGCAGTCTCATTTCTTTGGATTTCCAGTCCTCTTCATAATCCTCTCTGATTTTCTGAACACAGTCCTGAAATGGCAACAAGATTATGATTTTTGTGACAACCTGCAACAGATGGCATAGTCTTGCAGCTTATCTGTGTTGCTACGTCAATAGCTTTATTTCAGTGACATGGAGTAATGCAAGTCTTGCAAATCCACTTTGCAAGAGATGTTCATTTTTTTTATGGGATCAGAATAATTTACAAATTAGATAAATTACCACTCTTCTACATAGGTACCAGATTTTCAGGTAGTATACCATTACCTTTAATTTCCTTGCTGTTTCATACTTCTGCCAATCCTTTTCACCCTGAAAACAGTTGCAAACAAATCATTATTAAGTAACTGAAGCCAGTCTATTCAAAGAGAAATACCGTAATGGATTGCAGTTCAGTCTCACCTTTAATCTTGACGTGGGATTTAACATGACATACTTGTAACTTCCTTGAATATTCTCTACCCAGCAAGCAAGCCATGATACCTTTACATAAAAACACATGTACATCAATGTTAGCTAGGTTTTGAAACGTTTTGACCAGTGACAGAATTTTCTCTTTTTAGTTTTTAATGCTTAACTACCCAGAGTGAACACAACTCAATTCATTCTGTATCAATTCTCTGCAAGCAGTCTATAATGATTTGAACTTGATGCCTGCATTAGTGTCATCATTATAAATTTTTACCTTATTATCATGAATGACTTTCTGCCACTTGTGGCCTTCAGGAGGCTCAGGAATTTTTGCTCCTCTGCCAAAAAAAAAGAAACAAAATAATGTTATGATCATAAAATGATTAACCTACCTGAATTTGATGAGAGTGCTAGTGATAAGAATGCAACCAACTACTGTAACACCTATATTTAATCATGAATTGCTCAGAGCCAGACCAACAACATTGCAGACTACAATTCAGGTCCTCAGCTGAAGCCAATCCAGTTTGCCTCATCTTTCACATTTTGCTACACATGAAGGGTAGTTTCTGTTGGGATGCTACCAGTCCACGTAATTAATTAAGTGCAGTTCCTTATCCCAGCAAATAAATCCAGGGAAAGAGTTGTTCTGCCCGTTACTATTGTACATGTAGCTCTAATCCTAGCCTAATCATAAACATTACAGTAGCAGAAAATCAGTTGTGTCTGGATTTAAACAACTAGCCCAGATGATTTTTCTAATTTGAAGTCTTTGAACCTTACGAGTCAATTCAGTGATTTTAATAAGGGAAGTGGCCACAATTTTCAAAAATAAAAGATTGATACACCCTTCCTCGTCTTCTTAACATAAAAGTTTCAGTAATGTGACTTTCGATTTCATGATGGCAGAAATTTACAATGTATGAGTTTCTGATAACACTTAGTGGCAAATTAAAAGCAATCAGAGTGGTATTTTAACATACTGTCCAATATTGATGATCACATCCTCAGGCATGGTTCTCTTTTTCAGTTTTCCCTGCTTTGGGTGGTCGCCACGTCCTCGGAATAAACCTGGAGGTTCAATCTTGAAGTTGCCTACCCTCTGCTTGTGCCCATCCATAAGACAATAGCCATACTCTTCTAAAATTTTCTCATTTTCCTTTTTCAGCTCCTGTTTCTGCTCCTTTGTCCAGTTTCTTCTCTCCTCTGCTTTCTGAAAGAATTCAATGTGATATCCAATATTTCTATAAGGATAGGGCACAGAGAAATAAAAGGTGGCATGAAGTATCTTTTATCATCTGCAAGACGAGAAGGCCAATAATACTTCAGTGATCTAGGTAGCAAATGATATTGCAGTCTACGAGACAGTCTAATGTAGAGTTGAAACTAACTGTACTAATTACATGTAAACTTTTGCATTTTGTGACTTCTTTTCAAGGTCTCCTTTTTGCAAATATTTTTTTCTGGCAGTGAGCATGGTTCATTTAACTCTTTAAGTCCCAATATCCACATAAAAATTCTCCAGACTGACTTCCATACTTTTTCTTAAAGAATCAGTTGAGAGAATTTGTTAACAGATCAAAGCACTTTCCCCCTTGTGGTCAATTAATTAATTCTCATGACTTTTTCTCTTCTTCCTGTATTTTTTATTATACGGAGAAAATTTATGTTGGTCACACTTTGGACTTAAAGGAGTATACCCTGAAGGGATGTACTTTGCTAACAAAATACAAAACAGTCTCATAAACACTATATAATATTATACTGTACCATTGTAAAGTATGCATGCATCTCTTTAAAGTTACACTTGGACAGATCCTTAATAATTTTCCGCTCTTCACTTGTCATTTCTTTCCGCCAGTCTTCAAAGAAGTTCTTGTTAAAGATGTCTTTGCTGGTGTAGTCATGATCAAGCATCTTTGCATAAAATGATGCCACCTAAAAAACAACACCTTGAGTAACTCTGGTTCCTTAAGTGTTTTTTTAGTAAGTACAACCATAACTGGTCCTATGTCTAAGAAATATACTCTGACTCATTATATGGCTGAATCCACAAGCAGGCAAGATGAGGCAAATCCTGTTCTGATTGGCTTGATTGACCAAGCTTGTTCAGTCAAGAAAACTGGATCTATTTTTTACATTATTATAGTAAACTTAGGCAGCAGGACAAGACAGCAATTAAAAAAACGACAAATCTTGTGTGACAAACGAGACACTAATTTTGTTTGAAAAAAATTTGCCTCAAACTTCATCTTCCTTTAAACAGATATCTTTTTGTAAGAGACCAAAAAAAATTAATTCTTGACCGAAGATCACCACAGCACATGAAAGTAATAGCCCTGTTATATTTGTCACACACAAGTATTTTGCCATCCTCTTTCTTCTGCCATCCTGTTGCATAAACGCAATATTATCAATGCAAAACGCAATTTAAAAGGAACTTGGCCAATATCCAGCCACCTTGACCTTGCGCTTGGTCAATAACACTTATGTATTAACATTCTTGGAGAAACAGGGGCAGTCAATTGGAGTTGAAAATTTAGATGGAGAAATTGCTCGACAAATTACACGAACAAAAAAAGCCTGCATGCAAACACTTACTCTTACTAAAACCAGTTCCAATTAGCATTTTGAATTCCTTGCTTGCCACTGACCAGACAATAATTATTTCACCCATTAGAGGCAGAAAATTGAAATAATGGGTCTAGTTCCATAAGAACAACAATAATATAAACAGGAGCTCCTCAATTCTTATAAACGCTTCTTGTAATGACTGTGCACATAAAGATTTCATTGCAAAGCTAACTATAGATCAAGGAGTGTTTACATCCACATACAGAAGTAATTTTAAAAACATTCCACTCAAGAGCCATAACAAGGAGAGGACACTATGATCCTTGAGGCATCAGATTAACAAACAAGAAACTAGTATCTCCAATAAACAAACTTTTACCTCTTCTGTCCCTAAACTAAGCTTGATATGTTCACCTGTAAAAAAACAAAATAGATACTGTATGTAAGACAGCATTATTTAATCATTTAATTTCTTGAAATCCATAAGATGCTAATTAAAATAATAATAATAATAATCCATTTATATAGTGCCTTTTCTACAAGATTCAAAGGCGCTGTTTACAAAAAATAAGATAGAAGTAAAAAGTAAAAATAATCGCAAGAAATTGACATTAAAACTAGACGCTAACTACAAAATAGATAAATGTACACAATAGATAAAAAATCAGATAACAAATAAAAACGTCACGATTCATAAGCTAGCATAAAAAGAAATGTTTTAAGTTTGCGTTTAAAATCATCAATTGAGTTTGCAGATTTAATATCCTCAGGTAAGTTATTCCAAAGTTCCGGAGCAGCAACAGAAAAAGCTCGTTTACCATACGAATTGAGATTAAAATAGGGTTTAACTAATAAATTTCTGCTAGAGGATCTAAGATTGCAGCTGGGTGTATACAATTGAAGGAGTTCCTGTATATAGATTGGAGCTCGATCACTTAGTACTTTGTAAGTAATTAACATAATTTTAAATTCAATACGAAAGGAGAGAGGAAGCCAGTGAAGATCCATCAGGACTGGAGTAATATGGCAAAATCTTGGACACTGGTTGACAAGGCAAGCAGCAGAATTTTGAACATGTTGAAGCTTCCCAATAAGATAGGATGGTAGGCCGTACAATAAAGAATTACAAAACTGGCACTGACTTTAAACACATTACATGTATTTATGATGTAGTCATATTCCATAACTACCAGTGTTCTTACAAAAATTTATAGCTCTTTTACGGGAAAATAAAAAAACCTCACCATCATAATAAAACTTGACATCATCAGGTAAAGGTTCATATGGAGGTGGAAAATATGGTCCCTGGAGAAGAAGAGAAGAGGTTTGAAGATATATGTTCTGTGCCAGATTGGCAGAGCATTGTAACAAAAACATGGCCATATTGTACTTTTGGAAACAACTTAGATTTGCAAAATAAACACACTGTATCATCAGAGGGCTCAGTTATCTCAGCATAAACAGTATGCTACCCCTTATCCCCTGTTCTCTCTCTCTCTTTTTTTTCCCTGCACATTTCACAGATAACTCAGCCAAAAGTGGAAAAATGAGTTTTTCAAAGAACAATACATCATACCTTGTGCTCCATGTGCAACCATTTTACGCCTTCTGGGAGTTGTTCCTCCTCCCACCTAAAGGATCAATGTAAAATAATACTTTACATCACATGAACAATACCCTATCCCTTTTCGATTTATTGTAATTTATTTTTATATTTCCTAGTAGTAGTGCTTTAGTTATTAGTTAGAAGCTTGTGAATAATGTCTGTTATAGATGTTGCAAGATTATATATGTAAACGTAAATGTAAATATACAGTTGCAACATTGAAGGTAACATTCTGCCACATTTCCCAGATGATCTGAGGCAAGTTTGAGATCTAGAGCAGTCTCCCATTCAGAGGGGAGCATTGAGGGCTTTCAAACACTACACAAACACAACTTTAGAATAATTGGCAATGTCATGCAAGCTTTTATTTGCCCAGATGATTATGAATGTAACATGTTCTTTTTTATTTTCAGCAAAACAAAATAATAGTTTGCAAGAGCATCGGGTTTTTTTGGATCTAGTTCTCAGGCTACAAAGAAAATGAAATCGCTTTATAAGTGAGTCACTGAAGATAATCAACAATTGCATGATTCCATCTTTGCATTCTATAAATTTACAACCAAAATATCATTTAAAATTAAGAATTTGTAAGATGTTATCTCTTCAACAAAGTTTATACCAATGCTAGACTCCAAGGTGACAAATATGTATGCAATGCCTGTCCGACACAGTTGACAAAACCCCGGTTTTAGGAAACTCAAAGGCAGTTATAGTTAGTCTTACTGCAAAGAATTTGTGCGGTTTCTTGCGTGAAAACCTTGCTATACGTAGTAAATAACTAAGCATCTTTAACTTTGGGAAAATTTGCATGTTGTGGGGAAGAAACAAAGAGCCAAAAATCACCGACTGTTGCAGTTATAGATAAAATGTAAGCAAATTGACATGAAACACACACCATTCTGATCACATAAATCTTTTCAGTAGCCAGAGTGAACACAAAAAAATATTGACAAGAAAATCACTGATTATGTGGCTTTGTGGGCCTGAAGATGGGATGGTCTGAATGCTTTTCGTTTCTTTTTCATGAGCCATTTAAAACAGCTTGAATATTCTGAGAGAAAGATAACTTTGTGTGTATCAACTTCCACAAATTTTGCTTGACGTGACTGGGCACTTTTTTCTTTCTCAGCACTCCAATGTTCCCCCTCCAGTTAAGACAAATTTATTCTCTGGATATGGACAATTTTTTGTCTGCACTTTCAGGCATCACTAAATGTTTCTGTAATTTAATTTTTGGCTTGACACAAGACTGCTGACAAGACTAAACATTGCTTTCTTTCCTGATCACCATTAAAGATATCTAGGAAGTCAACACTGAAATTGTCATTAAATAAAATATTTTAGTTTGAGTGATAATTTTTATAAAGTTTTTTACTTTTTACTTTACCGCAAAACTTACCATTTCCAAACTTCCTTTTCCTCTTCTTTCTTCTTTTTTCCCTTTTCCTGTGTGGCAATAATAAAATATCAGATGAGTCAAGATCATGATACCCAGGGTCCGAAATTAACTTTTTAATATGGGCACCAACTGGTAAGTATAAATTTTTGGGCACCAGAGGGCAAATTATTTTCGCCAAAAATTTCCCTTGGTGGCTTGGAAACGTTCAACTCGTATTGATCGTAGCTGTTGTGGAGGTATATTTACAGGAAGATTCGTTTCACTTTTAAATTAAAAAAATATCAGCAGGACAAAAAGTAAGACACCTGTTGGCAAAGAGCTTCGAGGTTTCAATTCTCAATCATTTTCTCTGAACATGAAAGTCTACAATAACAACCAGCTTTACAAGTCGCCAGCTGGCGACCAGCTATGAAATTCTGGTCGCCAGAACTGAATTTTTGGTCGCATTGGCGACCAGGAAGGCGCAATTTCGGACCCTGATACCGGTAATAATAAAATTAATATCACCTTATTGTGAAGTCATTATTATTAGACCAAATGGATGATCAACACAATGTTCAGACATGCTATATTGTTCATCCCTCAATGTGAAATTGCACATGTACAAGTTTCCAGTATCCTTGAAGGAGTTCACCATGCAATAACTTATCATACCACACTATGAAAGTCTACTTGCATGTACAATGTATTAAGCTACAATTAATTATTTATTTATCACCAACTAGGCATAATAGAAATGTTTGTACCTCTTTTTCAGACTTTTCTTCCTTGGGTTTCTTTTTAGCTGACCCACTTGTTTTCTCTTTCTTTGCTGGTTTAGAACTTTTCTTGGCAGTCTTGGCCTGAAATTAAAGATTGAAATTTTTAGCATGATCCACGGATGTACCGTACAGTGTACCTTGATATCGCTGCACCATACAGTGAAACCTTGATATAACCAAGGGCCAAGGGACTAGTAAAATCTGTTTGCTGTTTGCTATCTGTTACACTACTTTCCGCAACACGACTTTGCAAAATGACTGGGTATGACATGAAATTGCATCTGAGGTACAGAAATAGAATTTGAAAAATTAAGAAACAGAAGTAAAATATTCATGCACAAAAATGTTTCTACGTTACCTGTGAGTTTTACTGGTTCTTACACCGAGAATAAGCCAAATTTTCCTTGGCAAAATGATCTAATTTTACACAAAAAGGTGTCTGGCGTATACAAGGTTGTGAATTTCAAGGACTTTTCAAGACCTAATAAAGAAATACATGTAAAGTTCTTTTCAAGGCCCTAAACTGAATCAAGGACTTTTCAAGACAACTACTAAAATTCAAGACCTTTTCAAGATTGTACGAACCATGCAAGGGAAAGTGTGACACTATTATCATTGATTAAAACAGGGAACGTAAAATGAAATTCTGTACATTCAATCTTTATTTACCACGTACACTGTACACTAGCTCTTATGTATAGAATTTATCTTACCAATGGTTTACCATCTTCATCGCTGTCACTTTCATTGCTTGCACTCTTCTTCCTCTTGCGCTGGTGAAGGAGAACATTTGTTATAAAAGTGTTTTAAGCAGTACATGTACAATATTTTGTTTTTTAATGATTATTTTTCTGACCCCAAATAAAGGAGTACCCTCATTTATATGACGATTAAGAAGCAAAAAAAGCACATAAAAACAAAAAAGTGCACACCGAGGCTGCAGCATCTTTCTTCTGACCAGATGACCCACTAGATGTTGGTTTTACTTGCTTCTTGTTTGTGGGGGTCTTGTTCACTCTGGCAATAAATCAAATGTTTGTACAGCTTCGTTAAAGGGGCTGTGTTACGGCAGTCCAGTTCATTTTGTTTAATTTTGCCAATTACTCACCCTCAATCGCTATGGAACTTAAAATAAGCAGAGAAATTACAGGTAAATGACAAAATCGGAGACAAACGAATATGTCTCCTGTGCATTATTTTTGAAGTTGCAAGCAGCAGGGATCAACTTTGAAGAACTGTTAGGCTGAACAGTTTTCAAAAACCCTAATTTCAATCTGTTTCAGTCTTCTTCAGTTTTGCCCATCCATGGCATCTGTTGTTTCTGTTGTGTTATTTTAACCTTCCTTTAATGTTTTAAGTGGTTATTTTTATGTTTCTCTTAATTTAACTGGCATTTTGTAATTACCTAATTTGGCTGAATTTCGTGACACAGCTTCCTTAACCCACCCTCCTCCCCCACCTCTGTACCACGCCAGATGAAATGATAGCATATGGCTTTTCCCTGACAGTGTTTGTCACAGACAAATAAAAAAAAAAACATGGTTAATCTCACTTTCAGAATGCCGTCTTCCTATAATGCCTTCTTCTGATATGCTTTTCTTGATGAACAGTGCTCATTTTTATTCATTCTTTAAAAACATTTTGTAAGTTCTTTTGACCTTTCAAAGTCAAAAACAAATTAAACGTATTAGATTTAGAGAGAAATTTATACATACCTAGCAGACTGTCATAGTCATCCACAGAAACATTATGAAAGTAAAAACCAAAATCAATATCATTAGATTTTAATGAACTCAAGCATTTTCTGGAAGATGAAGTGGTAAAATTCGATAGATAATACCCACAGGCCAATGCAAAGCAGCAGGCCAGCTGAAAACCTGTGAATGAAGAGCCTTGAAACCCAGAAAGTAGTGTCCCTTATGCTTGTTGTAAGGGATCTCTTTGGATACACTTAGGCCTGCTTCAAAAGACAATAAAATCTCATGTCTTTGGGTGCTTACCATTAATTTTGATAGGAAATTTCAGAAATTCCGGATGAAAGGTAAATGGTAAGGTCACTTTTCGGTAATTCCAACGGAAAATTGAGGAGTACATTTTGAGGTAGTCCGTTCATTCGGGTTGGTACAAACCAAACAGAATGTGCTTACCATTTACCAATTTCTCGGTTCCTTCTGGGTTCCAGACTCGCGATACACAATATTCGCCCTTTTTTTGGATTTAAACCGTAACAGATGTGGCAATTCTACAGTAAACTGGTAAATCGCTTACCATTATGCTTTCGACACCCCAACCGAATTTTTTTGTCAAATGGTAAGCACACTTTGACTACCAAAAAGGCAGGTACACAAAATTGGCTTCTACCCTTATCCAGTGGAAAGCAATGTATCTGTGGATGATGATGTATATTTTGAAATGCCAAGGTCTGCATTGTGTAGTGGATAACGATATATAATTTTGAAATGCTAAGGACTAGTAAAACCTGAAAATTCAAAAGTCTGTTCTCACCAAGGGTTGGTCATCATCATCACTGTCTGCTGTCTTCTTCGAAGGCTTTCCTCCTTCTGACTTTTTTTCCTTCTTCACTGAATCATGCTTTTTTGCAACATCTGCTGCCTTCTTCTCCTTCTTTTTCTCCAGTTTAAGAGGTTTTCCATTTTTCACCTTTTCGGGCTTATCAGATTTGACCACTTTTTTCATTTCATCCACTGAACTGTTCAATGCTGATTTAGCTGGTTTTGGTGTGGCAACTTTCTTCTCAGTTTTAATCTTATCCGCCGCTGCCTGCCTGTAACATGTTCAATAATGCAAAGTGTTAAAAATTATAAAACATTTCGCGAAAAAAGAGGATGTCATATCATCCACTGCAATGTCAAAAGCAATAGTCAGAGTGTGTTGAATCACAGTGGCATAAGCGTCCAGTAAATTAACTGTCTGGAGAAAAGGCTCTTTTTAACTCTGATCAAGCACACTATATAATTATATGGTATAAGCGATAAGGAATAATACAACATACTTACTTCATTTGGGCCCTGGCAGCCTAAAAGAGAACATGAGATTAATCAGCTCACATTGTTTTACAAAACCTAAGGATCATGTAATAGCTCACTTATGAATTCTAAGAGAATCAAACATGGTGAAGAACTAGGGAGAGAGTGGACTTGTTCTATGTTTTTTATATAAAATTTTTTAAAGATAATCCAGAGCTGTCATTAAGAGGCGGGGGCCGGGGATTTCCCTCGGCTACTATAAACGTGGTCCCCAGCAACTTTTAAAGGAAACTAGAAGAAAAATAAAAGCAAAAGAAACCCCTAGCTGTTTGCTTCCCCGCCCACTTGATGTATTTACCCAGCAACATAACATCTCAGTGACAACCGTGATAATCAGATCTACCTTTTCAGACTTTGTTATCTAAATAAAATAACTTACCAAGGGGATGTCATCATCATCATCACTTTCAGCATGGCCTGATGCATGTTGTGATTGTTTTACCTGAAAAGGTTAGAATCAACAAATAAATTGATGAATACCAGGACAATCTGTGGCTACACTACATGTATACTCTAGAGTGGGATTTCTGACACAGGAGTACATCGATACAGTTGCATGTACAGTTTAAAGCATCTGCTACGCTTTGGTTAATAAAAAGTTCAGACTTTTTTTTAAAAAAATGAGGTTGAGAATGCTTGAATCTCTTAATTTAATGCCCTTTTTTCATACTATGACCTCCTTAATGCTAAGGCAAATGCTGCCCTCCTTTCATTCCAATAATATTGACTAATGTAATCCTGTCAGGAGACTGATGCTTTCTTATACTTCTGAAGCCTGAGGAAACCGTGGGCATTTTGCGGCACAACAACTGGTTTCCCTGCAAAATTATGTTTGAGAAAGAGCAGAGAAATTCCACACTAATGATGGTCGAATAGTGATACTGTTACATGTAGGTCATCAGTATAGAATTTCTGCAGTCAGTGGTGATATTGCAAAATGTGTTCTGTTTCTCAGGCTTACACTTTTTTTGGTTCTGCATTTATAGGGCCATAGCATAATAAGTTTCCATGCTGTACAATGCAGTTTTTATTTTTATTTTTTTTTCTGTTTGGCTGAGTACAGAGCAAAATAAAAATTACAAAACTCACTGGCGATATAGCTTCCTTTTTAATGGCAGTATTATGGGGGTGATGGCTTTTGTCCAAAGGAGATTTCTTCACAGGTGATTTGGTTGAATCATGCTTCAATGCTGAATTGGAGTGAAGTTTGATGCTTGCATTCAGCTTCACGGGTTTTGATGAACTGAACAAAATATATGTAGAAGCAGAATTAAGAATTCAAAATTGGACAATTATTAGATTGCTCAGAACACACTCAATGATGCTACTTATACTATTTACATAATACCAGCAGATACTCTGTCAAAGTCTTAAGCAATATTGGAGAAGCAATTATAGTGATTGTTTATCGACCAAAAACCCCATTTTTGAAAAATAGAGTAGTCTTTTATATCATTAGGTAGAACAATCGCTGATCACTTTCTTCTTTTTTTAAGACAGAAGGGGTGATTAACAGAAATTTATCTATTTCTTTCAAGATGTTCTCAAAAATTAGCTTCATGCTGGACAATTTCAAGTGAAACTTGGTGGTAAAGGAGTTGCTTATCTGCTGGTATTAATGGTATTATCTCTTAAATTTTTGATCACTTAAAGATGTAGTTCATTAATGCTTTAGAAGCCCTACTCCCTCTCCTCCCTCCTTGTAAATTGACTTATAAGGTAATAGTAAAATATCCAACTCTATTGCCCACGCTTAATCTATCATAATGTCCAAAACTTAAGTCAATGTGCTAATTAAATTAAATGTGTTTTTCTGAGGCACAATCTAACACTGGCAACAAGGGTTAAAGACAGTGTATGGTTTTAACATGTACATAATAATATTGCATGGAGGAATTGAAGGGAAAAATGCACAAACCCTACAGTCTCAGACAAAAATAGTTGGGACACTTCCACCCAATGCTGTTTTTTGGCTTCTGGCCCGTCTCCTCGTCCTCCCAATGTTGTTTATCGCGGTTAACTCACCAAATCTTGCACACCAACATTGGGAGGGCAAGAAGACAGCAAAGTGTCCCAACAATTTCGACTGACACTGTAGCTACCAACAATGTAGAGATCATCATTATACCAGCTGAGTTCATCCTGAAATGACTAAAAGCTGTTACCCTCAATAATTTGTGGATACTGTTTTTGTTTATGAATAGTTTGAAGAAAATAAATGAACCCTAGAGAACTCCACCTACGTACTGGCTGTACACAATTTTATTCGTGAAATATTTTCTCAAAGGGCCATTATTTTTACTGTAAAAAGTCTCCTTCATCTTTAGGGACAGAAAAAAGAAAGTCCTTTCCCACCCCCAGACAGCAGTCAATTGTCATGCTGGAATCTCATTGTTCTACAGAAAACATGGCCCGTTTCACTAAACAGCTTTATTTATTTCAGCTCACCTTTTTACGTCCTTCTTAAGGGAAAAGCAAATCCAGAGGTGTAAAAATGTAGATCGAATCAACATGAAGGAAAAATGAAAAGTGAGTGAATACGGATGTTACAAAACCGTCTAAAAATGAAAATTAGAAAGAATCGTAACTTTTGAAAATGTCGGAACAACGAAGATTCAAGGAGATGACGGTAAAGAATCGGGGTCGGTGAGTGACACCATTAAAAGATAACTTACGTGCGAAGATTCCAGCTTGATTTTTTTCTTGTCGGGTCCTACACAAAAAGTTACAGAAATCATGATGACCTTATCGTGTTTTTTCTAGTTGGGAACTCAATGGCATAAAATGAAACAACTTGTAACGTTGTTCGTTTCATGGAAATCCGACAAGAAAAGTAAAATCTTCTGTTATAGTGTCTTCATGGGTAAACGGATAAAATGTGATAGCATTTTGCAGATTTTCACAACTCAGACAAGACGATTTATGAAAATAAACTAAAGTTTGAGCAAACTGATATGAGCGACAACGAACGCAGCGGAAACAACTGAGCCTGTTAATTTAGTACCGATCACCAAAATGGACATGAAATCGACATCTTTTGATTTACACCAGCCTTTGAATCCCATAAGACTTGCAAATTCAGGTTAAAAATTCTGTCTTTTTCTTCGCCGATTTCTCTCTTTTAAGCTGAATCCGAAAGCTGATGAAGGAATTTTGATAGGCAAAGATTCTAAAACTTCCTATTGAAATGGGCAGAGGCAGATTGCTGGCATGCCAAGCAATGGAGTTAGACTAAACCGCTTACATGTGCTCCAGTGAATAAACGAAAATTTATCAAGAGACTATTCCACACATCAAGATACTTTTCTAGGTTTTGATCCATAAAACACGATTGCCAAAAATTGCAGCAGCTTTCAGTAAGAAAGAAATCACAGGAGTGAATGGGTTGTGAACTACTGATTCAAACTTGAATGAGCGGTCGATCTAAAGCTTACAAACCTTACCTACGTTCTCCACCGGCTTTTGTTTCCTCTGCGCCTGAAATCGGACAAGTCACGATTACAATCAGTCCATCAGTAGTTATCTCACCAGAGTAAGATAAAAATTATAAAAACAGTCAATATTTTACTCAGAGAAATTATTCTAGGAAGAAAGGAATCGGCACTTACCAAAGGAACGTCATCTTCTTCAGAAACCTCGTCAGTCGCCGACTGAAAGAAATATTGCTCTTAGCCACAAAGCCTCTTATGAAGCGAGAAAAATCGACAGAGAACGTAGCAATGTTCACAAAATATATCTTAACCAAAATATATCAAAAGATTGCTCTTACGTGTTTTACTTGCGTGAGATGCTGGGTGGTTTCTCCGTTCATTCTGGACAAAAATTGATCGAAAATTTTTCTAAGTGTCGCTCTCGCACCAAAAGGCAAAGGACAAAGAAAAAGTTAAGTCTCCACTAACGGCTACTACGCAGGCGTGAAACCACGTGATCAAGTGACCTTACCGCCGGATCCGAAGGGAGCCCGGCCGGCCGGCCCCTGACAAGATACGTCGTTTTTGTCTACGGGTACGTGGTTGTGCAGGGTACGATATGCTGCCATGTAGTTAAATGAAAGGCAACCATAATTTCCCAGATGTAATGATGGCATTATAGTTCTACCCGGTAGCGTATCTGTTTCTCGGAAGCGTGGGGCCCTTTTCTTGAACGCCCCGCGCTAAGCGCTTAGCGGGGCATTCAAGAAAAGGGCCCCACGCTTCCGAAAAACAGATACGCTACCGGGTAGAACGATAATGCCATTATAAGCCCGGAAGGCCCAGACGAGCGCCGTAAAAAAAATTGACATAATCTAGATAGTGGTTTTCATTGTTTTCAAAATGACACAATAAAATTAACAGACTAAGGAAACAAAATAGGCTTGTTAGGGAGCTAGAGTCCACCCTTCGTCAGATTTTGATTTTAAAATATGGCTTCGGGCTCAAAAAGTTCCGGCCGCGAATATTCGAGAAACGGGCCCCAGGAGCCTGAACTTTTGGCTCTTTTTTTGCCTCAAATTAATAACACTGCAAGTCAGGAAGAGTTTCATGTTTTTCATGAAACAGCTGAGAAAAAAAAATACACACTGGGCCCACTTTAATTGTGCAGTTTTATTTTTTCCAGCAAGGGAAAGAGAGAGTTTGAGTTTGAGTTCCCCCCATTCAGTCATGTTTTAAAAAGGTTTTCATGTTTTTTTGTTTGTAAAATAGTGAAATAATTAATAAACAGTTGTTGCAAACAAAACCGGAGGTTCTTTGATGTATTGAAAGAAGAGTCCACAACCTGACCAAAAGGAGAAACCTTTGCCAAATTTGAACAATAAAGCAAGTAAGCAAGCTTTATTTATCCACGCTCTCGTTCATTACAGTCATGCTCTTCCACAGCTTCCAGAGAGCCGTGCAAAAAAGTATCAGCTAAAAAAATAAAAATCTACCGCCAACTGTTACAACCTAGATACAATTTGATAAACATGAACGTGGGATTCCAACATGTTCCAGCCCGACCTCAGTCTAGCGGTTATACCTCAGTTCAAGAGGGGAACTTATGAAGAACTTATGAATCAGCGTTTTTCACGTAGAAGAGAGCGCACTACCGAAAAGAGCCTCAACTCTTGGGGCTAGGGCTTAGTACATCTGGTACATGAATAAGTTGGGATAATCAAGTGAGAGAATAGTCAAAAAGAAAATAAAAGAAAGCACTTTGTGTTGTTGAGAATGACGAAACCACCTGTTTCAAACAACATGACAACAGTAGCAGCTTGATCTTTGCGTCCCGTTAAAGCTTCTTTTGGCACCTCCTGAGAAGGAGCTAAGAATGACAGGGGGCGGAGGGGGCGTGTGAAGGGGAGTGTCATCAGCCGCTGACTGCAAATATCGCAGTCGTAGAAAATCAGGAGGCATACTGGACTGGCATTCAAAAGGAAACAAAAGAGCCGTTTGAGCCGGTTGGCTTGTAGCCGGCATCCCTAGGATGTTTTACCTTAAACTTTTAAGTTTTTTGCTCAGCACCCTGACCATTGTGACTGCAAAAACCCCTGTTATTATTGGTAAGTTTTGTGGCTATCATTAGTTTTACCTTCTCATTGCCTGTTGTTTTTCTGAGCTGTACAATCGATTCGATAGATGTAAGGCGCATGGACACTATTACTTCGTTGCGTTAGACAATGTTTTACTAATTTATAAAGAAATGTTTCGGTTTGGTGATGACTTTCAAAACGGTGGTTCTATTACAAGGTATGTTTTATTAAAAATGAGCCTCAAAAATGGTAGACAATCAGTATAAAACGTAAGCATCAAGCTTGAGTAAACATTCGCGTCATGAAATACCGGTTATTTGATATTATGGTTAAGATTTGCATTGTATTTGCCACGTAAATTCACCTATTTCTTGTTTTTTTGTATTTCTTTACTTAAAAGTAGTCTAAGCTGATGTAAAAAAGTGCAGATGCTTTGTAGCTACATGTATCAGACTAGCTGTCAACCTAGCTATCAATGCTAATCTGCAGTAATCTAGGAAGAGAGGTAAAAGGCCGGGGATTTGACAAAGGAAGACAGCCCATGTTGGGGGACTTTTGATTATCGCCAAGTCCCCGGGGGTGAGGACAATGGAATTTTATCTGATTATGGACGCCATCTTGGATTGGAAGCTGTAATTACCAGGGATTGTTTTCAAAAGATGGTGGCCATTGTTGCCATAATTATCTGTGGGGTTTTTTTATGCACATTGTGCAAGATGGAGGGCGAGGAGAGCTTGAAATGGTATCTATATTTATCCTCTCTATTCTTATTCAAATGAGTACATCCATTCATTTACACTATTGTCTTAGGAAGTTAAGGTGATTCCTTAGTAAAAGAACATAACATAGATTGTAGATAAAACTTGGTACACTGATGTAACAAATCAAGAAGATGATAAAAAAGTAATAAGAAGAGGAGGTCACCGTGCTCGATTTGATGTCACAATGCTGACAAATACGGCTATTTAGGACCCTTTTACAAAAACTGCGCGCAGCACAAAACTAGACAAAAAGGAGAGTTTTTTGCAATGATGCATGTGGTATCACACAGAATTTGACTTTCATGTATTGTTTATCCACTTACGTACCAGAAAAATGCCTTTTAATGCCCTTGTTTTTACTTTATGCTCCAAAGTAGAATTAAATTGGACACACACTATTCGACCCGTAATTGCTCTATCCGTACAATTTAGTAAAATTGCCAAAAAAGTGAACATAGATTTGTGCCAATTTTTTTCTCATCGAAGGGAAGCACTGTCCTTATTAAAATCATGAAATAAAATATGGGGGTCACTGCACTCGTTTTTGCGGTAGAACTGCAGAAAGTGCACACCAAATGCATTTTCTCCGATTTTTGAGAGAGGACTGGGGCGAGTTTCAAAATAGAATGTATGTGAAAGGGGGAAGAAAGTATTAAAAAATCCGTTTTTACAGAATTTACATCAAGATATCACATTTAGGACACAATGTGATAAAGAAAGCGTTTAAATGAAAATCAAACTGAGTAAGCACAAGTTAAACATCCACTATCGAGGTTCTCCGTGAGGAAGTCGAACTCAGCAACACACGTACCGCTAATGTTATGCACATTCCCAACACATTGAGTCTCACCTTGGCAAGAAACAACTGCAAGCAAAAATTCCATTAGCGTTTCTCTTCAGTCAACTTCATTTTAGTAATGTTACTTCACATGCTCTTTTTTAGGGTGGCCATCTTGTTATGCGCAGTAAGAGATGCGCATTGCAAAACCAGGGAATTACCTGAAACTCTTATTCAGTACGACTGCATGATACAAATGTTTTGCCCGAGTTTAAAAGCAAGTAACATTGCTTGTTTAACAGCCGCAAATTCATTAAACTCTGTAGGTGGAAAACATTCTTTTGTGATGTTTGTAATGTGACATTTTGCTGGAGCATTTTAACAACAATTGTTAAAATAAACAGATGCAGCTTTCTCATAAAGTTGGTGTGTTGCTTCTTTCAATGAAACACACCTGACCTCTAGTCTTTGTTGGAGTGATGGGGAATTTGTTGTCTTTTGACCAATAATGGCCCTGGGGTAGAATTGACCCAAAAATTTGCTTCAAATTCAAATCCCCGGCCTTTTCCTGGCTTTCCCCTCTCTCCAGATTAACATTTATAGTTACATTATCACTCTTGAAATTTTGGAATGGAAGGCTCCAAAAACCTAGATATTTATATAGTCATAAAGAAATGTAATGCAGCCAATCAGAATTAGTCAGCAAGATGAAGATCGTTGCTGATATTCTTCAGGTGACCAGTTACATCAATCCTGTGTCGTAATGTCCTATTAGAAAAAACGTTTAGGGTGAGGAAAAAGGGAAAAATTGGAGAGCAAGAGTTCTAGCTAGGGAGGGGGAAGGATGGTGGAGCCTGGAGATAGCCTCAGAAAACAAGCGTCATTTCACAACACCAACACTGGTTTCCCCACAGAATGACGTCTGAGAAACAAGCACAGAAAGACTACACATCACCTTCCTGGTCTTGGTAGTGCCTTCGATGGGTTGTTCCATGTGGGATATTTGGTTTAACCAATCAGAAGCACTACCCAGATCTGGGTAGTGACGAGTCATCAGTATGGAGTTTCAGTACTTGTTTCCCAGACCTCAGTTTCCAGTGAAACCAGTGGTGGTGTCACGAAATGTCTGCTGTTTTGTCAGGCTAGCCTGGAGACAGAGAGCTTTAGAATGGCTGTACCACTGAGGACCAGGAAATAAAGACACAAACATACATAGTCATCACCGAGGGTCAAAGAACTCACCACATACCTCTTAACAAACTCTTAAACTGAAAGCTTAACTGAATGAAAGCTTAACTTTAATTTTCCGCCTGATATTATTTTGTATCCGTCACCGTAATTTTTATGCCATCTTCGAAAAATTGTAATTGAGGAGGCCTAATTAACATAAGCTCTATAGTTTCCTTTAGGCCTCCTCGCCATTTCTTCCTACATTTTTTTTTGGCATTTTTTTGTAATTATTGTAATCCTGTGGCAAATAAATAAATGCAATACAAAAAAAGACAAATGCTTACTGAAAGCATCTTTTTGTCAACTGTAGTTCCTGGAGATGGTGGAAGCCGGCTTGAAGCTCAAATCCATAAACCATCAGTGCCACACTATTGGTGTGAAAAGACCTCAAGTTCATGGTTTGATTTATGGCTGAGTGTAGAGTCACTGTTACCAGAGGCCATTGATTGCTGGGCAGATAATATAAGGTGCAATTTTGTAATAATTACAATTATTGTAATTGTAATTTTTCTTAACTTTGTCAGTCATAAAGAAAAATTGAACAAAAAATATTGTGAAAATTTATGAGGTTATTGCAAATCATTACATTTAACAAGTACAATGAAATAATGACATCCAATCTGTAAACAATAACCTGTCTTTAACTTGCCGCTGTAAATGCCCATACAGAATGTTCTCCTGGTTATACTTCATTGAGTACTGGTACTTGAAAAAGTATTTGGAAGGCAAGATTTCTTGTTTTCCAATTGTAGATATGGTAAAAATAATAATGGTCACTTTTAAGTTCAACAGTCCTTTAACTACAGTACATTCACCAAGGAAGTCATATTCCACTTTCTATCAAAAGGGTCTTGATTAATCCATAAATTAAGTCTGTAAAAAATCTCTGCAATTTTTGTATTAAAAGGGGTTTGTCATTCAGCTAGGGTGCAAATGTAGACTTGGGATGTGAAGAGGGCCCATGGCAGTGAATTTCAATACCTTGTCCCTTAAAGTTGAGTTTTGATGCAAGTTTAATACAGTATTTCATTGTGGTTCCATCTTTTTCTTACCACTACAGTCCTGCAAGAAATTATTTCCAGTGATAAACTGAATCAGAAGAGACCACACCTCATGAAAATTTAATGAGTATTAATGGATTTACCTTGTCCATAATCTCCATATATTAGTATGTGTAATCAAAGAGTATTCGTCACCTATGAAATTATAAGATTAATATACTGGACTTTGCTATTGTCTTACTATCCACTTTGGATGGCCCAACTGTGTGAAAATGATTGTGACATTGTTTAATCTTTTTTACTTGCAGACTTGCTTACAATAGTTCTTCTCAGACAATCGGAAATTCACCTGGAGTTGAAGTGCGTACTCCAGATTTTGGCTCAACTAAGTCGGTGACTTATTTAGATCCTTCACTGTATCACCCCGGGGAATATTTTGCTGATATGGTAGATGCCTTTGAAAAAATTGGACTTGAAGATGGTGTGTCATTGCGAGCTGCACCATTTGACTTCAGATATGCACCTAGTAAGCTTTGAGTTTGTTGAAGGTAACACTCGAGGGGATTCCTCAGGGGTGATTACCCCCCTACTTGAGCATTAACTATGTCACCATTGAAAAAAGGAAAATTTCATCTTTATCTAAAGCATTGTACAGCTGTGGTAGTCATTTTTCCATATCTTTGGAAAAATAACCACCACAGCTGTACACATTGCCCCTGAAAAATCCTCTTGAGCCACCTTAAAAGGGGTTTTTATATTAAAGTATGGCCACTCAGTAAAATAAATTATAATAATTAATTATGTTTCTGATGTCAAAACTCTTATGGATCATAAAAATGATTCTTTAACCATTTACAATATGGAATTACATCTCCTGCCATGTTGCCATGGTTACATCCCAGCCAACTTCAAGGTTGATGAGGCAACATATAATGCATAAACATTACTTACTTTACAGACAAGAAACAAACATTAATTTTGTGATAACTTTATTGCAGATTCTGCTCAAGAGTACTTCGAGAATTTAAAATCACTGATTGAAGACACCTATGTAAAGAACAATAAAACAAGTGTGATCCTATTGTCCCACAGCCTGGGTTGTCCATACACCCATTACTTCCTTAGCAAGATGTCTCAGGACTGGAAAGACACCTACATCAAAGTCTGGATTACTTTAGCTGGTGCTTGGGCAGGTGCCGCCAAGCTTATGCGAATATATGCGTCAGGGACCAGTTTAGGTCTGCCAGATGTAGTTCTAGAACCACTGAGTCTTAGGCCGGTCCTAAGGACTTATGAAAGCTCTGCTTTCCTATTACCTAGCAAAGACTTCTGGTCTGTTGAGGAGGTAAGGTTGCTGTTTTTGTGGTTGTCTCTTTTTAAGTCACCTAATTTTAACAATTATGGTGTAAAAAGTTCTAGATCTTTGCAACTGCCACTTCACTTAATCAGCTTATTAAATTACTAGTTTTGTTTCCTCTTTTCTAGTACATCCACTTGTGTAATAAGTAATCTTTTGACAGGCTCCCAAAGTTAAACCACAGGCTGCCCAAACTCACGTTGCGAGGGAAGGGTGTAATGTAATTTACATAACATATGTGACGCGTGCCAGTGTCGCGTTACAGGCGACCGTTGAAAATGTAAGAGACTTTGTATGGGAAATATATCACTGAGATCTGCGAACGCCAAATAACGCTAAACCTTACTTTTTCTTAAATGAAATGAATAAAAAAGTCTTACCTGCAATCTATTCCGCTGCGGTTTGGTGTCTGTTTGTCGTTTTACTGTCTTTTTGGCTTTATTGCGTAACCACTGTTACTCCCATCTGTCGGGGTCCTGGACCAGTCGCCCAAAAAATGCCGTTTTTTTCGCCGAAATTCAAATCCGCTGCAAATTTTTCAGCTCCAGCCTAAGAAGGAAACCTCTTCTTCCTCTCTGAGAGATCAGCTCGAAAAAAAATCCATAATTTCCCCATCAAATCGAGCCATTTGTGCCGGACTTCGAGGCAAGTCTGGCTTTCGTGCAGTGCCTGTGACCACTGTCGCGCTTACCAAGGTTTCCAATTTCAAATGCAAATTAGTTGCTAGGGTGACAATTAGCACTTACGCAACGGGTGCAAGGGCAGAAATGACCCGTTAACTAGGCTCCTCGCCCCACCACGCCAAGGGAGTAATATGACGCTCGTGCTATGTGAGGGATCGCGTGTCCAGGTAGGCAACGATTCTATTTTCGAATTGCGGTACATGTAACGGTTGATAACAAGAGTTTACAACGGAAAATGTAGTTTGTCATATATTGCAGTATGCTATCTACTTTGAAGAGGTTGAGATCTGGTGACGATACCGATGTAATTCCCTTCAAGAAATCTAGGCATGGTATTCCCTTTGGATTTTTTCGACGGAATGATTCCTCACTAATAGAAAAAGGAATAACCTATTCAAAGCTTGGTGTTGTGCATCGAATAATACACTCCATTCATCATCTCGCTGAAACATACTCCCGTTATTATGACCCTTTCGTTGCCTACCTGGACACGCGATCCCTCACATAGCACGAGCATCATATTACTCCCTTGGCGTGGTGGGGCGAGGAGCCTAGTTAACGGGTCATTTCTGCCCTTGCACCCGTCACGTAAGTGCTAATTGTCACCCTAGCAACTAATTTGCATTTGAAATTGGAAACCTTGGTAAGCGCGACAGTGGTCACAGGCACTGCACGAAAGCCAGACTTGCCTCGAAGTCCGGCACAAATGGCTCGATTTGATGGGGAAATTATGGATTTTTTTTCGAGCCGATCTCTCAGAGAGGAAGAAGAGGTTTCCTTCTTAGGCTGGAGCTGAAAAATTTGCAGCGGATTTGAATTTCGGCGAAAAAAACGGCATTTTTTGGGCGACTGGTCCAGGACCCCGACAGATGGGAGTAACAGTGGTTACGCAATAAAGCCAAAAAAACAGTAAAACAACAAACAGACACCAAACCGCAGCGGAACAGATTGCAGGTAAGACTTTTTATTCATTTCATTTAAGAAAAAGTAAGGTTTAGCGTTATTTGGCGTTCGCAGATCTCAGTGATATATTTCCCATACAAAGTCTCTTACATTTTCAACGGTCGCCTGTAACGCGACACCGGCGCGCGTCACATGTTATGTAAATTACATTACACCCTTCCCTCGCAACGTGAGTTTGGGCAGCCTGTGGTTAAACATCCCTTTTTAATTCACTTTTTTGGTTGAAAATGTTAAAGATATGCTATCCTGTACATTTTAGTAATTCAACTTCTGATTTGTAGGGCCTTTTTATAAGAAGGGAGGGTAACCCTGGTGCTTGAGGTTACTTTGGCACTCACACATTTCTTCCTATTTTACACCATGTATAACTTACGTGTACAAGGCAGGTAGACTGGTGCTAGGGTAGTGCTGTATTTATTGAGTCCCAGGGTTACCCTACCTGCTTTGTAAACATCCTGCTGGGGATACTTTGCCTATCCAGGACAACTAGAAGTTATCCAATTTTTGAGCTAACCAATAGGTATTTTCTGTTATACAATGATACTATCTGTCTGTCTTTTCCTTTTTTTTTGTTTGTTTGTTTTTGGTGAATGCAATGTCTTTTTCCACAGGGGTCTTTAAGATTTCATTCAAATCTTAGACATTGCAAAGAACGCTTATTTCAGTCTTATGGTCACACATGACACACATTTAAGCGTGCTTTTCAGCTGTAATTTTATTTTATTTTTTATTATTTATTTATTTATTCATTATTATTTATATTTATATTTTTACTTTTTATTTTTAACAAATAAGTCATTGTAATATTTTATTAGGTTTATTACTATTAGTATTAATTGTAAAGCACTTTGGATCACAAAGAGAAAGGCGCTATATAAATGTATATATTATTATTTATTAAAACACATCATTCAAGCAGGTAAACTCGACCCAAGTGATAGGGTAACCCTACTTTGAAAATTTGCTTGGGTTATCTTTAATGTGCTTGCTAGGGTAACCCTACCACAATGGTTAGCCCCTTTTAAACAGGCCCTAAACACTTATACATGTAAATAACTGGTTGAAAAGTTGGAGGGATGATTGGCATCAACTCAGGTGCCGTATCCAGTCATAATGGCTTGGGCAGATTTTTCTATAAGGCCATTATGGGTTCAATAGTATTCAAAGCACTGTACATAGAAAAAAATGTTTGAAATAGATTATGTTTTTCTGTATTGTAAAAAATTAACAAAAAAAATGTTCAACATCAATATGCTATCAATATTCTTGCAGATAATTGTCCAAACAGCCAATCAGAACTACTCTTTGGGTAACCTAAAGAAGTTCTTTTTAGATATTGGATACCCTGATGCTATCAACATCAGTGGACTTGTCCCGCCGATTTGGATTAGAGAACCACCCAATGTGACTCTGTATTGTCTGTATGGTACTGATATACCCACCCCCGAAAAATTCCTTTATCAAGTGGACGAATTTCCTGATACTTTCCCCAAAACGGAGTTTGGAGATGGTGATGGTACAGTTAACATTCGCAGCCTGCAGGCTTGTCACTCTTTTGTGGGTAAACAGGAGCAACAAGTGGTGATAAAATCATTTTCCAAGGCGGAACACATGGCCATTGTCGGAGACTCTAGGGTTATTGAATTTGTAAAAAATATAATCACTTCAATGGACTAATATCAGGGGACTTCACAAGGCTGAAAGTCTATTTTCAACTATTAATGTAAATCCTTTCACAGACGTACATCAGCAATTGGTTCAATTCGTGTGACAAGCATTGGCTGAAGGGTTCGAACCCCGCGTCCTCATCGGCCAGTAGCTGAATACCGTAAACTTCCGTTAATATGCCCCACCCCCCAACTCCCCCCCCCGCCCCACTTATAAGGCCGCTATCTACCTGTAAACTAAAAGTACATCTGGTTATAAGCCCTGCCGAACATAAGCCCCCCTCTAGCTTGTATTGAATTGATTTTTTACGACGTTTTGAAGCGTAAAAACGCGATTGAATTCAAGATGTATTTTGATCAGCCGTGCTATGTAGCTTGTTGTGAAAAGTTATAAGCCCCGCTGGATATGACCCCCCCTTATCGCCCCAAACAAGGAATTCCAAAATTCGGGAAATTTTTGCTTGTCGAATCCGGAATAATGCGGAAGAATTCGGAATCCCACCAACGATTGAAATCCAGACTCCCAAGTTCCAATGTCAACGACTGGAATCCAGTACTTGGAATGCGGAATCCACAGCTTGGAATCCACGATCCAAGACTGTCCTGTTTTCCCTTACATGGGATGACCCTTAAGACGTTGTATAAGCCCAGGATTTTTAGCGGAAGTTTACAGTAGGTAAAAAGTCTAATGACTTTGATGGACTGGTGTTAAAGGTTAAGATGATCCACTTTCAGTAATAGAGCCTGATTTTGTAATCTGGCCTAGTGTGTAGTAACAGATGTAGAAAACTTGTCGTACATTTGTAAGGCATCTTTTCTTCGTTGTTTTATAGGTAATGCAACTGAGGTTTTTATCTTTTATCTTTTAAAATATCACATGGGAAGGTATGAATATTTATGTACTTTCTGTCCTCACCACTCAATCATCTCATTTTGTATTCACTGCATTTTGACCATAAAAATGGAGTTTTTTGCATCTCTTGGTATAGCATGTTTATTCTTCGTTGACTAGATACCTACTGTAAATGACCTAATAAACGCCCACTTCCAAATGAACGCCTCTTATCTAATAAACGCCCCCTCTACACTGTTAAAATTGTATTAGACGCCCGTCTCTAACTAACGCCCCCTGTCTAATAGACGCACCCGGTATGAGAATTACTCCAAAATACTAGGAATTGGCAAAAGGAGCAAAATGATTCGATTCATTCAGTTTCTTGCTTGTTTAACAAGGCTTTGCCTATTTCATCTTGGTCAATGTCAAGTTCAAAGGAAGGATAGACTATAAACGATGGCAACACAATAACCCTGAGCGAGGATTCTGCATGGACATCGATGTTGGGATTTGAAAGAGCGATATAGCCTGCGAGCAAGCTCTCCTATTTGGGCGAGTAAAACGAGTCTCGCGAGAACGCGCGAGCGAGCGGCGAAGCCCAAATAGGAGAGCTTGCTCGCAGGCTAAGAGCGATATGGATCTCTAGACGACCTAGACGTATCAATTGATGGAGTGGATATTCCACTATTTTTAAACTCTCTTGGTATTTTTTGCATATTCGTTTTGTTGAGCTTGTTACTGCTATAAATAAACGCCTGCTATCTATTAAACGCTCCCGGCTTGGACCCCTAAAATTGCATAGACGCCTCGGACGCTTCATTAGACATTACGGTATTTGCTGAGTAAGGTCACCTGTAATGTTATCTCGGGATTGCAAAGAAACCCAAGAGACGTAGTCGGTCGAACTCTTTTCTTGACATCTACGTCTCCAGAAATCAGTGTTAGTGGAGAGAAGACCTTACTAATAAGAGTTTTCGATACTTATGTCCGGTTCCTCATACCTATATTTAACTTAACTAACGCGGAGACTCAGGTAGCTAGCTAGACTCACGCTAGTCCCACAAGCGAGCTGAAAACTAATTGGCTAAATTTTAAAAAAGAATAATAATCTTGCGTGTCCGGTTTTATCGTTAATAAAAACAATCAAAAACAATTCCGTGACTCAAAATTAATTACAGCTGTCAACGGAGTGCAAAACAAATCATCAAGTAGCCTCCCCGCAGACTTCCTTTGGGGTTCGTTCGTCACGCAGTCATTTTTCCCCCACGGACGGTCCGTGGGGGAGAAATGAATGCGTGACGAACGAACCCCAAAGGACGTTTGCCGGGAGGCTAATCACCCAGGGGGGTACTGCCATATATGGGCTATATAGGTATGTGCCGCTGTGAAGGGTATGGTTTTCAAGCAGTTTACTCTAGGATAGGGTATATGAATCAGAGCGTTTGGGTCTAGAATAGGGTAACATTTTTCAGGAAACTGATCAGTTGGTTGAAGATTTTACCTAGACTGGGGAAACAGCTACTCTAGGATAGGGGGATTTGGGGAGTTTACTCTAGTATAGGGTAGCAAAATTCAGCTGAACTAGCTCTGGTATAGGTCAAGGGTTCCAGGGTCCCAGCGGCACATCCCCACCCAGAAATTCCTAAAGTGCCCCCGGGGCTAATCATCAAGCCTGTTTGGAGAAAACAACAAATTGTTTCGATGAAATTGAAAATCTTTTTACTTTCCATTGTGCGACTTCCAGCTGTAGGACAGAGAGCCAGTACCTCACCATTCCAGTTCTGTCTTAACTAGGTCTTTATCCACTGCATAGCGCAATTATATGGTTTCCATATTAACCGCTGGATCATAGTAATTTTATCCGACAAGAGAGCTCATTATCTCTTGTATCCGATGCATAGCGCAATCCAACGCCGTTTGAACGTGGGCTTGGAGACTCCTGCGTCGTCCAATTCCGTCAATGCATTTCCGAAACACATCTAGTTCAAAGGGTTAGGGTTAGGGTTAATTTTGAGTTTGCAGATAAATACCCATTCAAATAAATCTTTCCAGTGGGACATTCGCGTGGCACTATTTACTTCGTATACAGTAAAAAAACTTTGATACTTTTAAGTATCAAAGTTTTTTATTCTTTATAATGATGTTCGACAAGAGAAGATAAATTAAAAGGGGATTACGATGGGTATGGGGCCTACGTAGGGGATTATCTCTGGCTCCTTTATATCCTCTCCTGGGTTCGAGATATGGAATAACGCCGTGAATCCGTCTTCAAAAGTCCAACTTTTGAGTCTAACCTGAAACTTCAAGTACTGTAACGATCCAAAAGAAACTAGCAGTTCTTTCAGTTGGTACTATTTATTCGTTTTTCAATATTCTTTAAAAAGAAATTTGGTATTTCTATAGACATCTCTGGAGTGTGAGCATCTTGGGAATGAAAGGTTTGATTCCGCAAACTGACTATGTGAATCTCTATAAAGTAAAACCCTTGTCAGCTAACTGTCGCTTTAATCTGTTAAGGTAGCCGGGGTCTGGATATCCGTAACTGTGAGGAGAAAAGAATAAAAATAAGCAAGCTTGAGAGTGAGATTGCGATTTCTACTCGTTAAAAGTTGTACCCGATATATGTGAAAACACTGATTTCGAACAGGATTTTCGCTAATTTTCATAAGGGTTGAACAACGAATTTTACAAGTGGGGTATGCGATGAAAGGCCGATACGCCACACCCTGAGAATCCCAGGGGGAGAATCAGATAGAGTTGGCTGTGGTAACCCTTCTCGTCGAAGTAAGGGTTAATTCGTGCCCAAAGACGGTTGTCCCTATTCATACCAGAGCACTTCCAGGACGTCTGGACAAAAATGCGTCTTCTCTAACCCAAACGGCTTAAACGTCTGATACTAAGAGGTCTATAAAGTGAGTCTATCAGACGTTTTTAAACGTCTAACTTTAAAAGTCTTTTCGCGTTTAATGCATTTTCCTTATTAGAAGTCGTAAACGTACCAGACGTATTGGACGTTCTCTAATATATGTGGCCAGGCATTTCCCTTTGATGTACAAAGGACCTTACTCACTTTGATGGACCGCCTTGTAGACTCGTTTTCAGTTCCAAACCATTGCACACGATACTATTCTCTGCGATTGTGAACATATGGTTTGCATTGAACGCTCTCCTCAAAAGCACGGAGAGCTCTCGCCCCTCTTCGTTGTCAGGAAGGTAGAATGTGCAGAAGTAACAGCAGTAAGGTACGCCAGGATTAGGATGGTGTTCGCCTGAAAATGTGAAGTATTATTTGTATATTTTCACAGGCAGCCTAAGCGCACTATGTGAGTGAATTCCTGGAAGATGACTCAATGGAATTCCAGCCAATTTTAATGCCTTTTTGTCATTTTCCTATTGTACTTTTAATTAGTTTATTCTGAAAAATTAATTCTAAAAGTGCTTACAATTCGAGTCAGAAACGACCAAACCGCGTGATATAATAATACAAGGGAACTCAACCATAGTTAAGTGGCATTCGCCCTGTAAACAAAGAACACGTTCACAAAAAAAATGAACAGAAATTACAGCCGATAACACGACGCAGATTGCAACCATGAAGGTGCTTGTACCTAACAAACATATTGTGTCTTATGCTAATCCTGCACTCAAATTAACTCATTTAGTCCAGGCAAAAAGGGAGAAAGGGATAAACATTTTTGTATCGCCCATGAAGGACGTCCTGCTTGGAGTCAAAGTATAAATTAAAGCCAAAATGAATAAGAATCCGTTTTCTAATAGTCGAATTAATAAAACAACAATTAAAAGACGTACCTTGAACTCCTCTGTCAAAGTTGCAGCTTATTATTATAGTCCCATAATCTTCATTGCCCGGGAGAAAGTTTCTTGGTTCAGTCCTCCAACTCATATGTCCGTCAGGTTGATCTCCAAATAAGATTCTACCTCCTAAATCCCTCAAATACTGACACGATACACAGTAACCAAGGGACTGCATAATTTTCAGACACCAATTACAATAGTGATGAAAACATGAAGACATTTGCTTACTAGAATTATAGCTGCACAAGTTGCAGGTTAAAGCTCGGTTTGACTGGAGACTCACTGGTAGGCCTGATATTTGATTATGTGAAAAAACGTAAATTAGTAAAGTAAACTGAGTAAGGTTGGTTATTTAAGAAAATGACCATTAAAATCAAAACTTCCCTTCGCTAGTCCCCTTGGTTCGCGCTCCGGCTCATTCTTTTGTTTGTTTGTTTGTTTTTTTCTTTAATTTCCTCTCTATGATTCTGATCTTTCTTTCTTTTTTTATTTTTAAGTTTACAAACTCAACACGTTAAGATCAAAAGAAGTCGAAAAAGAATCAATATATTCCCCCAAAAAAAAAAAAAAAAATGATGAGCTAGATGGTTTGACCCGAACTGCTAATCTGTAATTCTAGTCTGTCGTGGGCATAAGTTTGATTATGTCAGTTTCAAAACATTTTTTGACGGCTTCATGATGCACAGACCCAACCTTATATATAGGTCCCAAGCAAGTTACCCTCCCAGGTACCCTAAGGGTACATGGTCACCAGAAAATGGTGGTTCCTTCAAGCTGCCCCACAATAGACTGATAAATAAAGCGCTGTGAAATATGTAGGGCCCGTATTTCGCCGTTACGTATTTATCTAAAAAGGCTACAATGACAAACCATTTTTACGCTTCAGAACAAAGGCTGTACTAACTTCTTTCTAAAATGATGCTGGCCAGTTGTCAGTTGTCTTAATAGGCTATAAATCCGTTTTAGCAAGTGTTCCTCGTGATATCGTTCTTATTTATTACATTTGTAAAACCAGTAAGTTAACCTTCTTTGTTAGACTAGTGCACTAATCGATCTTTTCAAACAACTGAAACTAAGCATTGACAATACCTGTCGGTTGGGAGTGCCTTCTCTTTTCATTCACTTCAAGTCGGAATGGGCTGTCAACGATTGCTTCACCGTCTACAGTTATACACACTTCAAATTTTCCTGCAATCTTGGGTTTGTACTTTACTTCGTAACAGCCATTTTTTGAGTCTGTTATTTCGGGGGCTATAACGTTTCCTGTATCCACTGATCGGATGTCAACACCGAATTTGTCTACGCTAGAGTAAGTTATTTGTCCCCGCGAATCCCTTGTTTCTATCTTAAAAGAGCACACTTCGTCTTCAGTACCTTCGGTAAGTCCCTTGCCATTTGCTGTCGTGAGCATAGGGTCGGTTTTAGTAAAGATTAACTTTCCAAGCACGTCGTTCATTGACGGTGATGCATCATTTGGAACGTACTTGACGCATGAATAATTCAGGTTGACGCGAAATTCCGAAGAAAGTTCTTGAAACCGTTGATCCAGTATTTCTTCCACGTTCAAAATCTCTGGTAGATTTTCTCGAGCGAGAACGTCGCTGCTAAATACCAAGCTGCTGTCTATCTCAATGAGTTTTTCGTCTAAGCGAGACATCTGGGATGAAAATGTACCTTGAAAAGAATTTTTCTGCTCGAGCAACGTTTTGGTCATGGCTGCCTCATTTTGGCGAATGAAGCTGATCCATTGTTCAGCGACTCGGTGAATTTCACTCGTCGCTTGATCAATGCTTCCAAGCATCCTAAATTTTTTCTTCTCCAGCGTTTGTTTTTGGTCCGTCAAACGACTTGCAATTGCTTCAACGTCTTTCATTTTACTTGTTATGTCGGATTTTTTGTTTTCAAATCCTTCTTCAAGTGAAATTATGTAGTGGTTATCGTCACGGTGCTCCAGTATGGCACAATCCCGACAAATGCAAACGTTGCAGTTTTCACAGTAAAATCTTAGCTCATCCTTGTGTTTCTTACATACGTTGGATTTTCGGGCGTAATCTTGCATATCGCTTGACTCAAATTTACCAATTTCCTTGACATGGTGGCCTTTAAACAACTTCGATTTGCTGTGGGCGCCAGCGCATTTCTCACACAAGAAGGTGTTACAATCAAAGCAATAAAACTGCAGAGGCTTTTTCTCCACACAGTTCCCACAATGCAGTGAATCATCTTCTTGTCCTGTACCACTATAGGCCTCTACAATCTCCACCATCTGTTTGTAGAAAAGGTTGGATGGGAGGCTGTTAATGTTGCTGCTGGGACACTCAGTGATTTGACGACATGTCGGACAACTTAGCTGTCCTTCACGCTGCCTCCTCAGCCAAGCTTCCAGACAATTCTTACAAAAAGTGTGGAGACATTTTAGAATTTTTGGTTCATTGACTTCACTGAACAACTCCCGACACACGGAACATTCCAACTCCTTTTTAACATCATCGAAAAAGCTCTTACCTTGAGCCATCGCTGAAGGTAATTAGCGAGACGATCGAAGCAAGCGATTCCCAGAAAGGCGGAAGTTTAACAACCTCGAATCTCACCCACTCAAAGACTCTTAAACAAATGTCGTCCCCAGGCCACCTTCTCGCATGCTAATTACTGCTATGAGGGGGTATGACACTCCCGAAGCCTCACCCTACCGTTCAGTACTGAAAAAAGGCCTTGAAAAAAAGATAAATGTGTTTGTGAAAATTTATCAAACTAAAGGACAGTGCCATATATCCGGAACTAATTCATTTTGCTCTCGGTTGATGAAAAAAAAAAAACAAAGGTGGGGATTTTTACCTGCTAAACGTTAAGCTTAATCGCGTCTTAATCAACAAGGCTTTAAATCCACTCTACCTTTCAAATCCTTTAACAAATTCTTCAAGCGCAATGGGGTTATAATCGATAAGTGTCAAACTACACTGCAGGAAATGAGACTGGCACTCAACGGCTGAAGGATGCCGCTATATCTCTTGTTAATTTACTCCTTTTATTATCCTTTCGGTTAGTGTAGGTTGTATGTGCCGCACTCTTTCCTTATGTTATTGACGTGTGCATTTAGTGTCTTTTGTTTGTTATTTAACGCACTACATTTTCTTTGGGTTGTTTTTCCTATACTCATATACCTAGCCTGCGTGCAGACGATAACTAAACTCTGACCAAAGTTTAATTTCGTCTGCGCGCAGGCTATCATAAACCTTGTCAGTAACTCTGCTCACATTGTGGGTGGCTCCTCCTAAAATGGTCTACAATTGGTATAGGATTTAATGAAGCCGAAAACAATCGTGGAATTGCAAGTATTTTATACTGTAGGCATCCTACTGATGAACAGTTACGACTTTTAGATATTTCGAGCAACAACATTTTGCCGTCTGTCCTCTTTAAATCAATCATACCTGCATGTCTGGTCACCCAATTTTTGTGTTGATTCTATTAGCCCACACTAAAATCTACTATTCCCGAGTGAAACAATCGAACCTCTTTTAACTACGAGAATTGAGTGGACCCCCGTATTTAGTGACCACTTACTGGAATCCTCAGGGCGATAATATTGTCAGTAAATTACTATAAACGGAACATTTATTAAGTGATATAGTAGATAGAGGTTTGCCTATAGTTAGCAATTGGTGCCGAAATAAGTATCAGGGGGCTTTGTACTTGAATAATTGAGTTTTTCTAACCTTTTCGAGATGTCCAATACAGATATGCTATGCACCATGCACTCAGCACATCGTAATAACGAGCGAAAGTTATGTCTTGTGGCGGATCAAGGGTGGCCAGTTTAAGTTCTATATTATTTGCTGATTGACGTTTCCTCTTTTCCTTTATATAAGGTCATACTCTCGATTTAGCACAAGAGAACCCCTCAAGTAATGTTAGGGAAGTTTAATTTTCTTTTCTAATCCGAAATCCGATGGAGCCCTATATTGCAGTGTTTAGTCTTTACACAAGAAACCCACATCGCCGTCGTCTCCCTCACTCCAGGTGTCAATCGTCATGACCCTTTAGAGAGTCAGATTGTTACCATTCTATGGAGATACCATACTTGATGTTTTGAGATATTTCATTCCTATAAGACTGGACTATATAAATTACCCTAACAAACGTTAAGTAGTATCTTGTTCTACTACGAGATGAACGGATGCATAGCTTGGATAAAGAGGGCACCACAGGAAGAAAGTTTGCTTCTTAGGTAACGTAGGGGACTCTTCTGAGCTTAAAGGCTCCCCCCTCCCCCATTCCAAGACCCGCCTTTTCCAAATCTTTCCAGTCGCTTCTTAACGCAGGCGTGGAGAAAATGAAACGAATTGCGCAACCATTGGCCGTTTGTAAGCTAAGACGCGTAATATATGTTTAAAAAATCGGAAAAAAACTGCACTGGGAGGTTGCTTGAAAAATAACGCAATTTTCAAGTTTGCTAGTGTTATTTAATGAGCTGTTATGGCACCAAAAATACTTATGGATACTAATACTTTATTTACTACTAGTCTTGGAACCTTCTCCGAAATAATTGTTATTTATTATTCATTCAAAATATTTCCCCGATTCTGATTGGCTAAAAGCACATGCATAATTCACCATAACCAGCTACTGATGACCAAATTTGGAAGAATTTTGCGATTAATGAACCGATAACGTCAAAAGTGCAGCTTTTTTGCAGGTTAATGCACCGTTAACCGAGAAGACCTGGGGACGAGGCTGAGTTGTTTTGGTTGTGAAAACAAAAAAGGCGGACATTTCACTCGTTTCAAGAGTAAGAACTAGGCGAAAAAATGGCTAAAAACATGACAAGAACAGCAAGAAGACAACTCGAAGGGCGACATCTGCTATTTGGAGAATGTTTGCGGAGCTGAACAACCCTAAACGTGCAATATCGAAGATGAACTTAACATTGATGGAGGTAAGCATGTTTTAGCTATGTTTTTAAATTAGGAATTATTTTAAATGAATAATAAAACAATTGTTGAATTCGGCTTTCGTATCATATGAAGAATTATGGAGATCTCGGAGAGTGTTATCCGCCTCGGCCTACGGCCTCGACGGATAGCACCTTCCTCGATCTCCATAATACTTCATAAGATACTCAGCCTCATTCATTAATTGTTAAATGTTGGCATCATGCGCGTTCTAAATCACGTTTAGTCTCTTCTCTCTCTTACGCACGGTGAAGTGAACGAGACAAACAAGGTTTCACCGAAAAAATGAGTAGTTAGTCAAGACACAGGCATGTTTGGGCCTCTAGAGTGTTTTCGTAAGTCACTAATTCTTTTTGGACCGATACACATTACGTTCTGAGTTTGGGATCGAAGGAGTTGTCTCTTGAACGACGGAGGAACGTCCCATGGTGGTCATTGTTTCTGGCGATTCCTCTTGTGGAGCATAGCGTTTCACAAACTCTTCCTGAAAGACGCTTAATGTTGGTTCATCAACGATGACGGTGCGCACGTCACGAAGGGTACTAAACTTGGCGTCTTACCTCGAACTGAATTCTTTTATTGTCAAAAACATAACTTCAGCACAAGTGTCTTTTGGCATGCCGAAAATACCAGAGCTGATGGCCGGGAGGGCAATGGAAGTAAAGGTTTAATTTCACTGCAAGAGAAAGGGTATGAAAACAAACTTGTCGGAGATGGAATCTGCTCATATCTTTTCTATGATTGTACCACTCTGGACCAACGGTATGAATCACATAGCGACAGGAAAGACTACCGCCACTAGTGTAAACGGCTTCGCCGACATTAAGTGTTTCGTATCGTTTTATTATTCGATTGGACTCTTCTTGTCAAAAGAAATGAGTCATTTTGCTTATCAACTGCCGAGACATCGTCCTTTTCCCACAGTCGTTTCCAATAATAGATGATTCATTGACGCGCTGTGACACATTATTGTTTTTGAGATTATCAGTAGCTTGGTGGGGAATGGACCTTTGCTTTATACTACAAGACATAGTAACTTTAGGGCTGTTCTTATTATTCGGTAAGTTTTTTGGTGGTAAGCTACCATCTATATTCTCTTCTGGTTGTCCTCAGGGAGAGTTTTCATCCCCTCCCTGTGTAAGTTGTTTGGCGGTGAGCTACCATTTATGTTCTCTTCTCGTTGCCCTTGGAGAGAGTTGTCATCGCTGCCCTGCCAGTTTCATCCGTCAAAGGAGATGAATCTTCTGGCTCATCAACTGGTGAATGTGGGGTAGGAGGAGTTACTCTATGCTCATCGGACAGACTTTCTCGGGTAGTCATTGTTTTTGGCGATGATTCTTGGGAAAGATAGCGGGTAACAAACTCTTTTTGAAAGACGCTTAACGTCGGCTCATCAATGATGACGATGCGCACGTCACGCAGGGTACTGAATTTGGCGTCTTCACTTGAACTAAATGCTTCCACTGCACTTACCATAATTTGAGCACAAATTTCTTTCGGCATGCCAAAAATACCAGAACTGATTGCTGTAAGAGCTATGGAAGAAAGTTCTAAATCCACTGCTGCAATATGAAGGCTTTCCAGACAAGCTCTGTGAAGAAAATGCTTGCAGTTCTCTTTCCCATGTTTCCTCCACTCTGGACCAACTGTGTGAATCACATAGCGACAGGGAAGATTGCCGGCACATGTATAAGTAGCCCTGCCAACATCAAGTGGCCCATACTTCTGTACTATCCACGTAGACTCGACTTGTATCTGACGTCCCCCTTTGCTCACTATTGCAGCAGCCACTCCACCGCCGTGCCGAAGCCATTCATTGGCTGCATTGACGATGGCGTCAACCCGCTCATCAGTGATATCTCCCTGATACAAGGATAACTTCACTTCGTTGTCCAGTACGTGAACTAAGTGTTGCGTCTGTAAATATCCTAAAATTAAATTAAAAATCAAAATTACCCGCCATTTTCTCCCCTTGGTTTATGTTACTTATTCTTGTTTTCTTTTTTTTTTTCAGACTTCTTTCTTATTTTTTTATTCTTCTGTTTACACACCCTTCATAAAATGTTAAGATAAAATGAAGTCGAAAAAGAATGATACTTTATTCCCTGAAACAAAAAGAAAATGAGCTAACATGCTATAACAAGGTTTGTCTGGTTTGACCCGAATTGCCGAATCTACACTGTTCATAATTAGTCTGTCGCGCTCCTGAATAAGATTCGGTTAATCATCAATTATATTTTCCCAGCTTTATGATGCGCAAGACCCATCATAATATGGGAAGGGGCACAAACGAATCTTATATATAAGTCCCAAGCGAGTTGCCCTCCCTGCATAGCACCACACCCCATGAAACTTGCACTAACACTAACACTAACACTGCACTAAGGATGCATGGTCATGGTCAGAAAATGTTACGGTCGGCGTTATCCTTTGTGGTTCCTTGACCGCCCACGAGAGACAGATCAATGAAGTGCCTTGAAATGGGCCTACAGTATTTCGTCCTACTACAAGGACTACAAGGACTAACCATTTACACGTGTCAGAACAAAGGCAGAACTAATTTATTTGTAAGCTAACCAGTTTTCAATTGTCAGCTGTCTTTGTAGGCCATAAATCCGTTTTAGCAAGTGTTCCTCGTGACATCTATCTTATATCCAATTACACTTGTTAAACCAGTTAGCCTTCTTTGTTACTTTAGTGTACTAACCGATCTGTTTACACAACTGAGACTAAGCACTTTTGACAATACCTGACGGTTGGGAGTGCCTTCTCTTTTCATTCACTTCAAGTCGGAAAGGACTGCCAACGATTGCTTCACCGTCTACAGTTATAAACACTTCAAATTTTCCTGCAATCTTTGGTTTGTACTTTACTTCGTAGCAGCCATTTTTTGAGTCTGTTATTTCGGGGGCTATAACGTTTCCTGTATCCACTGATCGGATGTCAACACCGACTTTGTCTACCCTAGAGTAAGTTATTTGTCTCCGCGAATCCCTTGTTTCTATCTTGAAAGAGCACACTTTGTCTTCAGTACCTTCGGTAAGTCCCTTGCCATTTGCTGTTGTGAGCATAGGGTCGGTTTTCGTGAAGATTAACTTTCCAAGCGCGTCGTTCATAATTGACAGTGATGCATCATTTGAAACGTACTTAACGCATGAAAAATTCAGACTGACGAGAAATTCCGAAGAAAGTTCTTGAAACCTTTGATCTAGTATTTCTTCCACGTTCAAAATCTCTGGTAGATTTTCTCGAGCGAGAACGTCGCTGCTAAATACCAAGCTGTTGTCTATCTCAATGACTTTCTCGTCTAAGCTGGACATCTGGGCAGAAAATGTACCTTGAAAAGAATTTTTCTGCTCGAGCAACTTATTGGTCATGGCTGCCTCATTTTGGCGAATGAAGCTGATCCATTGTTCCGCGACTCGGTGAATTTCACTCGTCGCTTTATCAATGCTTCCAAGCACCCTTGCTCTTTTCTTATCCAACGTTTGTTTTTGGTCCCTTAAACGACTTGCAATTGCTGCAATGTCTTTCATTTTACTTGTTATGTCGGATTTCTTGTTTTCAAATCCTTGCTCAAGTGAAACTATGTTGTGTTTTCTATCGTCACGGTGCTCCAGTATGGCGCAATCACGACAAATGCAAACGTTGCAGTTTTCACAGTAAAATCTTAGCTCATCGTTGTGTTTCTTGCATACGCTGGATTTTCGGGCGTAATCTTGCACATCGCTTGACTCAAATTTACCAATTTCCTTGACATGGTGGCCTTTAAACAACTTCGATTTGCTGTGGGCGCCAGCGCATTTCTCACACAAGAAGGTGTTACAATCAAAGCAATAAAACTGCAGAGGCTTTTTCTCCACACAGTTCCCACAATGCAGTGAATCATCTTCTTGTCCTGTACCACTATAGGCCTCTACAATCTCCACCATCTGTTTGTAGAAAAGGTTGGATGGGAGGCTGTTAATGTTGCTGCTAGGGCACTCGGTGATTTGACGACATGTCGGACAACTTAGCTGTCCTTCACGCTGCCTCCTCAGCCAAGCTTCCAGACAATTCTTACAGAAAGTGTGGAGACATTTTAGAATTTTTGGCTCGTTGACTTCACTGAACAGCTCCTGGCACACGGAGCATTCTAACTCCTTTTTAACATCATCGAAAAAGCTTTTACTTTGAGCCATTGCTGAAGGTGATTAATGCGACAACGGCGAAGCAAAGCGATTCCCGGAAAAGCGGAAGTCACACAAAGGCCCCAGTTCTCGCGGTTGCGCACTAGTGTCGTCCCCAGACCAGTGCGGCTAGCCCGCGAAAATAGCCGTGTGTCCTCGCTCCTCGCGCTTGGGACGTTTCCCTAGAGGAGAGAAGCGAGGAGAGATAGCTGTTCGCGAGCTACGCTTGGGCCACGCGCAAACAATGGCTGTAATGCTAATAAGATACGCTGTGGCTATATGGCCGGTAACCGGTCAAGGTTTTCAAAACACTAAATGGCCGGCAGTCCTATATTCTCAGTAACTTTCACAAAATGGGGAATTCATATTTTTACAAAGTTTTTAAAAAACTTTACTAGGACTGGGAAAAAATTTTTTTTCAAAATTCTTTAACAGTGAAAAATATTTTTCATTAATCTTCTTAATATTACTGTATACTAATAAATGTAAAAATGGGCAAAAAAGAAATGACTTTTCGCGAAATTCATTTCATGGTATATAAGTAAATTATACTAGTAAATTATGGAGTGGGCGAAAAAGGCTTGACCTTTTTGGCGAGATTTTCATTTACTAGTATATAAATTACATTTACCAGTAAATGGTAAAACGGGCCAAAAGGGCATGACTTTTCAGCGAGATTTTCATTTACTAGTATCTTCACACTATTTACTAGTAAATTGTGGAATGGGTGAAAAAGGCTTGACTTTTAGCGAGATTTTCATTTACTAGTATCTTAACACTATTTACTAGTAAATGGTGGAATGGGCGAAAAAGGCTTGACCTTTTAGCGAGATTTTCATTTACTAGTATCTTAACACTATTTACTAGTAAATGGTGGAATGGGCGAAAAAGGCTTGACCTTTTAGCGAGATTTTCATTTACTAGTATCTTAACACTATTTACTAGTAAACGGTGGAATGGGCGAAAAAGGCTTGACCTTTCAGCGAGATTTTCATTTACTAGTATCTTAACACTATTTACTAGTAAACGGTGGAATGGGCGAAAAAGGCTTGACCTTTTAGCGAGATTTTCATTTACTAGTATCTTGACTCTTACTGGAAAATGGTGGAACGGGCCAAAAAGGCTTGACCTTTTAGCGAGATTTTCATTTACTGGTATCTTGACTCTATTTACTAGTAAATGGTGGAAAAGGCGAACAAGGCTTGACCTTTTAGGGAAATTCTCATTTACTAGTATCTTGACACTATTTACTAGTAAATAGTGAAACGGGCGAAAAGGTCGTGACTTTTTATCGAGATTCTCATTTACTAGTATCTTCACACTACTTACTAGTAAATTGTGGAGTGGGCGAAAAAGGTTTGACCTTTTAGCGAGATTTTCATTTACTAGTATCTTCACACTATTTACTAGTAAATTGTGAAACGGGCGAAAAAGTCGTGACTTTTTAGGGAGAATCTCATTTACTAGTATCTTGACTCTTACTAGTAAATGGTGGAATGGGCGAAAAAGGCTTGACCTTTTAGCGAGATTTTCATTTACGAGTAGTATTCTACTATGTTGCGAGATAAGCCTCTTCAGGAGCCCAGGAGATTTGATCTTCTCCTGGCCTCGTTGGTGGATTCCCTTTGGATTCCCTCGCAAAAAGTGGATTCCCTAAATTAATAGGCATATGGGTCTAGTCTATGACGTCACCCATTGTTATAACCTAGAGAAAAAAATGGATTTCCTGCATACTAATTAAGTGCCTAGTCAGTGTCTTCCTGCATACTAATTCGGTATAGGTTTACTATTAAATGAGCGTCACTCTACTTCAATAGGAACAATAGGCTTGCCTAGACTTGCCCGGTAAGTAACTTGAGCCCGGTTTACGGACCGTCTATTAAAAGGAAAATAGGAATAAGAGAAGCGATCACCTAGCAACGCGAGAAACGGCTTCCTATATCTTATTTAGCGCTAAAACTCAGATATATCAACAAAGCACATACAGAAAGTGGAGTTGAAAAGTCTTTATTTCAATTTAGTTTACGTCTTCTTATTTAGCGCTAAAACTCGGATATAAACAGCACATACACAAAGTGGAGCTGTAAACTCTTTATTTCAAGTTTGTCTGAATATTACAGAACTGTTTTCTCCTTTCTATCTCGAGGACATGAAAAACTATTAAAGTCTCAACGTTTCACGCACGGTTAATCAGTTAATTATGCGGGTTCACAAGCCCAAAGTTGAATACAAATTAGCTCTACAGGAAAAACCTCAAGGGAGCATATTGACGTATTATTATAAAACAAATAACTTAACAAGGATCAATTAAAACACGCGACTCATAATTGCTAGCAATAAAACCACAAGAGAGATACCGTTTTAAAAAACTTTATTAAAAACAAAAGAGTCAAATACACAGGAATGGAAATTAATTAATCTTCATCTTCGCCCTTGGAGTACTTGTAAGGTTTGAATTTCTTATGCCGACGTTTCTTCAGCTGTTTGCCATGAGATTTATGATCATCCAAATAATTTAGAAATTGAATGCGACGCCTCTTGCGCTTCGGGCCTTGTGGTGATGGGGTTTCTACTGTGGGAGGAGGGGTCAGGAAAGCAGGATTTAAGGGTGGTGGAGGGGTGAGGCTTTCTTTGTCAGGTTTTTGAGAGATAGCCGCTTGTGTTAATTCAGGTGTTACATTAAAGGGGTTGAGGGGAGTCGAGAATGCTGTCGTTGCTGTCGAAGAATCTTGTGTCCTTGATGTTAAGTCTGGAACAGTGCTGATGATTTCTTCCGGTCGTGTTCTTGTATTTAATTGTTCTTTAAAAGCCAGGTATCTGTTTTGCAACTGAAGGTGTCGTTTAGCTTTCTTCATTGGGCAGGACGTTTGTTCGCAACCGACAAATATCTTGGGTAGTAGTTTTCAGATCAATCAGAAGATAACCAAAAGGTCTTTTTACAGCCTCTTCGTACTGATTTAAAAAGAAATCCGTCTGTCCGGGATACATTTGCTTCGCCAGAGTCAAGATTTGCAATTTGTCTCGTGGATTCTTGAATAACACCAGATAATGGCTGTTTAGGCTTATGCTGCGGCTACCTTTCCCCTGATGAAATAGATTCTGCACGATATAAATCACGCTCAGATTGCGATGATGAGAACCACGAGTAAAGAGGTTCACAATTCGCTTGTCTTTACTAGCGTCAATCATCTGATCATCAAACACGATCAAATTCCGTTTGTTCACATCAAAATAGGAATCCTGCTCCAAAGCCGTAGGAATTCCCTTGACGAATTCAATGTTTGGCATGGCGACTAACATTTGTGTATACGCAGGCTGCTATTGTGAATAACACCAAACGATCCTCTCCGGGGGAGGGTAAATGGTCTCTGAAGCTTGTTGCAATAGCGATCGAACCCAGGTCGTTTTTCCGGACCCGGTCATTCCGGCAATCATGGAGGTGAAAGGGTGCTCGAAGCGAAACCGCTGACATTTCTGTGAAAATATTGGAACCACATTTCTGTTGTTTTCTTTCCTCCTCCTCCTCCTCCTCCTCCTCATTTCTATTGTTTTTCCCTCCTCCTCCTCTTCCTCCTCATTTCTATTGTTTTTCCTCCTTCTCCTCATTCTATTGTTTTTCCTCCTTCTCCTCATTCTATTGTTTTTCCTCCTCCTCCTCATTTCTATTGTTTTTCCTCCTTCTCCTCATTCTATTGTTTTTCCTCCTCCTCCTCATTTCTATTGTTTTTCCTCCTCCTCCTCATTTCTATTGTTTTTCCCTCCTCCTCCTCATTTCTATTGTTTTTCCTCCTCCTCCTCATTTCTATTGTTTTTCCCTCCTCCTCCTCATTTCTATTGTTTTTCCTCTTCCTCCTCATTTCTATTGTTTTTCCTCCTCCTCCTCATTTCTATTGTTTTTCCTCCTTCTCCTCATTCTATTGTTTTTCCTCCTCCTCCTCATTTCTATTGTTTTTCCTCCTCCTCATTCTATTGTTTTTCCTCCTCCTCCTCATTTCTATTGTTTTTCCTCCTCCTCCTCCACCTCCTCATTTCTATTGTTTTTCCTCCTCCTCCTCCTCCTCATTTCTATTGTTTTTCCTCCTCCTCCTCCTCCTCCTCCTCCTCATTTCTATTGTTTTTCCTCCTCCTCCTCGTTTCTATTGTTTTTCCTCCTCCTCGTTTCTATTGTTTTTCCTCCTCCTCCTCATTTCTATTGTTTTTCCTCCTCCTCCTCGTCGTCCTATTGTTTTTTCCTCCTCCTCCTCATTTCTATTGTTTTTCCTCCTCCTCCTCGTCGTCCTATTGTTTTTTCCTCCTCCTCCTCATTTCTATTGTTTTTCCTCCTCCTCCTCATCCTATTGTTTTTCCTCCTCCTCCTCCACCTTCTCTTTTCTCATTGTTTTTCCTCCTCCTCCTCCTCATTTTTATTGTTTTTCCTCCTCCTCCTCGTTTCTATTGTTTTTCCTCCTCCTCCTCGTTTCTATTGTTTTTCCTCCTCCTCCTCGTTTCTATTGTTTTTCCTCCTCCTCCTCATTTCTATTGTTTTTCCTCCTCCTCCTCATTTGTATTGTTTTTCCTCCTCATCCTCCTTCTCCTCCTCATTTCTATTGTTTTTCCTCCTCCTCGTTTCTATTGTTTTTCCTCCTCCTCCTCGTTTCTATTGTTTTTCCTCCTCCTCCTCCTCCTCCTCATTTCTATTGTTTTTCCTCCTCCTCCTCATTTGTATTGTTTTTCCTCCTAATCCTCCTCCTCCTCCTCATTTCTATCGTTTTTCATCCTCCTCCTCCTCCTCCTCATTCTATTGTTTTCTATCCTTCGCCCACTCGTTTCATTTTTTTTTCTCCACGAGATTCTATAAAAGACTGCCAACTGCCATCTTTAGTTCACTTTGAAGCAATGTCTCGTGTAGTGAAAAACAATCGTGGTTTTCTTAAGGTGTTAGCTGATTACCCTGCTTATCAGCGCCAGTTTCTTTTAAAGACAGCTACTCCACAACAACTACATGCACTAGTCCAAGTCTTATACAATATACTCATGGGACACATTCCTATCTCCGAAGAAGATAAGCGGATATTGCTGCAACATAAGGATGCTTTACTTAACCTGACCAGACCAAATTTCCCTTACAAAACAAGGAAGCGAGTCCTTGTACAAGAGGGTAGTGGTTTTATTGAAGATGTATTAGCCCCTGTTGTTTCAAGCTTAGGATTTCTAATGCTATAAAAGAGGTGACGCATCGCTAGGTTGATCATTCGAACCTAAGTCTGTCACGGGTACTCATCAAAAATGAAGAGAAAGATAGATTTGGTTGAAGAAGAAGAACACGAGAGTGAACATGAAGAAAGCGAAAGTTCTGATGATGAAAGCGAGGATGAAGAACCAAGAATAAAAAAAGAACCGAGAATAAAAGATGTTTTGAGTCATCTTTCCCGAGCAGTGCCGGAAAAGCGTGCTTCTGATTTGCTTCATAGTATGGCTGCGTCCAAAGATATTCTTTTCTGGACCCCCAGCGGACAATTACTTCGAAATAAACGCACTATTCCCGTCACAAACATCGCTGAGCTAGTTGAGTATGTGTCACTACCTCATAACAATGAGGTTACCAAGCCTCGTGCGCTGAATACGTTTCTAGATGGACTTGCAGAGTTAGGAATCGATAAAGGTTAAATCAAGAACAAAAAGTTGTTAAGTGATTAAATAGAAAAGGAAAAAGGCTACCAAAATGTAGAAAATACTTCCGATAACGAGAGTAATAATGAGGAGAGTTTATCGGATATTGAAAATCAGGAGGAGGAAGTGGCTTCTGAAAATGGCGTTGAAGCGGAAGACACCCAAGAGAGCGACAACGACACTGAAAACGACAGTCAGGAAATAGAAAGTAGTAGCCCTGAAACTTCCACCACCTTTCACTCTAAACGTCCCTGTGAACACTGCGAGAACTCTAATGTGTACTACAAGATTTGTCCTATATGCGATCACCAGATTCCTGAGGGGGGACATTACATGAAAGAGGGCTTTCTTCGATGTCACGATTGCGGAGCAGTTACACACAAAAACGCGAAGACGTTGGAAACCAATTTCTATTCCCCTTCTACAGAGGAGAATGAAGATTAAGATTAATTAATTTCCATTCCTGTGTATTTGACTCTTTTTGTCATTGTTTTTTAATAACGTTTTTTAAAACGGTATCTCTCTTGTGGTTTTATTGCTAGCCAATTATGAGTCGCGTGTTTTAATTGATCCTTGTTAAGTTACCTGTTTTATAATAATACGTCAATATGCTCCCTTGAGGTTTTTCCTGTAGAGCTAATTTGTATTCAACTTTGGGCTTGTGAACCCGCATAATTAACTGATTAACCGTGCGTGAAACGTTGAGATTTCAATAGTTTTTCATGTCCTCGAGATAGAAAGGAGAAAACAGTTCTGTAATAGTCAGACAAACTTGAAATAAAGAGTTTACAGCTCCACTTTGTGTATGTTTTGTTTATATCCGAGTTTTAGCGCTAAATAAGAAGACGTAAACTAAATTGAAATAAAGACTTTTCAACTCCACTTTCTGTATGTGTTTTGTTAATATATCTGAGTTTTAGCGCTAAATAACATATAGGAAGCCGTTTCTCGCGTTGCTAGGTGATCGCTTCTCTTATTCCTATTTTCCTTTTAATAGACGGTCCGAAAACCGGGCTCAAGTTACTTACCGGGCAAGTCTAGGCAAGCCTATTGTTCCTATTGAAGTGAGAGTGACGTTCATTAGTAAACCTATACCGAATTAGTATGCAGGAAGACACTGACTAGGCACTTAATTAGTATGCAGGAAATCCATTTTTTCTCTAGGTTATAACAATGGGTGACGTCATAGACTAGACCCATATGCCTATTAATTAAGGGAATCCACTTTTTGCGAGGGAATCCAAAGGGAATCCACCAACGAGGCTTATCTCGCAACATAGTAGACTACTAACAGTATCTTAACACTAATTACTAGTAAATGGTGGAATGGGCGATCGTTGTCCCGTTATATTTAAAAGTTTTTAATGATTACATGGGTGCAGGGTATTTGCCTTATAATTGTTCTGATCTCTTGTTATTACTGGGCTGCCCGGCAAGCCCAGTCATAAAATGGATTTTCGGTCGTCGGTGTCACAAAGTGGACATCCGGGGGAGGGAAAACACGAGGGTCTGGGACGTAGAAACGATGTTCTCACAAATGGTTTCATAGGGTTTTCTCTTACATGAACCCTTGCACGGATACTTTTTGTACCTTGTCTGCGCTCCCCCTGAAAAACCCACAAGGCGTTGCGAACCTGAAGAAGGCTATTTGCGTTGTTCAAAGCTATTCGACCATGGGAATAACTCTATAATTTTTTTATTGTTCGAGTTTAAGTCAGTTAGATGATGTTGGCGCTGGGAAACTCAGAGAAATGCTCGCGTTGCATTCAAACCGACACGCCGTTCACGGTAGGTTCACACTAAAAGACTGAAAAGATGACTGTGAGCGTCAGGTTTGGAACGCCGTGGCTGCTTCGTGAACTATCGATCGATGTAGTACATGAGCAATTAAGAAGCACAATTTATGAGCAAAGTATTTCACCAGTTGACGACACTATGGCTGAAGACTTGATTGTAAGCCTTCATAGTCAGTGAAGCGAACAACTCAGTTGCCGATGAATGGCAGATGAATCCTGATGTGAGGCACGTCCATAAGCGAGGGACGTGACAACTTTGCCATGTTAGAAGACTGGCTTTTCCTTTAAATATTTCCTTCTATTTAATGCAACACACGCCACTTTGGAGATCTAAATTTCGGATACTGAGGATAAAGAAGACACGGACAAAAATAGGAACTCTGAGAATTTCGCACACAAGTTTAAAGCTTCTCCGGGACATCCCATCCGGGAGCTTCACAGAGAGCGACTTGAGGAAAATAGGAGCTATTACTGACAAGGTTTGGTGACTGAGTAGAGCATACAAGTGTAGCCCACGTCGAGGTTTCAGGGGGTTTGCTTTTGTCTGTATCTGTATCTTGCTAAGCTTTTGTCATTAAATTTGTACAAGATCTTGTGATCACAATTCTGTGTTTTCGCCCATTCAGCAAGCACGCTATATTGATGTCAGCATTAGCGAGTTTCAGAAACATGCCTTTGAAAATTTTCAGCTCTCGTGATGTTTCTTGATATTTCTTTTACCATTTTATGGAGATGTAAACTGAAGTCACCGCAAAATGGAAACTTAAAAAAGCGTATAATCCATTTTTCTCGAAACATAACACACATGACTTATACGACCTTTATTTTCGTAAAGGTGTTTTGAATACGAACGAACACAGTCAATGTGAGGGGCAAAAACAGCATTAATATAAATGAACCATAGGATTTTAACTAATATAAGGGTCAATTATTGTGCGTTGAGATGAATCGCTTGAAAAGAGAGACTTCGCTTGAAGATGTGATCAGAAGTAAACAAAGGCATAATAGTGCGTCACGTTCAGTCTTTTTAATGTCCAAGGAGTCACTGTGAATAGTGTTTCCATATTGTTTAGCTGGCACAAAAACCTCGGACGAGTTATAAAGCGGCATAGTTTCCATGAAGAAAAATTAGTCTTGGGTGAGACAAACAGAACTGGAGCGAATTTTTAACTCACATCGGTATCGGGTAAAACATATGTTATCGATCGTTTCATCTATGTACATTGTTTGAAGTGCGTGCTGGTGAACGCAACATGCGAGCGAGAAATCTTTAAACTTTTTTAGGTCTCAAAATGCAAAGGATTTTATTCCTTTAAGTTAGAGAAAAATACCGTGAGGAAAATCTTAAAACTGAATACTTTTCATCTTGTGGAAAAAATAGTGCGTTTTCATGTAGACTGTGGACCGCAAATTAGGATCGCACTTTTCACAAACATGCGAATTCTGGAGTTCAGAACCCAACCGACGATTGCGTTTTTCGCTGCTGTCAATCATCTTAACTGACCTCTTAGGAAACAAAACTTTACTTCACGGGTTCAAAAGGTCATGGTTTGTGATTTGTGGATTTCGATCCGTTTTGTGTGTTTCTCTGTTTCAAGGTTCGTTGTTTGTGATCGTAATTATGATTGACGGCAGCGATAAACATAATTGTGAAGGTGGCTTTTGAACTTTAGAGTTCGCATGTTTGTGAAAAGCGCAGTAAAGTCTCCGTGCAGTCAGTGAGGCCCCTGGATCAGGCGGGATCAATGGGCAGTTAACTGTCTGTTTTAGTATACTTCTGGTTTTCATACAATACAATATTTCTGTCTAGTGTAAATCAGCTCAGTCTGTCGCATTTTATGCTCATAGAAGGACAACAATTTTTGGAATTTCCGGTTACGTCAAATTAGTCACGTTATACTGTCACGCTATATTTTGGGGCACAGAGGGATTCGGGGAGGGGTGCGTGGAAATAATGCAAATTGTTTCCTGTTTAGAATTAATGGCTAACTTGTTTATTTTTATTCATAATGGTGGAATTTAAAAGTTATTATACAGCTCCCACTTAAAAATGGTACTCTTTTTTTTTGGTTACCAAAGTCTTCCAAAAGGGTACAATGTTCTGAATGAGTTTATGTTTCAGTCTCACATGAGATTCTGTTGCATGCAATGGTTGCCGACAAGGTTTTATGGTAGCCTGAGTGTGTATAGCCGCCCCCTCCCCTCAGAAAAAATAGCCCCTTTGCAGCCCAGTTAAAAATCGCCTTTCGGCGATTCTTGTTCATATCTAGTCAGTGTTGTTGGTTGTGGATTTCGCAACAGAAGAATGGGGATGAGCGCATTTTGCAAAGCCTAAATTTAACCTCTTTCATGGCCATTCAAAGTTGTCTGGTGTTTTCAAAAGGTGGGTGTTGTTACAGGGTAATGTATCGGTCAAATCGAAGCTTCAACATGACCCCCCGGGCATACCCTGGGCATTTGACACCTTTGCCGTCCCGGGGAGGAGGGAATTTGATTATCAGAGTCTTCTAGGGGGTGGGGAATTTGATCCCCATGCTTTAGGGGTGGGGAATTTGAACTGCACCCTCGATTTCATGTAAAATCTTTGGCGTGGCGAGCTATCATGGGGGACGCGGTTTTAGAGGATTTTCGTGGAAAAGATTGTGCCTTTGTGGTCGATTGTTTACGAGGAAAGGGCTTAAACAGGCTTTGGGCCGTATTTGAAGTATTTAAATTTTAAAATTTTTAATATTGGATTCAGGCTTTGAATGTATGAATGTATTTTATTGTTGATGTTACAATGAAATACAACACTTATACCGGCGATTCAATACAACAACATAACATAAAATAAAAAGCTCAGGTCAACTACTTTTGCCTACGTACTGTAAGTATGTTAATTAATAAGATGAGCGATGATGCATGTCAGTGAAATGGTCATGATGTAGTAATCTCAATAGGTGGGATCTTTTTTTATACAACGCATGACGAAGAAAAGCTGAGCATTCAGTGACCTTGTAGCAGCGATTTCCGCCGCTTTGCACGAGACTTTTGTTCGTAGTAAATACACTAACCGTGTTTCTCAGTTTTTGTTATATTTATAAAGATTTTGTTCGACAACTGAAGGCGTTTCCGCCGTCCTTCTGTCATTTTTGTGCTTGTAAAATGTCCCCGGGGTGGGGACATTTGATCACCTGAATAGACCCTAGTGTAGGGCATTTGAACAAAAAATTTCAAAAAAGTCAAATGCCCGGGGGGTTGCCCGGGGGGGGGGGGGGGCATGTTGAAGCTTCGATTTGACCGATAAATAACGTTTATGGGGAATAACGCAATTTTAAAAGAGGTCAATAAACGTCTCTTTACATTTCTTTCAACTCAGTTCTCTAATGCACCAAAAAAACACAGCCTCCTTTTTATTTTCGTAACTGCACAGAAATGGACTGGGCCGGGGAAGGTGAAAATGTGGAAGCGAACAGCGTGACTGAGAAAAAACAGCTTTTTTTCTGGGTAGACTAGAGATCCCGCCAACCGGAACAACAACAACAACAACAACAACCAACCAACCAACCGACCTTTTTATTTTGCCAACTTAAAACTTACAAGAACAGCTTAAATTAAAAGAGATCAGGCAAAAAACTACTCAGAATAGCAAAAATAACTAAACGAGCT